TGTTGTATGTGGGCGTAGTAATACACAAGGGTGAAGTGAAGAGGCTGGACGAGTGCTGTTATTTGCAGAATATGGCACTGCTATCAGCCAATCAGATTAAAGAACCAGACAGAACTGTTTTATACATGGTTATATTACCTCAAAGCTCCATTTAAGGTCAATTCTTTAATTCTCTTAATTATTAAACAGCTATGCTTTACAAATAAAGTAATAAATAGGGATGAAGTATAACATCCCGTTTAACATTGTAGTTTATACAAAAATATCTCATTTCAGAGTCCTACGATCAGGCAGTCAATATTAAATACTCCAGAGAGTTGTTTTGATGTCAAGTAGATATTATAAAGTTTTTTAAAAAATCTTCAAATGTTTGTGTGATATTTATTTCAATAAATGGAGGTATAATATGATGTGCTGTAGTTTTGGTATTAAAAAGTCGATTTTTTACTTCTGCCCAGCAGATTATCTGCTTTTTCGAGGAATTCTAAGAGTCTGGTATTGATTACTACAAAACAGCCTTCCCTGGTTACTTCCCACACAAATGCTTTAGTCGTCATTATGGTTAAATTCATTCCCCCTTCAAGAGCCATATTGAATAGCTTTTGGAGAGCGGACTGGAATTACAACATTTAGCTGTAGTGCATTTGCTTTTTAATGCAGTCGTTTTGTCTTAGCTCTCGCGCGGTAATGCACAGATCTAATGGATTCTGATCTGAATAGCTGATTCAGACACCTCAGGCTGTTTGTTTATTTAATTTTGCCTAGAACTCTCTTTTTCTTCTGCTTCCTCAGCAATTAAATTTTCATTTAGTGTGTGCCTTTCTTCTTCCCCATAACTTTAACCTTATTTGTCAAGTCTGTTGCCCTCATACTGTACGATAAACTCTTTCCTGAACTCTGTGGCCATTTTGACTTAAAAGAAAACAATGAATCAGTGGAGACCAGCCAATAATAATCCAGTTTTTCACCATCCAGAGTGTTCTTTCTTTTTAGGGCCTCCTTCAGTTTCTTTTTTCTGTTTAAATAAAGATTGACTCACCATTTACTCACCCCTAGGTTGTTCCAAAAATTCCAGCAACTTAAAAAATAAAGGTACTGAATTGAATCAGTAACCAATCTACATCATATTTACACAAAGAAATGGTAAAATTAAAAGTTAATGCAAGTTTTTTTTTTTCTCTCTGTTAAGACAAAAGAAAATGTGTTGAAGAATGCTGGTAACCAATCATGTCAGGTATTTGCAAGTTATTTGATTGTATTTTTATTTATTCTATTAAATAATAACAATAATACTTTACATTTATTTAGCTCTTTTCTGGACACTCAAAGCACTTTACACATTGTGGGAACCTCTAGTGGGCAAATTTGGCCAGGATGCTGGGGATAACCCCCTACTAAGGACCTCAGTTTAACATCTTATCCGAAAGATACGCAGGGAGGTTTGGGTATTGTTTGGGGTTATTTTGATACCGCTGCTAAATCGATACTTTTAAAACGGTACTGGTGCCAAAGGGGTGCCTGAACTGATACCTTAGAGCCACAAAATTATGGTGGATGACTCTAGAAAAATCTTTCATTTGACAAAATCTTTTTTTTTTAAATGTAATAGAACAATATAAATGAAGTTTAAAGTAAACATCAATTCATATTTTATATATTTGAATTACATTAATATGTTTCCTTTGATCTTTGCTGGTTAGCATGAATTTAAGATATGCATTATGAAATTACATTAGTGGAAAGGCTGTCATCGAAATACTGAACTCTTTTTTTCTAGGGTTGGGGCTTGTTATGTTTATATGGTTATTAGTAATTTAATGGTTTGCCTTAATCTGATTAAGACAATAATATAATCAAGGTGTTTACATAAGTTGCTTTTTGAATGTTCCTTTCATTATCCCGTCTTACATGTTATAGATCGATTAACGTCATTGCGTCACCACGCTATCCATGTTTCCTCTAGAGTTTCATGTAATTTCAGGTGTTTCATTTTTAATTTTCAACTTAAGCAGTTTCACTTTCATTCAGGAACATTTATTTCACAGGTATTTGATGTAAGCATTAAGTAAAGACTGGTGGAAGAGTGCTCTTTCAATGGGATTTGATGCAGCACATTGAATGGAAAGAACAAATGCCTGACATCGCCTGTCCGTATTCTTCAGTTGTTTAGAATTAAATGTTTAGGGATGGTGTGACAATGCGTACCTGTGTGCTATTGATGCACCCCTTGATGCCTCTTACGTCCTTGTCGCAGCACTAGTGGCACCGAAATTCATATCCTGATTTGGTCCGGTACATACCGGTTACACAAATGTACCTGTGCTATAATGGCACCGGGTTTCGGTACCCAACATTAACGCAGGGTCCATTTTAGAGCAATGTTGCCCAGATACTCTTGGCAATGTTGCAGTTAGCAGTCAACCATGTGAGACAAAGGGCAACTATTTAACACAACAAAAATTCATTGTTCCTGTTCGTTCCCAGCAGCTTGCTCCAATCCCCGATTGTACAGTTTAACATTCATTTACAGCTCTCACTAGCTGAATGCAAGAGCAAAAGTATATAGTGCATCCGGGAAGTATTCATATCGCTTCACTTTTTCCAGATTTTTTAATGTTACAGTCTTATTTGAAAATGGATTAAATTCATTAATGACCATGTGAAAAAAAGATTTTTTGAAATTGTTGCAAATTATTAAAAAAAACCCTGTAAAATCACATGTACACAAATATTCACAGCCTTTGCTCAATACTTTGTTGATGCACCTTTGGTAGCAATTACAGCCTTTTTGAATATGATGCCAAAAGGCAAGCTTGACACACATGTCTTAGGGAATGTTTGCCCATTGCTCTTTGCAGTACCTATTTAAGTGACGGTGTATAGCCATTTTCAGATCTCTCCAGAGATGTTTAATAGGATTTAGGTCTGGGCTCTGGCTGGGCCACTCAAGGACATTCACAGTTGTTGTGAAGCCACTACATTGATATTTTGGTTATGTGCTTTGGGTCATTGTCCTGCTGGAAGATGAACCGTCGCCCCATTCTGAGGTCAAGAGCACTCTGAAGCAGGTTTTCGTTCAGGATGTCTTTGTACATTGCTGCATTCATCTTTCCCTTTATCATGACTAGTCTTCCAGTTCCTGCTGCTGAAAATCCCCACAGCATGATGCTGCCACCATGGTTTTAGCCTGGTGATAAGCGGTGCCTGGTTTTCTCCAATCGTAACGCCTAGCATTCACTCCAAAGAGTTCAATTTTAGTTTCTTCAGACCAGAGAATTGTGTTTCTAAAGAGAGTCCTTCAGATGCCTTTTGGCAAATTCCAGGCGGGAGTGGTTTCTGTCTGGCCACTCTACAATTCAGGCCTGATTGGTGGATTGCTACACAGATGATTGTCCTTCTGTAAGGTTCTACTCTCTCCACAGAAAAACGCTGGAGCTCAGACAGAGTGACCATTGGGTTATTGATCACCTCCCTGACTAAGGCTCTTCTCCCCTGATCACTCAGATTATATGGTCAGCCAACTCTAGAAAGAGTCCTGGTGGTTCTAAATATCTACCACTTACGAGTGATGGAGGCCACTGTGCTCATTGGAACTTTCAGAGCTGCAGAACTTTTTCTGTAACCTTCCCCAGCTTTGTGCCTCGAGACAATCCTGTCTCAGAGGTCTACAGACAATTCCTGCCTTCATGCTTGGTTTGTGCTTTGACATGCACTGTCAACCCTGGGACCTTATTTAGGGCCTTTTCAAATCATGTTCAATCAACTGTAATTAAGCTGCTGAAACATCTCAAGAATGAACAGAGGAAACCTGAGCTAAAAATAGAGCTTTGTGGCAAACCTATGTACATGTGATTTTTTTAGTTTTTTTTTTTTATATATATATCTTTTTTCACATTGTTTTTTTACATTGTTCATAAACTAATTTAAACCATTTTGGAATAAGGCTGTAACATAATAAAATGTGGAAAAAGTGAAGTGCTATGAATACTTTCCAGATGCACTGTATATCATATAACAGAAGTCAAGCGAAATAATGCTCAACAAAGGAAAATAAAACTAAAAGAAAGAATACAAAACAAATAAGCAAAAAACAAACACACCAAAATTATTATTGTCGGCATTGCAAGGATTAAATTACATAAAAAGTTTTGTGTTGACACGTGACAACTTGTTGGAATAATAAACTATAAGTTCACGCTTCTTTACCTCAATTTTCAGACTTTTTCTGACAGCTCCAAGCTGATTTGCTGCTAGCATTCTGGTTGGAGGAACTCAAAAAATTGCAGACAACCATTCTAAGGGATCCAGATACAATTTTGTTGCCCATTCTAAATGGGAAAGTAGACAAGCAACATTACTCTAAAGTTGTCGCATGTATCATCACCTTTAGGTATAAGCAACACTAGCTAGAGGTGTTGTTTAGTTTCTGCCTGCTTCTTCCCTTTAAGTTGATGTGTGATATGTGTGTGTGAATCCCTTTCTGATGTCATACTGAACCTAAGCCTTCTAATCATAGTTTTGTGGTGGCTCAGAAAGGTTTGTGTCTGTTGTGCACGTCTCTTCTTCTCTGCTCAGAGAGTGAAGAAGGCCCAGAGGAGATGTGACACTTCTGTATCTGTGTGTGACAGGTCTGGTGTTGTACGTTTACCCAGCAGCCAGCGGGCCTGCTGCTTCCAGACAGAGTGTATAAGACAGATGGGTTGCGCTCTGTGTTTGTGTTTATTGTTTTGAGTTCAGTAAATGAGACACACATGGGCAGATAAAGGGACAGGAAAAGATAAATGATCAATTAGAGGCTTCACCGCAATTGCCTGCAAGTCTCAGCGGTGTCTGCAAAACCAAAGCAGAGGAATGAGACTGACAGAGAGAAAAAGAGAAAGAGAAAATGAAAAATAGAGAGACAAAAAGATCCAAGGCGTATTAGAAAATTCACATTCATTCTGTGCATTTGTGTGTGTGTGTGAAGCACTAACACTTCCTCTGTGTGTGGCCGAGCTCAGATGAGAAGCCTGATGAGAAGTGGATTGTGTTTGACGGGCCAGTGGACACGCTGTGGATCGAGAGCATGAACTCTGTAATGGACGACAACAAAGTCCTCACACTCATCAACGGAGAGAGAATCTCCATGCCCGAACAGGTACTGGTGCCAGACGACTCTCGGCACACACTAAAAACCTCAAATGCTGCCCTGCCAGCGTTTTTTTACTTCTGATTCCGATACTGTGCATTTCACATTACTAACCGATCATAGAGCTATTTATCATTTCTTTCATTTATACCGCTCTTCAGTTTCATGAAAAAATGCCTGAGTTATATTTTGTTCTAGTATTAAAGAGGGAAAAAAATTCTAAAGTTTTCTTTTTTGCTGTATAAAGCATTTAGAAGTTTAGGTTTGTTTTATTTATTTAGTTTAAAATGAAAATACAAACAGACATTTCTAATGTTACTAAGATTTCTCTTACAATTTATTATCTAAAGCAGTGGTTCTCAAACTTTTTTACCAAGTACCACCTCAGAAAAGAATTGTCCAAGTACCACCATTATGACCAATATTAAAACACAGTAGCGTAGTAGGCCTAATTAAGCAGCTACAGCTCTGCACAGTTAAAAAATGAGGCAGATTCATTCCTATTATTAAGAATATGTATTATTGTCAGCCATTTTAAACATTACACATAGTTTGAACATCAACTGTGTTTGCAGACAAAAAAAAAAGTTGAATTAATTTAAATAAAAATGTGCTTTTAAAAGTCACTGTTCTTAAAAAGTATAAAGAAAACGGTTGTACGCATAGTAACTTATTCATCAAAACCTGGAAATGTTGTTGTCATTCACTCAGACATTTAAAAAGAATTTATTTTGGAGCAGTGATCACAATACCATGAAACCATGATATTTTTATGCAAGGTTATTATACCGTCAGAATCTTATACTGGCCCATGTCTAGGCATGCCTCTTTCATCTCGTTTTACGCTTGAACAAATAAATGAATGCTTAAGTCTATTTTACTGAATGTATTGTAATTACAATACAACCTTGTAAAATTAAAAATATTCACATTAAGCTTTCACCGGAAGTTTATCATTAACTTGAAAAACTTAAATTAATTGCTGAAATTTAACCCTCTACCGCCCTCTACCGATAAATCTATAAAAAAAAATGTTTGACTGTTTTTCTTTTCTTAAAATGGCTGAACTTGAAGTGCTGTAAAAAAAATTAGATTTTTTTTTAAGGTACTTTATGAAATGTTGTCATATGGCAACAACATCCAACAGTGGATCTAACTTAGAAATTTCAAATTTAAAACTTACTTTAGAATTAATCATTTTGTTAGTTGAAATTATTTACTTGGTGTTGGAGTATTATAAGCTTTAACACAGAACATATAAATGACACCTTATACACACTTTCCAACAACTTATATTCCAACAGCTTTCATTCATGCCATTATTTTTTGCTGAATACTATTAAAACCAACCTTAAATTGTATTATCATTTATATAACATACTGTAAATATAAATATTTCCACCAGTAAATATTATAACAAATAAATAACAAGTCTAGTATATCCTGATGCATCAGAATAATGTAGCTACTAGCTAACAATGTTTATATATATTATACTGTACTATATACTATACTACACCTGTCTTATCTGCCTCTGAGCTAACTTAATTGAACTGTCTTTATCAAATGTCCAATCTACATCATTCTCATGGTCACTAAAACCCATCTAACCCTCACTTTCATCTGCAGGAAGAGCTAGTTCTGTCCTTTTCTTCTTTCACTTACCATAGAATATGGTGGTGCTCGCTAATACACTGTTCTCTGTATTCATATCCATTCAAAAGTAGTATTGCCATTAAAACTAGATTTTATCCTTAATGCAAATGTCATTAACATACAAGTAATCAACATTATATTACTAGCTTTCATGTTGTTATTGTTACAACTTAAAAGTTCACAGTTAGCTAACTCGTTCCAATATTGCACGTTCCACTATTGCACAGTGTTGCAATTTGGTAACACATTTGATCGATTTACAAAAAAATAATTTGACAAAACCTTTTTGAGTTGTGAATATGTCATCATAACTTACTGAAGGTGATGTTTCAGATTTTTTTGTGGATTTGACATAATTTGATCTTGTTTTTATTGCATTTACATTTGCTTTCAGCAACTACTCACAATAAACACCAGTTTGTCAGATATCATGCCACAGAATAGCACAGCATGTCATGTGACTTAACCAAAGCACATCATTGGCTACTCTAAGGTCTTCTCTTTCCAACAATTTTTTTTTTTTTAAAGCTGGTCTTTAAGAAACAGTGGCAGGCAAATTAACATAAGTATTATGTTGCCACATGGTGACACCGTGCAGTAGGTTAAATAAATGAACATTATAATACTAACTTCTTGTTCATTTTGTTTAGTGTAAAATAGGACACCACTATGTTCTTGACAGGTTTCATGAGATTCACCCTTGAGCTATTCGGTTGGGTTCTAATGAGAGTGTGTTTTTTAGGTCTCATTACTGTTTGAAGTGGAGGATCTGTCAGTGGCGTCTCCTGCCACTGTGTCTCGCTGTGGGATGGTTTACAGCGACTACTCTGACTTGGGCTGGAAGCCTTATGTTCAGTCCTGGATGGAAAAGCGGCAGAAGGTTTGGGATACAACATTAAACTTAAGTATCTGTACTGTTAAACATTTGGCAAAGTCCTGCATCTTCTCTCTTGTTGGCTTTCAGGTTGAAACAGACCTCCTCTGGCAGCTTTTTGAGCGCTACATAGACAATACTCTCGCTTTTAAGAAGACTCACTGTAAGGAGCTAGTGGCCATCACTGAGCTGAATGGAGTGGCGTCGCTCTGTAGACTTTACCACTCTCTGGCAACTGCAGAAAATGGGGTCTGATCACATTCACCTTGATATGTTCAGCCAGTATTACAGCTATATTTGGATCACATGACATTTGGTCAACATGAAATGGGCTGTTATTCTCTGAAATAACCAAGAAGTACCATAAAAGTGGACTTCCGAAGCCATATTATGTGCAATTATTAGTGCTGGGCAACGCAAAAAATCTGAAGAAATTTCTTCTAAAATCTGTTCTACAGCAGAGTTCATAGAACCAAACTAATTTGTAACCCCTGCAAAGCTGAATTTTATTATTTACTGAAGTACATATAGTCTGAACTATTACTTAAATCAGCTTTTCTCAATCCCGGTCCTCATGAGCCACTGCTCTGCACATTTTATATACTTCTCTTGCATGTGTATTAAGAGCCAATAAGCGTTGGTCGATTAAAAAAAATCTAAATAATAATTAAAACTGCGTTAAAAACAAGCAATGAAATACTTGTCGGCATTCATTAATTAATGCATTGATGTGATAAAATTGGTGAAAAAAACACACAAATGACGTATTTTTAATATAAAAAGTAATTGTGGACTGATTTTTTTAACCTTTTATCACAGACTTGGACATGTCAAAGATTAGTAACAACATTGGCTTTGATACAATGTAAATCTTCATTTTTTTCTCACTAAATTTACTGTTGGTGGCTGTTTTTGTTTTTGCATTTGATGTGCATAAATACACAGTCTTTTACTCTACGTAGTTCTGAGAGCTGAGATGCATATTTAGATTTTTCTCAGACACATCAAGGTAAGTGCACAAAGGTCACTCTCACACACTCGCAGGCACACACACTTTTTTTAAATCTAAAAGGTTAATGGTATTAACTAATAATCAACATCACAAATTACTAATTTTATCTCTTCCTAAAAGAGAAAACCACCAACAATCAAAAATTATTATATGGTGTTGTGGTTTTGCAATCAAAAAATGTGGTTATAATGGAAGTCAATGGAGGTAAAAAAAAAAAAAAACAGCTGTAAATTAGGGAGAAAAAATGAAAAATAATCAAAACCAATGAATTAAAGGCAATGTTGTTTCACATGTCCAAGACTTTGATAAAAGGTCAAAAAATCCAGTCCAAGTTACTTTTTTATATTGAAAATAAAAAAAACTATTTACTAAACCACACATTTTTGTGTTGTTTGTTTTACCTAATCAGTGACAGTTTATGAATTTGGCAATTTAATTAACAGATTTATGCAATTAAAGTTGAAAAAAAAAACTTATCTGATGCATTTTTACAGCAGTTTAATTCAGTGGATAATTCCATCCCGAACATATCTAAAGGGTAGTCAATTTGCCAAGAGTGCATCGTTGTTGTTTTTTTAAAAGTCAAAGCATTTTCACAAAATATGTCAAAATAAGATTTGTCACCATAAATCATTCTACTAGCTGAAGCACAGAGAAAGTTATGGCCAAATTAGGATTCACAATCACCCCAGAGTGGATGAAAACATCCCAAACAGCACATAAGGGTTAACATCTTACATAGCTCTAGTTATGATTTCGATCATTCTTTAAGTTGGAACATCAGTTGCAATTTTATGTAAATCAGTATATTATCTAAAATTGCTCTTACTCTTATGTGTAATAGGTGTACATGGTGGCAAAAAAATATATATATAATAAATAAATTAATTAATTAGAAAATAATTGTTAAAAATCCTTTTGTGTTGTTGATTTCTTGTTGGGTAGTATGGCCACAGTTACGCCTGAAAATGAAATCAGACTCATTCTAATTCATGTTGATTTCTCTACTGTCAGTAATTGTGCCAGGCTTTGACTTGAAAAATTAAACATGATATTTAGCTTGGTTTCTGTTTAGTCATGCTGAGGACGACTGTGTATTCTCTGATTGGTCAGGTGAAACCAGCTGACTCTGAAAACTATGGTCGGATGGTGGAGCTCTGGTTCATCTTCAGTCTCATATGGTCAGTGTGTGCTTCAGTAGACGAGGAAGGACGAAAGAAGATTGACACCTTCCTACGGGAAATTGAGGGAAGTTTCCCTAACAAGGTAAACGATGACCCAAAAGCTGAAGTGTCATTTTTGTGCCATTATTGTAGTTAAATCGAACATAGCAAAATAACATACAAACCATACATACATACATACAAACAAAACATTTAAAGAAAATGCTATTTTGTGTTATTATTGCTATTATTATTCAGTGTATTTCTGATTAAAAGATATTTTTTAATGTATCTATCTATATTAAAATAGTTTTGATTTGCATTGCCAATGATTTATTGGAACAATTGATCATACTTTGGTAATTACTTTATTTAATTAATTAATTTTTATTTTCTTATTTGTTGCTGGAGTTGCTGTATATACCAGTAGGTTTCCTTTGTATTGTTTTCGTATTTAAAAAAAAAAAAAAGCTTAAATAAAATCTAACAAAATAGTTTTGAGTTGACTGTAGTCTGCATAAAGCAGGAATAGACATAATAAATGCAAATCTATGCATACTCATGCTAATGTTACATGAAAAGTGTTGATGCTCTGCGTCTACAACAAACGTTTAAGACGTTCTGCCTACAGAAACAAATATATTACTGTAGAAATAATCACCTTGTATTAAACCTCAGGACACCATCTACGAGTACTACGTGGACACCAAGAACAAAACGTGGGCGTCATTTGAGGACAAGCTGCCCAAGGGCTGGCGCTACGCCTCCAAGTGAGACGTGTGTGTGTGTGTGTGTGTGTGTGTGTGTATGTGTGTGTGTGTGTGTGTGTGTGTGTGCCCCCTTCCTCCTATTCAGGGGTCTCTGCCAGCCGCCTGCGGGTTCAGTCAAAGGCCTCTTGCCTGGCTCCCTCCCAGACTTCTGAATTCCCCGTCTATTCATATTTCTCATCTTTTTCATCCTCCTTGGTTTCTCTCTTCTCTCCCCTGCTCTCATTTGTCATGTCAGTCCGGCTCTTTCCCCTTCATTGTCCTTTGTCCTCTTGGCTCTCTTTGCTCCCTCTTTGTCAGCTGTCCATTTTCTCATCCCGAGGTTCTCCTTTTTTCCCCCTTACCTGAGTCTTTTTTTATCCCTCTGTTCATTTGAAATGTCTTGCTACATCTTTCAATTTTCAGTCTTTCAATCAGCACTTTTCACCTCCTCGGTATTCTCATCCATTCAGCTCTCTCAACTCTATTCCCTCTCTCTCTCTCTCTCGCATGCTCCATATTCTGCCTTTTCTCTTCATTTATTGTCCTCTTTTTAAAAAGTGTCTCATACTTAGCCGTCCCACTTTTCAACTTTTCTTGCTGGCATCTTTTTAATTATCACGTGTCTCTGTTCAGTGCTCCGTTCTATAAGATCATGGTCCCCACTGTGGACACGGTGCGCTATCATTACCTGGTCAAGGCTCTGGTGTCCACTCAGCATCCAGTGCTCCTGACGGGTCCAGTGGGGACTGGGAAGACGTCAGTGGCCCAGAGTGTCCTGCAGAGCCTGGACAACATCACATGGGCCACGCTCACCGTCAACATGTCCTCACAGGTGATCAAGTAGTTTTAGCCTGAAGTGTTTTTTTTTATTTTTTTTATTGACGTTAATCCTTTCTGGCAGTGTTTTGCATTTAAATATGCATTCAATTAAATTCAGATCAACTTTATTTCCCAATAATTCAGCAAGGTGCACATTATTGAATTACAATCAAATTCAGAAAAGTTAGGGTTATTAGTTATCAAAATGTTATTAGTAACTAATAACGATACCTAATTAACTAGTAACTTATAGCTTTTAACATTTAAAGTTATTACATTAAACATACATTCATCGGCCACTTTATTAGGTGCACCTAATTAGTACCGGGTTAGACCCCATTTTGCCTTCTAAACTGCCTTAATCCTTTGTGGCATAGATTCAACAAGGTACTGACACAATGCACAATTGGTAGTAAAGGGCCCAAAGTGTGCCAAGAAAACATCCCCACACCATTACACCACCACTACCAACCTGAACTGTTGATGCAAGCCAGGATGGATCCATGCTTTTATCTTGTTGACGCCAAATTCTGATGCTACATCCGAATGTTGCAGCAGAAATCGAGACTCATCAGACAAAGCAACATTTTTCCAGTTTTCTTTTGTCCAATTTTGGTGAGCCTGTGCAAATTGTAGCCTCAGTTTCCTGTTCTTAGCTGACAGGAGTGGAACCCAGCGTGGGCTTCTGTTGCTGTAGCCAATCCGGCTCAAGATTCGATGTGTTGTGCGTTCAGAGATGCTCTTCTGCATACCTCAGTTGTAACGAGAGGTTATTTGAGGTCTTGTTGCCTTTCTATCAGAGCTCACCATTCCAGCCATTCTCCTCTGACCTCTGGCATCAACAAAGCATTTTACCCACGGAACTGCCGCTTTCTGGATATTTTATCTTTTTTGGACCATTCTCTGTAAACCTTAGAGTTGATTGTGCATGAAAATCCCAGTAGATCAGCAGTTTCTGAAATACTCAGACCAGCCCGTCTGGCACAAACAACTATGCCACATTCAAAGTCACCTAAATCACCTTTCTTCTCCATTCTGATGCTCGGTTGGAACTGCAGTAGATCGTCTTGAACATGTCTACATGCCTAAATGCATTGAGTTGCTACCATGTGATTTTCTGATTAGAAATTTTCATTAATGAGCAATTGGACAGGTGTACCTAATAAAGTGGCCGGTAGGTGTAGTTAACCTGCCCGCAGTTATATAGTAGTTAACCTGCAGTTTTATAGAAAACTAGTAAACCAGTGATGTAAACACTGATATGAAGGCACAGACATTTACTGTGTTGTTGGGTAATTAGTCAAATGTGAAAGAAGTGTAAAGTTCTGCCGTGTTGACAAGTGAAGCATAAGCAGAGAAATATCAGTGACATTGATTTTCGTTGACACATGCAATGTTAAGAGGAGCCATTAATGAATCATCGACAGGTTTCTTCTGTAAATGAGCTGTAATTTGCCTTGAATAAAGGAAGGACCTAAAATGAGCTGTAGGTCAGTTTTGTTTTAATAAAGAAATATCCATATAAATTACTAGCATAAAATGACTGACACATTACAATAAAAATATCTCCAGAGAACTAGAATTCATTCAGTGTATTACTTGTAGCGTACTACTTAAAGGTTTGTGACCTCTTAAAAAGATAGTTCACTCAAAAATGAACATTTGCTCCCCGTTTACTCATCCTCATGGTTATAAACCTTTATGAGTTTCTTTCTTCTGATGAACACAAAAGAAGATTTTTTGAAGAAAGATGAAAATCAAAAGCCATTGATATCCATAGTAGGAAAATCAAATAATATGGTGGTGAATAGTTTTTAGGTGAACTGTCTCTTTAAGATGTTTTTAAAAGTCTCTTATATTCACCATGACTGAATTTAGTTCATCAAAAATATGATGAGCTTAAATGTAATTTATTCAAGGCATCATTTCCCTAGCAGTCTTAAGGGATCCTTCAAAAAAATTATAATTCGCTGATCTGCTGTTCAAGAAACATTTCTTATTATTATCTATGTTAAGAACAATTGTGCAACTTGTACGTTTTTTTTTTCTTTTTTTGCGGAGAGTTAATAATAATAATAATAATAATAATAATAATAATAATAATAATAATAATAATAATAATTCCTTAGATTTTATATAGCGCTTTTCTGGACACCTAAAGCGCATTACACATTTGAAGGAATCTCCTCATCCACCACCAGTGTGCAACATCCTGGATGACGCGACGGAAGCCATATTGCGCCAGAACACACACCACACACCAGCTGATTGGTGGAGAGGAGACAGAATGATGAAGCCAATTATGATATGGGGGTGTTTAGTAGGCCATGATGGATAGAGGGCAAATTTGAACAGGATGCTGGGGCTAAACCCCTACTCTTTTTTTGAAGGACATCCAGGGATTTTTAATGACCACAAAAAGTCAGGACCTCGGTTTTAACGTATCATCCAAAAGACGGCGTTCACTGAGCAGTATAGAGTCCCCTTCACTATACTGGGGTGTTAGTACCCCCACGGACTGCAGGTTGATCGCCCCCTGCTGGTCTCACTAACACCACTTCCAGCAGCAACCAAGCTTTGCCATGTGGTGTCACAGCCCATCTAGCTTCAGTGGGCGACCATGTGAGAGCTGCAGAGAGCTAGCTGTCGGCCAATGCACATTTCAGCGTTCTTTAAAGACTAAACATTTGCTAAATATGTATAGCATAAATAAACAAATATTTGTAGCATTAGTTATGTATTTAATGCAACTTTATGCATTCTTACTGAATAAAAGTATTTCTTTTATTTATTTATTTATTTATTTATTTATTTATTTATTTATAGAGCTTTTACTACTTTCATCACTTCCAGGCTCTGTGTGTGTGTAATGTATGCATGTGTGATCTACTTGAAGTGTAAGTAGTTCACTTTCCTATCTGTAGTAAGACATTTCTTCGATTGCCCAACATTACTAGCAGCTATTACAACACATGCTGAGAGCACTAACATCATCATTATCATCAATCTCTAACCATCATCATCATCATCATCATCATCATCATCATCATCATCATCATCGTCATCATTTGTTATAATAATAAACAGTTTTTCACTCTAAATCATCAGTCACACTCCCAATATTTTACCATCCTTGAGTATACATTCAAATGTTCTTATGTTCATATGTCCTTTTTTTCTGTGTTTATTTCAGACTAGCTCTAATAACGTGCAGGAGATCATTGAGTCTCGGGTGGAAAAGAGGATTAAAGGTGTCTACGTTCCAGTGGGAGGGAAAAAGATGGTGGTTTTCCTGGATGATCTCAACATGCCCGCCGTGGATAACTTCGGCTCCCAGCCACCTCTGGAGCTGCTCCGCCTCTGGATTGACTACGGCTTTTGGTATGACCGTCAGAAACAGACCCTCAAATACATCAAGGTAAGACTGTGTGTGTGTGTGTGGTAATGGGCATTCATTACCTTTTGGGGATCAAATATACCCTCAAACTTACCAATAGTGGTCATTTTTTACCTTGTAGGGAAGTTGTTTGGTCCTTATGAGGAAAACTGTTCATCAAAAATGTGATCAATCAAATTTTTTTTCAAAATTGACAAGAATGGGTGTAGTTCAATAGTTTTAGGACAACTTTGATAAAAGATGATGATCCACTTCAAATGTGGACTACTAAATATTGAAAATGTAAACCTGCAGAATGTTTTTTGTGATGATTGAGTTTTGGGGAAGAGTCAGAGAAAAAGGAGAGAATCTACTTTCTGTGCGGTAGAAAAGTCATTATATCTATAGTAAGTCCCAATAAAACATACAAACCCAGTGTGTGTGTTGTTACTTATTTTAAAAAATATAAGCTTGGTAATATCAAACAATATCTTGACATATACTTTAACATTCATCATGTCATTATTATCTGACCTGCCAGTGTCAGTGGCTTCACAAATCTTAACTCTTGGCCTTATGGGATATTAAATTGTCCATCTTATGCAGTTTTATACAGAAAAATACAGTAGTTGATCATCGGGTGCTGTCTTATGAGTAAATTTGCTTTGTTGTTTGCTTGTTTATTGTATTAAAATGTGCAATTTTGAATGCAGTGAAATTGTCCATATGCTAATAAAATTAGTTTTCTCACTCTCTTTGTCGTAATCTTAAAGGACCTTTTCCTACTGGGTTCGATGGGGCCCCCTGGTGGAGGGAGGACTCACATATCAGGACGCCTACAGAGCCGATTTAACCTGATCAACATGACTTTCCCTACAGTAAGTATTGACCTTATTCTGAAGTGTGGAAGTACGCTCATTTTTGCGATTGTTTTAGATCATCTGATTTAGTTGCCTATGGGAAGAATAATTAGAAATAGTAAACGTCAGAAAACAGTCTAAAGCTATGTTTCCATTGAAAAATGCGAATTAACTTTATGGGTAAAACTGGATTATTGCATAAAAGACGTGCGAAAAAAGCAGCATTTTCATCCAACGAGTCAAAGAAAACAAAATTGTCACTTGCTGATGATCAGGTGCCAAATATCAACAGTAAAAATGAAATTTGCTGTGGTAGGAGAAGCTGTGTGAACCTTCTTCTTATTTAATATATGACTTGGGCCTCAGAAGGCAAACCTGACACGCAGTTACTGTTAAGGCATTTTAAAATGACCAAAACAACATTTTCAATGTTTTACAATGTGCTCAGCCTGCTGGTTTGTCCATTCACACACATTTTTATCATCACATGATCTCTTATAACAACATCACATGACCTTTTTTAATGCGCATACTGAAATTTTGTGCCATAAAAGTGTTTCCATCATAGTTTATGCGCATTGTTTCTTAATTGATAAAAAAGTTTATCTTACTCAGTTATGCTCATACATTTTTATGCGCATTTTCAGAATTAATGCTCATCCTGCCATTTCCATTAACCTTTTTATATGCGCATATGCAAAATTAGCATAAGCATAGGAAACGTAGCTAATGACTATGATTAAAAAGTAGAATAATGTAATAAAAAAAGATCAGTTTGCAACATAAAGCTGTTTTTAACATCTAGAAATCAGTAGATCTGTTTCCACCCACTTATTTTTATGCACATTTTGGATTTGCACATAAAAAAATGATTGATGGAAACGCCAAGATGCGCATACATTTTGAAAATGTGCATAAAAAAAGTAGGGTAAAGTTATTTGCGCATAACTGAGTAGGATAAACTTTTTATTTAACAATAAAAGATTTGCATAAATTACGATGGAAATACTTTTACCGAACAAATACTAGTATTTGTTTTAAAAAAGGTCTTGTGATGTTGTTATAAGAGATCATGTGATGATAAAAATGTGTGTGAATGAACAAACCAGCATGGTGAGTACCTTGTAAAACATCTGAAATGTTGTTTTGGTCATTCCAAAATGTCTTAACAGTTTTAGTATTAGTGTTATTCTATTTTTAATTACCTCCAGAATCAAAAGCGTCTGTGCTCCGGGTCTCACGCCTTCAATTTTTGATATTTGTTGCCAGATTATCAGGAAGTGACGATTTTGTTCGCTTTGACTCGTTGAATGAAAGCTCTGCTATATTCGCACATCTTTGATGCGACAATCCAGTTTTGTGCATAAAATTAATTCGCATTTTTGGAAGGAAACATAGCAAATATTTTTTCATGAGACCAGAAGTCTCAAGCCAAAATAATTCCAATGGCTGGATAGAATTATGATAAAAAATATGACTAATGCACTTTTCTGTTTACACGGGACATGATTCCATATGATTCCAAGTATTAGTGGTATTAAAACATTACACTGCAAAAATGCTTTTCTTTCTTAGATTTTTTGACTTGTTTCTAGTCCAAATATCTAAAAGTTCCTAAATCAAGAAGAATTTTCTAAACAAGCAAAACATATTGCCTTGTTTTGAGAAATATTATGCCAATATTAAGTCAGTTTTTCCTTAAAACAAGCAAAATAATCTGCCAATGGGGTAAGCAAAATAATCTTACATCAAAAGAAAAAACAAGAATAATTTGTTTACCCCATTGGCAGATTATTTTGCTTGTTTTAAGGAAAAACTGACTTAATATTGGCATATTCTTTCTCAAAACAAGGCAATATGTTTTGCATGTCTAAAAAATGCTTCTTGATATAAGACATTTTAGATATTTAGACCAGAAACAAGACAAAAATCTAAGCAAGAAAAGCATTTTTTGCAGTGTAGGTGTAAAAGATAGAAAAGATTAATTGGCTTTTTGTATACAAATAAATGTATGATAAAAAAGAATGATTGCATCTCACTAAACAAATATTATAGTGACATCACTGTTGGTGATGAAAGCACAAAAACATTGTAAGTCAATGTTACAGTATATATGCAAACTTTAGTTTCATTCTGACAGCAAATATAAGACAGAAATGATTTCCAAATGTCAGAATCGAGTCTCTGTATTAGGGGATTCAGCTGTACTTTATTGCAGTGTTAGAGAGAAAAAAAGTAATAATAAGAAATTTCAGTATATCTTTGCCTAGGAACCACTGGAATAAACTGTGTATTAACGTGCATAGTAGTTACAGATGGTTTATTTTGATATATATTTATATTAAACTAGTGGTTATTGTTTTAGTGGTCTTCCCAACAGTTTGACACTAGCTTAAAGACACTAACAAATGATGTCAAAACAACAGGAAATTATCATAAGGAAGCAACAATAATGAAATATTTCTGTCTTATTTCACTCTGTTGTGAAAATAGTTTTATTGTAAAATGAAGCAGAGCTGTATCCATTATTTAGGTTGTGTTAAATTATGAATTCATTGCATTCAACATTTAATTTTAGAAAGTAGCTTTTAATACATCTAATAAAACATAAAGGAGTAGATAAAAGGGATGCAGTTTTGCTAAAGCATCATAAAAGGAAAAGCTCACCCAAATTTGAAATATCATTTACTCGCCCGCGTGTAGTTTGTTCTTTTTTCTGTGAAACACAAAAGGAGCTGCATGAGAGATGAGAGGATGATGATTGTGACTGTCAAGCTCCAAAAAGCACATAAAAGCACTGCCAAAATATCATAAAAGCACCATAAAAGCAGTCCAAACATCTTGTGCACTATATTCTAAATTTTATGAAGTCATGTGAGAGCAGTGTTTGAAGAAGAAACAGAATTCATTGACTGAAAGTCTTGCCCACCACCATCCATTTGAACCTGAAGCAGAGATATAGTTAATAACGTCTCAAACAAAGCTCTCTCTTTTCTCGAATAATAGTTTAATATTAATGTATTTTACCTTGCTCTATTCCTATCCATCAAACTAACCGATCACCTTTTATCTTTTGTCTTATCTGCTGTATTTATCTTCTGTTTTATCCGCCCCTGTAATTCCCTCTCCTCTTCTATTCTCTCCAGGAGTCTCAGATAAAGCGCATCTATGGGACCATGATCAGTCAGAAGCTGCAGGAGTTTGAGGAGGAGGTGAAGCCCATCGGGGGGATTCTGACTCAGGCCACCCTGGAGCTCTACCATGCCATCACCTCCCGCTTCTTACCCACGCCTGCAAAAATACATTATCTCTTCAACCTCAGAGACATCTCCAAGGTACTTAACGTCATGTGTGAATGGCTCTTAAAAGAGCAAATTGTGGTTTAGATCTACCCACTCTAGGGATAATATCACTACATATATTATCAGTAAAACCCTCACCCCCATCCCTCTTAGTTACACCCAGACAAACAAGTTTGCGAACTTTTTCTTTTCATGACACCTGTTAGCGGGAAAACCTTGTTTTAAGATGTTTTTGGTACATTTTGGAAACTTACAGTTGAAGTCAGAATTATTAACCCCCCCTTTGATTTTGTTCTCTTTTTAAAATATTTTGCGATTGATGTTTAACAGAGCAAGGAAATTTTTTACAGTATGTATGATAATATTTTTACTTCTGGAGAAAGTCTTATTTGTTTTATTTCGGCTAGAATAAAAGCAGTTTTAAATTTTTTAAACACCATTTTAGGTCCAAATTGTTAACCCATTTAAGTTATTTTTTGGATAGTCTACTGACGAAAACCATCGCAAATTCTGACTGAGGAAAATTAAATGTGCTGGCCAGTTTGTTATTTGCCTAATAAATGACAATAGGCTACAGTTTTTCAATAAAAAATTTTAACAGATTTCTATGTACTCTTAATGATATATAATGTGATAAATCTGTATTTAAAAACAATATTGCTTTCATATTTCTTTATTCTAAACCTTTAGGAAATGTTTTTGGTACATCAAAATGTGTGGTTATGATGACCATACAACAATCCAGCAAAGAATAGTGTTTAAAATATCACTAAAATGCAGTATGTAATCCTTATAATTACAAAGAAAACGAAGTGAATAACTGCAAGAAGTTCCACTTTTTGATAGAAAAGAACCACCTTTTTCACTAGGCTGGCTACAAGCCTACGGGATGCTAATAATTTTGACTTCAACTGTACACAGAAGGGCCAAATCATTCAAGTGGGTATTAAATATGCCATTTAAATGTAACAAAACAAAAAAAATGGTGGATGTCGAGATTAATTGGGAAACCAAGGGTTTACAGATCACAAATGCAAGCTTGTTTTACCTTCATCATGATTACTGATGAAAAGGACTTCCAGGACAACACACACACTTAATACACAAATTCACTTCTTTAAACATGTACACATAGATGATTTTTTTCTTCTGGAGAAAGTCTTATTTGTTTTATTTCGGCTAGAATCAAAGAAGTTTGAATTTTTTTAAAATAATTTTAAGGTCAAAATTATTAGCCCTCTTAAGCTATATATCTTTACGATAATCTACAGAACAAACCATTGTTATACAATAACTTACCTAATTACCCTGACCTGCCTAGTTAACCTAGTTAAGCCTTTAAATGTCACTTTAAGGTGAGTACTAGTGTCTTGAAAAATATCTAAAATATTATTTACTGTCATCATGGCAAAGATAAAACAAATCAGTTATTAGAAATGAGTTATTAAAACTATTATGTTTAGAAATGTGTAGAAAGAAATCATTCAAGTGGGTATTAAATATGCCATTTAAATGTTAAAAAATTGTGAATGTCAAGATTAAATAGGAAACCAAGGGTTTACAGAAAACAAATGCAAACTTGTTTTACCTTCATTAAGATTACTGATGAAAAGGACTTCCAGCAACACAATAAATACACAAATACATTAAATATGCACACATAGACATCACCTACTGTATATGCAATAAAAGTGCAGGTTAACTATGTATGTATATAAAAACTTAGATTTGATAGTAACAAATTAGTAACAAAGATATTTAGATATTAGATAGATACAAATTTGATTGTATAGCAACAATGTGCACAGTTTGTGAAGCTGCTTTGAAACGAATTATTGTAAAATGCACTATACAAATAAACAAATTGAATTGAAAACATCCAGGATCAACACTGTTCAAGTGCCAAAGGTTACGATTCAAATAGTTTACATTTAATTTACTTTGCTGGTGGCAAATAAAGGGATAGTTCAACCAAAACTGAAAAAGCTCAGTATTTACTCTGCTTATGAGGAGAGTCTGACAGGATATTTTGAAGAATGCAGAAAAACCTGCAACTATCGACTTCCATAGTAGGAAAAACCAATATTATGATCAATGATCTATAAGTCAATGTTTACAGGTTTACAGCTTTCTTCAAGATATATAATTTTAATGTTCAACAACAACAACAAAAAAGTCAACAGGTTTGGAACCAGGAAAGGGTGAGCAACGGTGAACTACCTGCTTTGGATATAGCAGTGTTTCTACATGGTGCTAAAGCCTAAAGATGTCAGAGTTGTCCCTTTGTAATTGATACTCAACTGCCATTGGATCCTCTGCATTCAAGGGGAGGGGCCAACCAAAAAGATAATTTGATTCTAGAGTGATTAAATAAAGCTTATCCTGTTAGCCACAATACCACCAAACTGTCCAAAAAAGACAGTCTTTTGCTTTTATTTTGAGACTGCATATGCTTATACAAGACAGTAACGGCTTTTCAAAACAACCTTTGAAAGCATCTTGAGCCTGCAAGGACATTTTGTGCATCTCTTTTGAGCTTGATCAGACAGAAAATCAATATTTTATACATAAAATGAAATTGCAGTAAAGAAGGCTTTGTGTGCATGTTCAATATGTCCTCTAATGCAGGTGTTCCAGGGTCTGTTGCGAGCGCACAAAGACTTCCACGACACCAAACAGAGCATCACACGCCTCTGGATTCATGAGTGCTTCAGGTACAGACAAACACAGGCCTGCACATGCGCACACACGTGTTTGGAGAAGATAAGAATTGGGTTTTGTGTTTGTGTTTCAGGGTCTTCTCCGATCGATTGGTGGATCATGCAGACATGGAGACGTTTGTGGGAGTTTTGTCAGAAAAACTGGCTTCTCATTTTGATGTGCCCTTCCACACCATCTGCCCCAACAAACAGCCCCCTCTGTTTGGTAAACACCATACAAACAAATGCCGTGAATTAGTTTTACATCTTGGAAGACCTAAAGATTTTTAATGTGTAGTTTCTTATGCTTATCAAGGCTTGGTGAAAACTGAATTGTGAAATATTTAAAACATTTAGACTTTAAAGAATTAGAATTTTCTTACTGGCAATACTGTTTTATCGCTGCATAATTTAGAATTATTCCAATTTTTTTTAATTTTTTTTATTTTACCAGCTTTTCAGTAAAACAATTTTAAAATTCATAAACACCACATAACAACCAGGGATGGGCAAAAATACATTGAAATGTATTTTAAAATAAAACACCAAATACCTCAATTTTACAGTAGGTGCATCAAAATAAACTACAAAATACAGCAGCCACAAAAGTATTAAAATAAAATACTGTATTTTTGTATTTTAAAAATACTACAAATTACTTTTATAAGCAAGCATGAACCTTTTTTGCAGACCTTAATGAATAGGCCTATTCGATTAATCCTTTTACTATTAAACTATTAAGTAAACAATATTTGATAGCAACAGCTTCTCTGTTAGCAGGCTGTGAGTCTGCTAGCAAGTTTTAGCAGACTCTCTGCTACCTTGTTCACCTCTACTCTTGACCTGATCTGTACATTTTTTTACTTGCTTCTTTTTTTATTAATTTAGTATATTTTTGTGCAGATTTCATACAGAAAGCCCCGTTTAATGCAGTTAATGAGTTAGATAGTACTGTTGATTATGTTTCCATCCATTGTGTGGCCAGAAAAATGGATATAATCTCTGTATAATGATTGCTCAACCTCTTAACATTCTTATATTTTAAAAGGGTGACATATGAAGTGTTTAATTTTTAAATGAATTTTTTTCACTGTATTTTTTTATCTAGTTTTATTAAATTCATCTCTTTAATAGGCCTAGTTAATGTATATGATTTCAAAAAAAAAAAAGTTTTAGTCATTTTCATATGTAATTTCAAAAAAATTCCTTCATTCATTCATTCATTCATTTTCTTTTCGGCATAGTCTCTTTATTAATCTGGGGTCCCCACAGCGGAAGGAACCGCCATCTCATCCAGCATATTTTATGCAGTGGATGCCCTTCTAGCTGCAACCCATCACCGGGAAACATCCATACACACCCATTCACACACATACAGTACACTACAAACAATTTGCTTACCTAAATCACCATGTTTTTGGACTTGTGGGGGAAACCGGAGCACCCGGAGGAAACCCACCCCAACATGGGGAGAACATGCAAACTCCACACAAAAATGCCAACTGACCCAGCAGGGGCTCAAACCAGCGACCTTCTTGCTGTGAGGCAATTGTGCTACCCACTGCATCCCCGTGCTGCACAATTTTTTCAATGCACAACATAAAAACATGATATCTCATAACTTAAAATGAGTTATCAATTTTTGAAATAATTTCTTTATATATATACAGATGATGTCGTATATCCCAAGTTGTTTTTGACTAGTCTGTATAGACTGAATTGCTGTATTATTAAATATTAGTGTTTCATATATTGTCCCACTTTGACATTTTTAGGCAGACATACTTCCAATTCACTAACTATACTACTGGAAATGTAAACAGCCAGTGAAGCATCACACCATGATGTGATGCATAATTTCCTTCCATACTCCCATCATTGACCACCTTCTTCAATCTAAATTCATTTTCTGTTCTGACCTCAAGCTTGGGCAAATAACTGAGCAAGCTTCATCCAGAGTCCGCATTTTTATAATGTCATCTTGTAGACTTCCTACAAAGTATTTTACAGTATTTTGAAATTACAAAAATACAGGACACTGAAGTATTTTGATGCAAAATATTAAGCCATTTTCATAAACCCTATTTTGTATTTGAAACACATGTATCATAAATACTGGCCATCCCTGATAACAATAACATTTCATTAATCCTATCAACAAAAACAATCACATGCTTTCAATACCGCTCTCTTTATAATGCTTTTAAATTCACAGAAAGTCTTTTTGCAAATTCTTCCATGCCCAAGGTGCACAATAAGAAAATGCAGTTTTACCCAGCTCTGTACAAACTCAAAGTATATTAAAAAGCAAACACTTGGAAGAGCGTAGCTGGTTATTCCCAAAGCCAAGACAAAAAAAAAAGAGTACAAAGATAAGCTCCAAGTATACTTAAAATAGCTTTATAGATAAAAATGAACCAGTGCTGTTTTCTGCATACAGCTAGTGATGTCCAGCCCGTCATCCCATATAAAATGCAATGATGAGTATGGAATTTTCCATTTGTTTGAAATGTAGTGAAGCATGATAAACAGAATCAAGTCTTGTTAGAATAGAAGATGCCGCATGGATGTGTAATATATCACCATAATCAAGCACAGATAACAAAGTAGCTTCTACAAGATTCTTTTTAGCATTAAAAGTAAAATTAGATTTATTAATCAGGGGTGCGTTTCCGAAAACCATCCTTAGCCAACTAAGGTCGCAAGTTACAAGTTACAAGTTACTACAAACATAGATCGTTGATTTGGCATTTTTTCAAATCTGTCATTCCAACGAACATTCACAAACTGCATTGCAAACTTGTAAGTTTGGAACTAAACCTCCAGAGCTGTAGATAGAAGCGTAGTTTCTGGTTGTGTTCTATTCCCAGTTTTCCCCTATGGCCTATTAATTTAGAATGTTCCAACATTTAAACTTAAAATGATTTTTTAAAATTAAAGCATCAAAGGCATCTCTCTTACGTGTAATTTGCTTTAAAAGTATTGTTACAGTTCAGTTTTAGTGATCTTCATCTTGACAATTGCGTTCCCTTCCCTGCCATTGTGAACACACCCGTGGCTCATGATAAAAGTTATATGTCAAGTATTAATTATAAGTGGAATTTACGTTATGTTATCTATTTTTAAAAATGTGTGCGTGTAAAACAAAATAATTTGCACAAAAGTATGGGTTTTTTCTCTTAAGAACTTGTTCCGCCCCGTTTAGAGCGTCTTTATGGATGTTTTACGCTATAACTAACGTAGTTCAGTCGATGGATTTGCCAAAAAGCAGCTACAGTTTTGGGAAACACTCGTCACTACATCTTTCTTTTCCCAAACGATGTATCGCACTATGATGGTTCAGCTACGAGTTATATCATTGTTTGGTATTAGCAATGTGTACATTAAGTTAAAGCTTATCATCAATCCAGATACCTAAGTTCTTGTACGAAGTTGCTCTTTCGATTGGTTTTCCGTTAGATATTCATTCATTCATTTTATTTTTAGTCTCTTTATTAATTTGGGATCGCCACAGCGTAATGAACCGCCAACTTATCCAGCATATGTTTTACACAGCGGATGCCCTTCCAGCTGCAACCCATCGCTGGAAAATATCACACACACATACACTACGGCCAATTTAACCTACCTAATTCACCTATACCACATGTCTTTGGACTTGTAGGGGAAACCGGAGTACCCAGAGGACACCCACACGAACACGGGGAGAACATGCAAACTCCACACAAAAACGCCACTGAACCAGCTTGAAGCTTGAACCTTCTTGCTGTGACGTGAACATGCTACCCACTGCGCCACCGTGCAGCTCCTCCATCAAATGTAAAAATACTACAATTATCAAATAGTGCCCAAGCTTTTGAAAAACCATAAAAGCCCATTATTAGAATAGCTAATTTGTCTTGTCTCTTACTCATTTAAAATGGTTCTTATTAATATCAGTGTTGACAACATTGTTTCCGCTTTGATTATTTTATAGAACCCATAATAAATTTTACATTTAATAGTAAAAAATAAGTTTATTTGAAAAAATATGTCTTTCCTATGTTTTGATCAGTAATGTGTCCTTGATAAATTAAAGGATTTTTCAAAGAAAAAAAAAATCTAATAAAACAATAAAAAATACATTTAAACAAATATTCAGTTAGAAAAAGGTTATTAACATTTCAAAATATTGCTGTTTTATTGTATTTTTTATCAAATAATTCAATAGTCTTGAGTTATATACTTTTTTATTATTTAAATTATTTATTATCTGATTACTAATATTAAAAGATACAGTCTTGGTAGGCTAAGAGACTTTTTTACAAGCATTAAATATGTTACCGATCTCAAACTTGGCAGCATGGTGGCTCAGTGGTTAGTACTGTTGCCTCAAACAAGAAGGTCACTGGTTCGAATTCTGGCTGGGTCAGTTGCCATTTCTGTGTGAAGTTTGCCGGTTCTTCTCGTGTTCACGTGGATTCCGCCGGGTGCTCTGGTTTTTGAACTAGTCCAGTTGGATGAACTAAATGGGCGGTAGTGTATTAGTACGTGTGTTTACGTGTTTATGGGTGTTTCCTAGTACTGGATTGCGGCTGGAAGGGTATGTGCTTCTTAAAACATATGCCAGAATAGTTGGCAGTATATTCTGCTGTAGCAACCCATGATAAATAAGGGACTAAGCCAAAGGAAAATCAATGAATGATCCCAAACTTTTTAATGATAGTGTTTGTGCCTATTATTAAAATGAAACAATATTTATATTAATTTTAAATAGACTATTTAAATTGGTGATAAATGTTTTACATGGCTCTTGTAGCCCATCATACGTACCATATTATTTGTGTCTTTTGCTCTGTAGGTGATTTCCTGAGGGAGCCACAAATATATGAGGACCTGCTGGACTTTAAAGCTCTGAAGGTTCATATGGAGAACCAGCTGGAGGACTACAACCTCACGCCTGGTGTGGTGCCCATGAGCCTGGTGCTCTTTAGAGATGCTATAGATCATGGTAAGAACTTGTTCAGATTGAATCACGTAGTATCTACTGTTTTACTAATCCTCATGATGCTTTGTGCAGGAGTAACTTCCATCAAACAGTCAAATACTTTTTTTTTTTAATTGGTACAAGAAGTTTTCATAATTCTTTTCTCAGTTCATCCATCAAAAAGGAAAAGACAACTTATTAGAATTAGCAAATTACTTTCAGCAGTGCATGAATAACCTCTAATAGCCAAAGACAAGTCTTTTTACAGCAGTATTACGGATGTATATTGAATATTGCTTAAAAGGGTGGTCCACTACGATATCATTTTTTAAACTTTAGTTGATGTGTAATGTAGCTGTGTAAATATAAACAACATCTCTGAATGTAAGACACTCAAAGTTCAATGCAAAGGGATTGGCTTTTACAGAGTTACCTTAACAAAGCCTATAGCAAACTAAGTTTGGGGACTACAAAAAAAAATACATCCAGGCTAGTGAGATCACAAGGAATTCCGATTACATGCATTTACCACATGCATACACCCTGTGCAGCGAAGCGGCGTGGTCAGAGGCGCTGTAATGTTATAGCAGCGAAAGCTAAAATGCCATCCAAATGCTGCTATTTTCACAGAGCTCATTCTGTTTCTGTATTTGAGATTCCATCGGACATGACACAAAGAGAAAAGTGCTTACAGTTTAATTTTAATTATGTTCCAGAGAATTATAAAAAAATATATATAACTAACATTTGACAAAGGACAGCTTCCAGAATCTCTCACAGTTCAGTGCCGGATTCGGTTAAAAAAACTCCAACCGACGAAGCTGTGGATTGTGAAACATAACCTGTAAGTATATTTATTTGTTAATATTGATCAATTACATGCACAGTTTCTAGCGTTAACAGTACAACAGTACAAAGCGCAAAAGTGTGTGCTTGTAGGGGTGTGACGCTTTTCCTGGTGACTCAAAGTCTTGCCGTCTATCCAATTCGCGAGTCACAGCACATTATGTTAGCTGACCAATCAGAACCTCTTGCGGGAGGGCTTTTCGAAGGAACTAGGAAATATGACAGTCGTTTTCATGTTAGCTGAATCATAAACACACATAGCTTTGCATTTTATAAACACAACCAAGCCTTAAAAATACACTGTGGACCACCCCTATAAAACAGTTATCTGGAGCTACAAAACACAATGAACTCTACATGTTATACTGATGTCACATTACAATACCAAGCATTATTTTCATGATAGATTAAAAAACACACACAAGTAGATTAACCATAATTTTAGAAGATTTATTTTAGGTGCTTTGAATGAATATTCCATGTATACTGATTTAAAAGATTCTGTAACATGATCTATCACCATTGTGCATTGAGCTGAGCTGTTTCCATTTCCAACTTCCAAAATACTTTTGAATGATGACTTTATGTGGAAAACAAATCCCACTAGTTCTGTTCTGCCACAGCCATCAATATTCATAAAACGGCTCTCATCGTTTGGTTACGTCCACATCAAAATACCCATGATTCAATGCACACTCTCGAGTCCTATAATTCAGTGGCCGATCTCCTCAGTTCTCTTTCAAATATAACTTTCTTCCAAATCACATGCACTTCAGCCCTCAGATCCCCCACCAGCATGAATAATTACCCTTCTCGTTCCCACAAAGAAGAACGCAATCGCATTACAAACCCCTCAGCAGGGAGAATAATTAGGCGGCCGGTTCCCGAGTCTATATGTCACTCAGCCGCATACAGGCATTTACTGTCAAAGACTCATATAAGAATGCTTTATATGCATCCTGTCACGCATACACCACACTGTGACATTAAAGCGGTCGCACATTCAGCTCGTTGAAGTTGCAAACACTCACTTCAATGACACGCCGCTGAGCGCAGCTGATTGATTGCGAAATTAGCAAGTATAACGTGTATGTTTATGTGCGTACGTGTTCATAACTAATTATAGTTTTGTGCCAATTAGTTTCTTTTGTGATCGGTTGTTTGTTTGAGCTTCAGCATGAATGATGTGTGTGTGTGTGTGTTTTTGTATGCATTGACATTTTTATATTTTTTACTTTGGGTTTGTAAATGTTGCATTGACCAAATGACGCACATGATTCATGCTAGTAAATGCACACAGTTATTGTTATGATGATGGAAACAGCACCCTCTCTCTGCCCCCGCAGTCACACGTTTGGTGCGAGTGATCAGTCAGCTCAGAGGGAACATGTTGCTGGTTGGCATCGGTGGCTCAGGGAGGCAGAGTTTAACCAGACTGGCTGCTTACATCTGTAGGTTTACGGTTTTCCAGGTGGAGGTCACCAAACAGTACCGCAAACAGGAGTTCAGAGAGGGTGAGTTCTGCACACTGTTTACATTTATACCTTCCTTTAGTGAATTATTTTATTCAAAGCTACCACACCTACTTTACATTTTATCAAAGGTCTACATACAGTAGTGTCAATATACAGTGTTTATACAGTCATGGAAAACCTGGAAACATCATGGAGTTTTGGAATCACTTAATTTTAAAGAGCCGCTATTTTGCATTATAAAAGGTCATATTTTGGTTTTGGGGGTCTCTAAAAGCAGGCTGATATGCATGTAAGGTCAAAAAACACTTTCATTGTCTTATAATGTGTAGTTATTTTTACCAAATTATCCCTACAACTCCCATATGATTCTTTCATTGATTCATCTGTTCCCAAACCCCTTCTTTGTGTGTGGTTAATCTCCTGTAATTGGTCAAAAATTTAAAACTGATTGATCAACAGTGGAAAAAGTTTAGCTATTTTAAAAACTGAACGCGCCACGTGTTTAGGAACAGCTGATGGTGGCCAAAGTAAGGACAAAATCAGACAATTTTGTAAACTATTTTGTAAAAGAATCAACAGTTTTAAACAAGGTGCACTTTCAGATTTAAACCTCAGCTGGATTTTTTCATTCACTCAGAGCTGTGTTACACACTGCATGGAAGGTCATTTTAAAAAACCCTTAATAGGAGCTCTTTAAAAGTAGTTTATTAAATATCTCTATCGGTTAGTTGTCTTTACTTTTTTCTGTCCTTGGCCAAAAAGATGCTCTCACATTATTAGTGCTGTGAAAACAATATCTAAAGCCCCAGTCAGATTACACAAATTTGTCAAGATTTCGGCATGATTTTTTTGACGTAGGGTTTCGTGGGGTAAACGACAAATGGGTGTCCTGACACAAGGTTCAATTGTTTGTTCAGGTATATTGGGGCATATTTTTTTTTCTTATTTACCACATATACCTGGATATTACATGAAACATTAGGTCAAGAAAAGTTACTTGAAGGTACTGGATAAGTCATAGAATTTTAGTAGTGAAAATGTGTATAAACCCTGTATATAGAAATCTGATATATGGAAATATATGCAAGTTGCATATACTGTATGACATGTTAGTCCATGTTAGGATTTATACTCAACATATTTTGCAAAAATGGTCATTTACATATTTTTTTTTCAACTGCTGGAATTGCAAATATGTGCATATGTGTTTAAGTATATTAGCTATAATTTATATGTGTTCAAATACGTCCATATAGCAGATTACTGTATGGTATGACAGCAACTACAGGAACAAACTATGAAAAGATCATAAAATTATGAAATAACAAATAAAAATGAATCATTTACTCACCATCATGTCATTCCGAATTCATAAGCAATACAATTGGTACACAAATGCAATATTTTGAATCAAATCTGAGAGATTTGTTCCCTCCTTTGAAAGTCTCTTCATCCCAAAACTGATGCTTCAAAACATTCATAAGAGATCAACATTGATCATGCATTAAGCATTCAGATTTGGTCTCAAAAGCTCAAGTACGCTTGCCTCAAGCCAAAGAACCAATACAGCAGTGCTGTAGTCTCAGAATCTTAAGACTTCACTTAGACTCAAGTCTCAAATTTGATGTGCTGTGACTTAACTTTTACAACTGTAGTTCACAACTTGACTTCAACTTGACTTTAGAAAGACATACTATAAACCAAAGATCAGAGTCCTTACCACAGATTGGTGGCTGATCACACTGGTATCATTAGAGCTTTGAGGAGGATTTGCTGTGCAGTGTTTTCAACCCATAAATGATTTCTGTAAATAACGCACCATGGAGTGAATACTAAAATGCTAAAGAGGTCAAATCCACAGCATACTAGCAAACACTGAAGCCTACAGTTAGACTAAATAAACCAAATATATAAAAAAATAAGCACAATTTGAAGATATAATTAAGCTATTCACCTCAAATACATATCTTGCAGGCAAATGTTAAGCCTTATTTTAAAAATACATAGATACTGAGAGTCCAATTTACTTTACATAGAGAGAGTCCAAATATCAGATACTTGCTAATCCAATTACCAATTATGTATTTAAAAAAAAAATGTTACAAATATTTTCATATGTACTTTGAAGATAAAGTAAAGTCTTATGGGTTTGATATGATATAACGGTGTGAAAGTCATGACAGAATTGATATTCTGGAGTTTACAACCCTCTAAAGTCCATGTGAAATCAAAATGTGTAGTGTTTATTTTGCTACCGCACATTGTTGTTCTTCAGATGGACAATTAATCTGTCCAAGTTCCTCTAAAATCCACTGGGAAAAAAAAAACATAGGTAATCTTCAACCAAAGTCTAACCATTTGCTTCCGCATTTAGAGTGCCTGTCATTCTCGAACGACATCAGTTTCTCCTACCGTTAATTTGCTATGAGGGAATGAATGTCAAAAAGCAAGCCTCATCCCCTACCTCATTTTAGTTAGAGGTACATCAACATACTGAAATAAAAGTCTCAGCAACTTCCGGTTCCCTCAGACTTTAAACAGCCTGCTAAAACAGCATCTAAACCTGTTTTGCTGCTCATTTAACGGATTATCTGAACATTCAGCCTAGCTAAATAGTATTTCAAGACCAACTAATGTTAGACAGCTTGCTGAGTTATTTCTTCAATTTTACATCTTGGATAAAATGCTCTTTTGATATATAACAAAGGCTTTAAAAATTTGTCCTGTGGCATGTTGTGTTTCCAAATGCTGAAAAATAACACCTCTTGCACCATTGCTCGGTACCAAAAGATGTATTATGTTATGCACATCGTAGCCTTCGCAGCACAGTTTAATGTGGCCTCGGTGGAATATTTGACACATTTCTTCTCCCCGTACAGATATTAAAAAGCTCTATCGGCTGACAGGAGTGGAAAACAAGCCCACTGTGTTCCTGTTTAATGACACACAGATCGTGGACGAGTCCTTCCTTGAAGACATTAACAACATCTTGAGCTCTGGGGAGGTGCCCAATCTCTATAAAGCAGACGAGCTCGATGAGGTGTGTGTGCGTTTGTATACATTTTTAATGCGCGTGACTGCAGGCTTGTGTTTGACGATGTCTGCTTGACAGTGTGAGCAGGTTTTCAGCGTGTTTTGTTTGTATAGATCCAGAGCGCTCTGTCAGACTCCGCCAGGAAGGACAATATCCTGGAGACACCAGACGCCATGTTTAACTACCTGATAGAGCGCGTCAGGAACAACCTGCACATTGTGTTGTGCATGAGCCCTGTAGGAGATCCTTTCAGGTGCAATTTTGTTTTAGTGTTTTGTTTTTTGTTTGCATGATAAAAAACAGCATTTATATTGCTAAGCATTTGCAGTCTTACATACAATGAAAAATGGTGCAAGAGTAGAATAGAGGGAACTATTAGTATCAAAACACCTGTATTTCTGTAGCGCTTTATACAGTAGAGTTTATACCTGACAAAAGTCTTGCCGTCTGTCCAAGTTTTAGGAACAACACATACTGACACACACTTGATTTCTAGTTGATCATTTGCTATTAGAAGTGGCTTATGTGAAAGACAAATGCCCTGAAAGTATGTTTATTTTACCAAAATAAAATATGATCATGCCTTAATTTTTAATTCATTAATTAGGACAGTAAGGTCTAACTTTGCTAAGACAAAAGTCTTGTCACCTAACAGAAATAATGTACAGTATAGAATATTAAGCCATGGTGCAGTGGAAAAATTAATTAATTAATTAATATTATGTATGACTCCCATGAGCTTGCAGGACTGCATCCATACATCTCTGCAATGACTCAAATAACTTATTAATAAAGTCATCTGGAATGGTAAAGAAAGCATTCTTGTAGGACTCCCAGAGTTTACCAAGATTGTTTGTAATTCATCTTCCTCCTTCTTTATCTTACCCCAGACATGCTCAATAATGTTCATGTCTGGTGACTGGGCTGGCCAATCCTGGAGCAACTTGACCCTCTTTGCTTTCAGGAACTTTGATTTGGAGGCTGAAGTATGAGAAGGAGCACTATCCTATGAAGAATTTGCCCTCTCCTGTCATTTGTAATGTAATGGGCTGAACAAATGTCTTGATGCCTCAGGCTGTTGATGTTGCTGTCCACTCTGCAGATCTCTCGTCTGCCCCATACTGAATGTAACCCCAAATTGTTATATTTCCCTCACCAAACGACTGATTTCTGTGAGAATTTTGAGTCCATGTGGGTACCAACAGGTCTTCTGTAGTATTTGTGATGATGGGGATACAATTCAACAGATGAATCTACTTCATCTACTTCTGAATCTGCCACTGTCAACTAGAAGTTGAGGTATTAATTGTTGCTTTTACAATAGTGATTGACAACAAGACTTTTGTTAGGTAGAATACAGATTGTCAAAGCAGCTTCACAGCGATCAAGAGGAAAATAGCTCATCTATGAAAAAAACAACTATGATTTAGCTGTGAAACATAAATAGTCATTTAGCTCAGGTCAGATATTCATTGTTTAGTCCGTCAGTTTGAAATAAGTTCAGTTCAGCTCAATTCAGTTTAATTAAAGTGTCTGTTTTGCAGAATCTGATTAAGCTGTGAGACAATGGTGCCATCATTCAGCTTAATTCAGTAAATATTTATTTTAACATCACTTTATCAGAAAATAGGCATTTCAATTATAGGCTGCTGTGATTTTTGCTTTCAGCTTGATCTCATGAAAAAGCGTAACTATTGTAGTTATTATTTTTAGTGGTTATTATTATTTATTATTACTATTAGTTGTTATTTTTTTTAGCTTAGTGGGTAATTCAAACAAATTCGTACATGGTCAGTTGTACGAAAACGTACTATTGTTCTAAATTGAACGAATGAGATCCTACAAACTTATACCACTAAATCAAAAAGTTACGAATTTCCATGAGATTGTTTTGAATCTTTATGAATTAGATCTGTACCAGAAAAAACAAATGTAATAATTTTACTGTTGATCTGTAAAATCAATACTTATTTTTGTTTAACACTTCAGTTGTATTAATTGAGTAGTAATATTTCTTACGTTTTTATAATTATTTAATTTTTTTGCAATATTTTGAAAGTGTCATTATTAGTAGTACTGTGTTGTCATACATAATTAAAGGTGCAGTAGGTGAATGCTTTTTGTTGTGCTGGTTGAAAGTCTCTTCACTTTCCAACAGTAATGACTAAAGTAAATGATCTAAATGTATTTATATGTATTTTTATATTCTGGATAAGGTATAAAACAAACAAAGTGTGTTCTTGTTTATGAATGGGTTCATATGCACGGAAGTGTTGTTCAACCCCTGAAAACATCCGGCCAAAGACTATTTTCAAGTTCATGGAGTAGCATCGATAATATAGTCAAGTAAATAGACCTGAGCATTTTTTTAGTTGTTCAAGTATAAAAGGAGATGACAAGCGATGTACGAGGATGAGCGAGCACAATTGAAAATGAAAAGTTGTCTTGGGAACATACAGTAAGTGTAATGTAAAAATATGACAGCATATTTCTGTTTTGAGCACTCCTTTTTTCTGATCAAATTTGTATTTAGTTTAATAACAAAACCGCCTTTCCGCCTAACCAGCTTTACTGAGGTAAAGTTTGATTTATATTTACACATTTGTTCATTTTTGAACAGTGACAGCCAGTTTTTGGGTACTATAATTCCTGCACCAGCTGGTCTGTCAACATTTATGCTTAATAAAGTGTGTGTCTCCATAGGGTTTTGTGAATGACTTGATCTAGTGTTATATCTAATCAGCGCTGTTTGCGTGTTCATGACTTAAGGAGGCGTGGCTTTGGACAGCAGGGAAGGGACGTAAAGTTTCTAAGCTATTATGCTAATGCTAGCATTCTGGCAGATCACCTACTGCACCTTTAATTAAATGAAAATAATAATCAATTTAATAATAGTGATGATTTATTGAGGTTGTGATCATACTGTTTTAGTATTTCAATCAATGTGACTACACTAATAATATAAGTAACTATAATAGTCATATTAATTATTATTATTATGATTATTATTGTTATTTCAACTGTAGCTGATCACTCCTAGTTATGAAATTACATTCATTAAAATATATTGTACTACAATAAATGACTAAATTGAATAAATTACTGAAATATAAGGCAGCGTGGTGGTGCAGCTAAATTGGGTAAGCTAAATTCTCTGTAGTGTATGTGTGTGAATGAGAGTGTATGGGTGTTTCCCTTTGAGTTGCAGCTGGAAGGGCATCCACTGTGTAAAACATGCTGCATAAGTTGGCAGTTCATTCCGCTGTGGCAACCCCTGATTAATAAGGGACTAAGCTGAAAAGAAAACTAAAGAATGAAATATTAATCATTTTTTACTAATACTTGAAAAATGTATATTAGAATATATAACATTTTTTAATAATTTAATTTAAATAAAAGAATACATTATTAGGTTGACGATGAAGTTAATAAATAATCAAGTTATTTTTTTAAATGTATAATGTGTGGATGTTAATGCTGAACATAAGCATAGTTCAAGACATACTGTATAGGAAAGGCAGTCATGCTGTTCTTGTTATGTGCTATGAATATCACATTAAAAAGCAGAACTGTATCCCACCTTCAATTCAGTTTTCAGTGTCTCTACAAAACCCCATGTGTGTGGATTTAATATAGCCAACTGTAATATAGCGTGCATATACTCGCCTACCACTTATAATCTAACATGCGCCCATAGTGAGTCAGCCTTGATTAGCATGCTAACATTTGAGATCCATCCTGTGGCTTCTTATGGCTTAAGATCTCTCTCTGTAGGTTTGATTCACAATGAGCGTCAATATACGCTTTAACCGAACAGACCCGCACACAGTATAGCCGCTTATGACTCAGTGCTCCAGTTCAAAATGGATGAGAGATACAACTCTGTGAAATTAGAGGAAATGGCAGGAGTACACCTCACTTCCTCTGTCATTTCACACTCATCATGAAGACAAAGCTCTGCCCTCCATCTGCAATCTCTTACCAAGTGCTGTCGTAAACTCACAAGCGTCCTCATAAACGATGTAGCAAATTTGGCTTCCCCTGTCTCGATCTCTGTTTACTTTCCTTTTTTAGCTTGCTGCGTCTCAGTCAATTTCAGCTTCAGGGGCTTTATTGGCATGACGAACAACAGTGTGTTTGTATTGCCAGAGCAGTAGCAGGTTAGCTCTACTCCAGTGTTTCTCAACCAGCAGCGCACAGGACCATTTTGAGTGGGTTTTGGCATGTTTGGTGTGATTCGCAACTGATTTTGAAAGATTTCAAGCCTGTGTATCTGCTGTTAGACTATATATATTGTCAGGCAAGAGGTCAGTGTCATTCTTCTAATGCTGATTGCGTTAGTTTTTATGACATTGAAAGTCTTTTACCTATGAAAACTTTCCTGATCAGTCACCCTCGTGCACTCTTCAATTGCAAGCGCAAATACAGACAAATTGGAATCACTAAATTATTAATAAAGCTCAAAAAGAAGCTAGAAACATTTAACTTTGCAGTTTTGCTGTCAGTTACTAAGTCAAGAAATTATCAAGAAAGTGCAGTTTTGTAAGTGGTACAGCTCTGAATGATTTGCATGCATGCATTACATTTAATCTTAAATTAACATTAATGTTGTTAACATAAAGGTATTACATTAACAGTTTACACCAGGGGTTTTCAAAGTGTGAGGCGCGCCTCCCCTGGGGGGCGCCAGAGCATGTCAGGGGAGGCGCGGAAAAAAATATTATATAATAAAAATATAATTATTAAGTTTAATTATTATATGTACTTTTTATTATATTGAAACGTTTTAATTAAACAAAGCTAAAAAAAATAATACGTCTAAAATAAGAAAACCTTTTTTCCCCAGAAGGCCATAGCTGTAAATTCGCTTCTGTTTGGCAAGCCCGCCAATACAGGTATATGCCTGCTAACACAATGGATCGGTTTCTGAGACCCCCCGATTCAAAGCCATCGAGTTCAGGGCTTAAACCCAAAAGACGATGATATGATGATCAGTATTTGAGTTTAGGATTTACGTGGACAGGACCAGCTGATAAACCACAACCTTTATGTGTGGTTTGTCAAGATATTTTGGCTAATGACAGACAGCATGAGACCCGCTAAACTTCGACTGTTTTGACTGGGATGGACAGTTCTTGGATCTGTTCTATTCATATTGAACCATCATCCTAGTTTTAAAAACGTTATATTAAAATACTTGTTAATACTCTGTAAATAATTGCACTTTCATGCAAATGATGATAAAAGTGAGTTAACAGTCTGACATCTGTCTGTGTCTTTATATATATATATGTGTGTGTGTGTGTGTGTGTGTGCGTGCGTGTTTGGGAGGAGGGGGGCGCCAATGGATAAGTTGTGTCAAAAGGGAGGCACACTGTCTTAGACTTTGAAAAACCCTGGTTTACACTATTTACCTTCGCTTTGTAACCTCAAAATTGCTATTTTGAATATTTCTAATTTTGTAATGCTATTAAAGGTGCAATGTGTAAGTTTTTGACTCTTATAAAACATAAAAATACCATAATGAGTTTGCAGATATTTAATAAACAGTGAACATTATTGTTTATCTGAAAAATAATTCTGAAGTCAGATATTCTGCTTTGAAAATGTGTGTTATGTGACAAAATCGGTGTCTTTGTATTGATTCTTTTAACCCACCTACTGTCACTTTAGACTGTTATATTTTCAGCACCTTGTTGGAAAACCGCATATTTCATTCATTCATTCAAAAAGGCTCTCAAAGCATGCGTCCGTGATTAAAATGCAACCTCCAGTGTACAGAAGCAGAAACCAAAATGAGACGCAGATTCAGAGTTCCACATGAGGTTGTTAGGTACCAAATAATATAAATATTAGGAATTTAAACATTGGGTGAACAGGTTACATTGTAACCCTGTGTCCTAACAACATGCTACGTAATGAGATTTGCAGTGAGAAGGCTGTTTGCAGCAGACGAAACATGATAGAAATGTAAACACAGTCATTCAGAAGCACAGGATATACACTCACTCACGAAACTGTAAGGCTTATCCAGTGGCTATTTAATACATATTAAACCTCTTAACATTATTAAATGGAGATGCTGAATCACAGATACTGTATGTGTTAGTTTTGAGTCTAAAGTTTAATTTCAAACAGTTCATTTTTGTTTTCTAGATCAGAGATGAACTATCTGTTGCTGCTTTCGGTAGTATGGCAATAAATGTCATGTAAAATGGCATTAAAACTCATATTGTTAGCATTTAACACTCAAGGACAACACGGGGAAGCGATCACAAATTGAAGAGCGGGGAAGGGAGGCGGGGTGGAGCGACAACGCAGGGAAGCCTTCACAAACTGAAGAGCAATCACAAACTAAGGAGCGATCACAAACTAAGGAGCGGGAAAGGGGGCGGGGTGGAGCGACAACGCGGGGAAGCCTTCATAAACTGAAGAGCGATCACAAACCGAAAGCGGCGAGAGCGTCAAAGTAGCCAGAAGTCATTCATTTTTAATGAGAACCGGTGGCGAGGAACAGCGCGGTGCGTCTTCTCCTGTGTGGGCGTCGAGGAGAGTTGAAATCAAGTCAACTTTATGGTATGAGCTATGACGCGCCAAGCAATCAGAATGAAGTAGTCCACCGCTTGAGAGGAGTTCAGAGAACACAGACCTGTGAACTTTGGTTCCGACCACAGTTGTTCCCAAGAGTTTGATTATTGCGGTTGCCAGATTGCGACGACGTGGGGCCCCCCAATCACGCGCTGCGGGCCCTTCCGCTACACCACTGATTATAACTGGTTTTAATATACACATATATTAAAGGATGTACTTAAATTTGTAAATCAAGTATATTGGTTTATTACTTTTTTTAATTATGAATAATATTATATACATATTACAAATTATTTAAGGAATTTGGTCAGTTATTCATTCATTTTCTTTTCGGCTTAGTCCCTTTATTTAATTAGGGGTTGCCACAGCGGAATGAACCGCCAATTTTTCCAGCATATGTTTTACGCAGCGGATGTCCATCCAGCTGCAACCTATCTCTGGGAAACATCCATACACACTCATTCACAATTTAGCTTACCCAATTCACCTGTACCACTTGTCTTTGGACAGTGTAGGAAACCGGAGCACCCGGAGGAAACCCACGCGAACGCGGGGAGAACATGGAATTTGGTCAATTAAAAAATAAATAAATAAATAAAAAATAGGAAAGATTGGGTCATAGATTAACAACGAACATAACTGTTGGTCCCATAGCCAAAGCAGTTGACATCCACTCCTGTAGACTATAGTTGTACTGTGCCAAATCAATAATGATAAAAAAGGACAATGCAAATACAAAGGAAGAGCTACAGGTAAATATTAGCTGAAGAAAGAGAGAAAGAGAGAGAAAGAGAGGCAGTGATAAGTAGGCACAGTACATTGCTCACTGGCCCCCCAGACGATGGCAGGCAAAAAACATTCATGCTTTGTAATTATGCCTGTCACACGCGCAGCACTATAGAAACATGCATAGAAATGTCCTCGTTAATCACTCATTTGCATCTGCCGTCGCATGAAGAAGGCGGTTGTGCGTAATGTGACCTGCAGGGCCCTGACTCATTAAATATGACAGGTCAAATCATCCAAGCACTCACTCTGATTGGCCTGGCACTGGTCTGACTTTAATAAGCATAATTGGACCGTGGGTGATATTAGTCTTGGTGACAAATCAATGCAAACCATTTTGAACTGTCTACATAACGGAAGGTTTATGGGTTTGTTAGGCCTGTTTGTTTATTTGTGTGTGTTTGTTTAGGAATCGTATTCGTCAGTACCCAGCACTGGTCAACTGCACAACAATAGACTGGTTTTCTGAATGGCCACGCGACGCTTTGTTGGAAGTGGCAGAAAGATGTTTGGATGGACTGTCTCTTGGGAGCGATGATGGGGTAAGACATGTAAACAGAAAGACTGCATTTACAAATACTGTCAGGGTTTTTCATAGCATAAAAAATGCAAGGAAATGTTCACTTTTAAAGGCACGCTCAATATATTTGTGTTCTTAGTGTTAGCTGTTATCTTTAATGTATACTGACCCCTAGTGGTGTGGAGGTAGCTGAAAATGTATTGTTTAGTTTAAAAAAAGCAATGTTGAATTGTGCAATATAGTCAAAGAGCTTGACGGACCAAGAGGCGACACTCAATAGAATGTTCCATTGCAACAGCAGCGCCCAGCAACAGCCCGGGATTCCGCCATTTTGGAGTGAAAGCGATCGGCTGTCCATTGGATTTTATTGGATCTTATTGCTGTTGAGATCCAACTTGAAAGATAATAATACAACACTTACTACCACAATCAGCACTTTTAATAGTTTATTTTACAGACTTATAATATGAATTGCAAATTGAGTGTCGCCTCTTGGTGATTCTATGCTCTTTGATATAGTGAAGGAACTATGACATCACCTTGTAGGCCAATCGACTGCTAGCATAAAACTGGTTCCTTCGAAAAAATCCCTATATGATTTTCCCATATAGGCTTTTTGAAGATTGCAAATAATCAACTCTGTGTTTAAACAGTCTATTACACTTACACATTTGTCCAACCGAATAATCCTCACACGAAAATGAAAAACTTTTATCACTTTCGGATGCAAACGGAAGTGCTAAAAACTAACATTAGGCTATAAACGTACTACAGTGCCTTCGTATCGCATTTAGCCCGCTTAACTTGATGAGGCGACAGTCTCTGCAAATAAAGGCATTGTCTATACATAGTATGAATTTCCAATTTAAAAAATAATTCAAACTATAAAATGCTAATTATGAAAACACTTAAATCAGACTAATCCAAATGCCCAACGCAAGCAGGCTGTTATTTAGACCAGTTCATCTGGATGATGTATAATGTCTCCGACATAGCATGTAGTCCCATTTAGCAACTGTCTTTTTAAAAAAAAGAGTAACCAATTTAAAAAAAAAAACGAGAGTGTGATGTAACGATGTGTTTTATGTCGTAGAATAAAACCTAAAAGTATCTTAAGTTTGTGGTAGCCATGAACCTTATTTAAGCAATTTAACCTAAATCCGATTTTAAAAATCCATTGACTTTATGACAAGAGAACCAGAACTGCTAAAATGCTAACTCGCTTTCATGTTTTTGCTTACAAATTGACATTATAGTTCCTCCACTCTGTATTTTTGTGTTCTTGGTGCTGGCTGTCATCTTTGATATATACTGACCCCTAGTGGTGTGGATGTTGCTGAAAATGTATTGTTTAGTTTTAAAAATGCTATGTTGAAATGTGCAGTTTGTAGTTGGAATAAAATTGTATCCAGTAAAAAAATAGCAACTAGCATTTTGCTGGTCATAACCAATGTCAATGTTAATAATATTAATATTATTAATAAATATTATTAATAAATTAAAGAAAAAAGAAAGATGGAAAGCTTTTATTATGTTTTTTTAAGAATTTCAGGCTTTTATTATGTTTTTTAAGGATGATATATTCATCAAGGATACATTAAATTGATCAAAATTTGCTGAAAATAATTTAAATAAACGTAAAAGATTATTTTTACATTGATGAGATTAGTTCAGTGTTGCTGTTTTCAATGTTGATAAGCAGTGGTAAAAAGAGTACTGAAAAATCATACTCAAGTAAAAGTATTACTTGTCCAAAAATGTAGTTCAAGAAGAGTAAAAGCATCTGTTGTAAATATTATTCAAAGTAAGAGTAAAATGTAGCCATTTTAAAAGTATTCAAGAGTAGTGAGTATAACACTGCTCGTTTGTTTGTTCCTTCGTTCTTTCATTCACTCGTTCATTTGTTCGTTCGTTCATTCGTTCATAGTGAGTATTAAACTGTGAAAAGTTGATGCATTTGCATGCAGTTTGTGTGGGGATGTGTAAACGTAACATTCTTTAGTGCATTCAGTTAGTGCATATGTTCGTTCGTTCATTCCTTCATTCCTTCCCTCCATCCATTGTTTGTTTGTTCTGTCCTTCCTTCCTTCCTTCCTACATTTATTTGTTTGTTAATTTTTTCCTTCATTCATTTGTTCTTTCATTTGTTCCCTCCCTTCATGTGTTCAGCCACTCACTCGTTTGTTCGTTCGTTCGTTTGTTTGTTCGTTCGTCCCTTCCTTCCATTCTTCCTTCGTTCCATTTAGTGATTGTTTAAGGCTGTTTGGTGATTTCAGTCATCTAACAGTCAACATCCTTCATTTTCTCATCAGTGACATGCAGTCTATAAACAGTCTCTGGGTCATTGCGTTTAAAGATTTAAAACATTTTCTTGGACATTTTTAATGCTTTTAAAAGATTTGCTGCATTTATAAAGCACCCATGTTTTAAGGTTGTTCAGTAGGATGCGATTTACTTTCTATGTGTGATATGATTGGACAGGAATTGCAGGTGATTTTTCTACTTTAGCCAATCGCCATAGACAAGAAATAAATAAACTATTGACTGCAGGTTGAAGGAAAATAGTAAAGTAAAAGTACAGATACAGCATTAAAAATGTACTCAAGGTAGTAAATTACAATTCCTGAGAAATATTACTCAAATAAAGTAATTGGAGTATTTGTAATGTTACTTTAAACCACTGTTGATAAGATATATTGATCAATAATGATATTATTTGTCATAACAGGATTAAACTTTTTTTTGTATTTATACTTTATGAGTAGGAAAAGGCCGTTTTACATTGTGAAAGTATTTTTAAGTAATTTTACATTCTTAACTTTGTTTTTGATCAAAAAAATGTCACTTTGAATGATTTTTTGAGTGCATCTTAAAATATTACTTCTTACCCTAGAATTTTGCTTTTATAAAACCAGTGACACTCTCCCTTGAGCTTTAATTTGTAGTCTTTTTGAGGCACTTCTGCTTTTTGTGGCTGTTATAGAATCCTAGGTTAATTAAATCGAGGTAAGTTAAGATTCATCAGGAGTCTTTCACTCTCTCATCCTTCATCTCAGTGAAGATCTTCTGTTTCCTTTGAGAGAGGTGTTCATACAAACTGTGTTGCTTTTGCCTCAATGTTTTTGAACTACAGATCACTTTGAATTGGAGTTCTCCATTGAGACACTCATTATTTGCTTGGAGAGAGGTCATGCCTACTTTTGATTCAGTCTGTTTTAGGATTAGTTTGAATTTAGCATACTTCTATTGTGACCTTGTGCAAGGTTTGTTTTAAACCAAGGCTGCCACTTCATATCATTTCTCTGGTGGCTTCACAGATCCAGACTAAAGTTGCCAGTATCTTCGTCACCGTGCACCAGTCTGTGGCCCAGTTCTCTCACAGGATGAAAGTAGAGCTGAAGAGACACAATTACGTCACACCAACCAACTACCTGGAGCTCGTTTCTGGATACAAGAAGTAGGAATCAATTGTTCTTTTGTTTTTTTTTTTTGTTTTTTTTGCCATTAAGATTTAAAAGACAAGACACTTCCCTGTTTCCATGTCTGGTAACTGTAACTCACTTACTCTAACTAAAACAAAGCACTTATTCTGAAAACCTTTTCTCCTTTCTCAGGCTGTTGTCTGAGAAGCGCGATGAGCTTGGAGAGCAGGTGTCGAAGTTGAGGAACGGCTTGTTTAAGATTGATGACACACGCACTAAGGTAGAGGCCATGTCTGTGGAGCTGGAGGAGGCCAAGAAGAAAGTCGCCGAGTTCCAGAAACAGTGTGAGGAATATCTGGTTGTCATCGTGCAGCAGAAGAGAGAGGCTGATGAACAGCAGAAGGTGTGTGTGTGTGTGTGTGTGTGTGTCAGCCTGTGTAATGTTATGCTCTTAATTAGGGCTTAGTAGTATTACTAAACATATATTACAGTATATGCAATGAGGAAACATGGTATATAATAATTCTAACAAAGGTTGTTTTTTTTTCTCTCTGTATATGAATGCATTTTTATCCATCCATTCACAAGTGGACAATGCTAAATATAGATTTTAAAGGAGTCTAAAACGATTTAAGCCTGTCCACTTTCAACCACTTTTAGGTAGTTGAAAAAGCATTTGCTCCAATTGCTTTCTCAAAATTGTCGTTGCCAATTCACATCCTTTTCATTCGCTTGCTTTCTTGTTTACTCATAAGCCTCGTTTGATGCAGATTTAACTATCAAATGTTTTCTACAACCCTTTAAAGTTTTGAACATTTCTGCATTGCATAATTGTGCAGTAGTGCCTAATTTTCACAAACCAAAATATTTGTTTTTTAAAAGTATAATCTTTGCAGCATTTGTGTAACAAAAAAGGTTACACTTACAAATAATGGTCCATTAGTTAATGTCTGGTATATTTAATAACATTAAATATATTAAATAACAAACTATTAGTAATATATTTATTACAGTATTTATCCATGCTTGTTAATGTTAGATAATGTTATTTTACTTAAATAACGTTAGATCATGTTAACTGACTAGTGTGTTAACTTTATATTTTAATAATTTAACATTATTATTATTATATAATGTTGAAATAAGATTAATAAATTGTTTACAAGATTATTCATACTTAGTTAATGATAGTAAATACATGAACTAATGGGCCAATATGCGTAAGTGTTATCCAAAAAAGACTAGTTTTGTAATACATTCTGTTTCCATTGCATTATAATTGCAGTAATCATTTAACAGACACAAAGCGATTTACAAATTAGGACTATAAGAAAGAATCAAAACATTGATGTAAACAACAATATGTAATTAATATGACAATTCCCAGTTTGCCTAATGGATGTTTATTGTACATTACAAATATTCCTGTACACACAGCTGAATAAATGATACATCAGAACCTCTAAATCAGGGTTCCCAAACTAAATTATGAATCAGGGTTCCCAAACAAATTATGAATCAGGGTTTCCAAACAAAATTATGTATTCAAAGCCTGGAAAGTACTTAAAAACAACCATAGATCCTTGAGATTGCTAGAAATAAAAGGTGTTATTTAAACAATTGTACTGTGCTGTTTTCAAAAACTGAACGAAAAATCTAAGAAATTCTTAATTAAAAAATCTTACATTAAAATCTTATAAATGAACCATGTCAAATAATGCATTGTATCAGTACTTCAAAAACCGGATTTGAATATCACCAGTATTTAATTGTATTGAAGTTCTTTGAACTGGACTTTAAAATGGTTGTTCAAAACAGTCAACATTTTTAAAAATGATACATTGAAAATATCGTCATTATGACATTTTAATGTAAATCGCAAGTGTAAGTAAAATGTTAAGTACAGGAACGACTTTCATGGCGCTATTTATGCTGAAGGTGTGAACTGCAAAGGTGCTCGATTTAAAATATTACTGATTTAAAAAGTCCTTGAATTTGGTGTCCATAAAAGAATGGGAACCCTGCTAAATGTTTCTGCCTTCAAGTGGTATACTGTTCTATAGTTCAAAAATTATTTGCTCTCTGGTGAAATTTGAATAATATTGTGATGTATATTCACTTGAAACTGTCCTGAAATGAGAAAAAAATTGAGGGCGGTGCATGATTTTGTCCTTTGGGAACTGATTGAGTTGTTGGAAGGTGTTGCTAACAAAATCAAAGAAAATTGATAAATAGATGATGGCAGAGCAGAAACAAGACAAGTGTGATATCTCCTCCCTAAAGGCATTCAATGTGACCAGAAGTGAAGAAAAGTTGTTTCAAGGGGGCAGAGAAGGTTATGATGTTTGATTAAAGATTATAAAAGCTAATTAACTTTTACAATATAATGAAGTGCACTGATACATAAAGTAAATTTCAACAAGCACTATTTAATACAGATAAAAATAAGAATTGCACATTTTTATTTAATTTAGACTTTAAGGGCTCTATTTTAACAATCTAGGCACAAAATCTAAAGCACATGGTGCAAATGCATTAAAAACGTGTCTAAATCCACTTTTGCTATTTTAAGGAGGGAAAAATACGCTCTGCGCCTTGGTTTTCATGGTCTAACAGGGTTGTGTTTATTCTCTAAATGAGTTTTGGGTATGTCTTGAGCATTACGTGCATTTAACCAATCGGATTCTTATCTCACATTCCTTTTAAGAGTCAACTGCGTCGCGCCATGACGCATTTGCTATTTACATAGCAGACTTTGTAAGTCGAAAAACTGAATGTTTCACTAGCGAGAAAACAGTTAAACAGACAATTTACAGCAAGAGGATAAATAACTAGCATCCTCCAATCAGCCTCTCTACTTTCTCTGTACTTCACTTTTACTTTTTACTTTCCTCTTTTACATCTGTTAGCCTACATATTTAATTTTGTTTGTTAAGCGCATAGATTAGTTTCAAAACGATTTCCAAATTCAGTTCTAATTTCCAGCAAATGAATAAATGAACAATAATAACAAAATGTGATCAAAAATACTGAGTTGTATCCAAACACACATCCTATTTTTATGCCCCATTTGGTCATGCATACATCTCCGAAACCCGACAGGTGGACAAATCTAAACTTGTTTTTATTAAAACAAATATAAATATGCATATAATAAATACTACTAATATTAGTATAAACAATGCGGTGCAAAACGTGAAAATTAGGGTTGCGCTGGTCTGAAAATAGGAACAAATCGCGCCATGCATGTCTTGCGCCTTATTTTGCCGGATGTATGATAGGGCCCTAAGTCTTTAAATTGCACTACACTGTTAGACATTTCAAAGGGTTTTTACAGTAACTTACTGGCAACACTGTTGCCAGTAAGTTACTGTATTTTAGATTTACAGTATACAACTGTAAATCCGTTTACAGCATGTTACCGTAGTGTCTGAAAATGGTTAACTACTGTAAAAACCTAAGTTAACAGTTAGCTACTGTAAACCTTTTAATTTTGTCCTAAATATTTTATAATATAATTTTATTAATATTATTTTAATACTATAGACCTAAAAAAGACACAATTACAAAATATTAACAAAATAAACACTTTATTTAAAACATTGGAGATGCTTAAAACAAGCTTAAAAATGTGTAAAAACATTACATTTCAATCATTCAAAATATTTTATTTTAAGAAAAAAAAAAACATTGAAAATGACAAAGCACATTAACATACATGTACAAAACTAATTTAAGTGTCTGACCTGCATATTGTTGAGAAAAAAAAACCCAATTGTACTAAGTACTACTGACATTAAACCAGACACAATTACAAAATATTCCATTCTTTAAAACATTAATAATGCTTAAAGCATTTAAGGAAAATGTGTGAAAATTACATTAAGCAATAAAATCAACATATTAAAAATAAATAAATCACACAAAGCACTAGAACATACATGTACAATAAAAATTTAAACTTCTGAATTGCATAGTGTTGGAAAAATAAATATTTGTAACTATTAGCCGACTCAGAAACAACCCAACTTTAAAATATTACTAATTCTGGTGTCAAATGCTCAACAAGGTCTGAATTCACATGTTCAAATGCAATTCATCTTTATTTCTATTGCACTTTTACAATGTAGATCAATGATGTCAAAGCAGCTTAACATAGAAGTTCTTGTAAATTGAAGCTGCTTCAGTCCAGTTTTCAGAATTGAAGCAGTAAATGTCACTGCTAAAAAAGTCCAAACACTGAAGAGCAAATCCACCGATCCATCAATCGTAGCCAAGCGATCCAGTGGCGACAGTGGCATGGAACAAACTTCACCAACTGACGAAAGTGTAGAATAAAATCCCTTGAGAGATACCAGGCTCAGTTGGGCACGACCAGTTCTCCTCTAGCCAAACTTGTGCAAGGCTGCAGTCTAGGCACCGGAGGCTTGAAAGTTCACCAGCGGGTGGTCAGGCTGCCCCATTGGATCAATGCGGAAACTCATTGATCACGTGTGTCTTTTAGGATTCACTCCTCCATGACCACCACAGCATCTGGTCAGGATTTGGCCCAGTCCAGGATTATGAAGAACTCTGGATAAGGACAAACAGACTAACATAAGCATAGAAGAAGCTTGTTTAAAAAAAATAAATCATATACTGGTTAATTATTTTGAAGCATGGCAGCTAGGTTGGGGTAGTTTTCAGCTGGTACTGAGCAACTGGCTCCAGCTCATAACCTGCTCACTACCATGTTTAAAAGATAACTAACCAGAATGTCCTGTTTATTTTTTTCCCTAACAAGGTTTAACAAAAACATTGTAGCATTTGTGATGGGTTGATTCACTGCAGGACAGATTAGACTATTTGTTTTATGTATTCCTAATAAACTAAAACTGACTGAATACTGATACAATTATTGAGAGTGTCTCACCTAATCCAAGTTCTAAGTTAGCTGGTGAAAGAAGGATAACTCACTGTTGTTCATGGTTGTCATTCTCTTCAGTACTTCTCCTGCCTTCTTCTGGCTCACTCTGGTTGTTGCTGTGCATTTTGTTTCATCCTCTGGAATTATTTATACAAAAAAATGTATTATTTTATTTATTACAAAATATTTAGGCAACATGAAATGGGGAAAAAGACATTTAATACATAGACAAATGCATGTATCCCAATACTAATTATTGTATTTTGAAATGTCTGACCCATGACAGACCTCAATCTGCTCAAAAATATTATAAACAAAGATGAAAAAAAAACCCTACTAAATGGTTTAATAAAAAAGGGAAAACGATTTTTTTATTTAGCTAGCAACTAAACATGTGACACATTTTGTATTAAAAGTAACGTTACTATATTGAGAAACAAATAGATGTACAGTACTTACTGTTGTATGAGGTCCAGTTTGCACAGGCAGGCTCCCAGTATTCTATATTGAAACCATAAAAAAGCCAAAAATACAGATAAGAATACCATGCTACAATCCACAACCTCCACACAACTTTTTTTTTATTTGTTTACCTTGGTTGCTTACTGGTCTTGCTTATTTTTTAAGCATAAGGCTGTGCTGATCAAGATGTTCCTCCGAAATGCTGTTTGTTTCTTCAGACAAAACCTGCTGCTGTGCCAGTGCCATATCTAAACAGAAAAAATATAATGGTAACAATTATGTTAAACCAAATGTCAAGAGTTGTGATAAAAAAAATAATTAGCAAACAATAAATAGCAAAAAGGTGGTTATTAGCATAATGCATAGAGGTAAAATTGGTTTTATATTAGCAGATTCAGACTTAATAATTTAATTTCATAAAAGTATTATTTGCAAACTCTAAATAGCGAAATCATTTTAGCAGCTAATGACTATCAAAGTACAACATGCTCACGGTCAAATAAACAGTGTTAATGTTGATTTCAAGTCATACTGGCATGCTAATTCTGATCGAATATTCAAAGTAACATGGTAAACAGTATAACGTTAGAGTCTTCTAAATGAACGAATGTGCGAATATAAAACCAACTTTACCTCTATGCATATTGTATAGATTTACGTTAACGTTCTTATAGGTTACGTCGCGATGTTATTTTCTCAAGCTAACGTTATAAGTTACTCTAAACCAGAGAAAAATAAGTTCACAACATCTAATATATATAGTATAAATCAATATAAGTTAAACGTTGCACGTTAAAATTAGTTTGAGTCCAATTCAGTATAAACTTAGCTCAGTTTAGCTAACAGTTAACTTAACATTACCATTTTAAGATCGCTTCAGCCAATGTTGCCGAGCAAACAAATGCTAATAGAGGTGCTCAAATCAATGTCGACTGTTGTCAGCACAGACAGACGCGCTTTTACCTGGATTATTTGATGGTCTTTCATTCATATTCTTCTGGGGGAAAACACTCTCTGCCGGACCGTTGTCTCGTGCTAAGTGTCCTCCAAAACTGTCTGCATACCTCTGGTTCCCTCCTAAACCAAAACCTGCTGCAACACCGGTTTCTATGTAAATAAATAAAAAGATATGACGAGAACAATGGCTATAGTCATAAACAGTCTTATTTAAAATAATAGTAGTGTTAATGTAATAAATTAAATAAAGGTAACATCTTAATAGGTGATATATTTCTCAAATGGGCAAAACAACGCCAAGCCAGAGAAAATAATAATAGCCAACTTTATACTTTACTTTGTTTTATTCTCGTCCACAAAACATTCTGTAAAATGAAACACTGCCTCAGCTTACCAGAGTAAAGTTTGTTAAATCCAGTATGTTCTTCAGGCACACTAATAAATTGTCCTCCAGAATTGCTCCAGAGTCCTCAGGCAAAATGTGATGCAGAGTAGTCGAATCGCCGCAAGGTGGCGTTGAAGCAGTTGTGGAAAATACAGTATAATACACGAATTTTTACAAATACAGTACATCGCTGTATATGTTGTTCGACGTCACACTAAATTCCCATAATGCAACGGTAAATACAGTTATTTACCGTAAAAGGAATTTGCAGTATTACACTGGGTGAAATACAGTAAATAACTGTGTAATTTACAGAAATGTCTAACAGTGTAGATTATACTAGCTAAATACTAGTATCTGGCAAAATAAGTAGATATAACAATATTATGTGCTGACATCATGGAAGAGACAAAAAAGAGACAATTAGTTATTAGAAATTAGTTGATCTCTGTTAAACATCACTTGGGAAATATTTAAAAAAGAAAGCAAATTCCTCCTGTGAGGAATTCTTCCTGTGAGTCTTGCTATCGCAGACTGATTTGTGTTTGCTAAAATGATGTGTCTGTGTGTGTTTGTTATTCCTGTGTATTCTTTAGGTATTTATAACCTCCTAGGATTGTCTGCCATGTGTTTGTTAATGTGTGTATGTGTGTGTGTAGGCGGTGGGCGCTCACAGTGAGAAAATAGAAGCAGAAGAAATCAAGTGTAAGGCCATGGCTGAGAATGCTCAGAGAGACCTAGATGAAGCACTTCCTGCTCTGGAGGAAGCCATGAAGGTCATCCTGAATTCATGCGACTATTATTTCCAATACATATGGCTCCAGAGCCAAATGAATATGTTATACATGATGTTTTCATCAGCACATGAAAAAAACTGTGGTAATCTTGTTGGACTGTCTTCAGGCGCTGGAGTCGCTGAATAAGAAAGACATGACGGAGATCAAGTCTTATGGCAGACCTCCAGCTCTTGTGGAAACCGTGATGCAGGCAGTCATGATCCTCAGAGGATGTGAACCAACTTGGGCGGAGGCCAAGAGACAACTGGGTAAGATAAAGGGAAAGTTTCAGATCTTTATTAAATCACTCTATCATACTGATGTCACACATGGATTCAGGCACTGGCTCAGGCATGAAATCTATACCAGACTACTGTATAACTAAAATCACATGATAAGAGGGAAAGACTCGGCTTGGGGAAGGGTTGGGTGATTCATTAGCGCGCCAGGATATGTTTAAAAAGCTCAGCACAATGCAGTAGAAAGCACATAACCACAGAACAGGTTGCAGGAAGAAAGAAAAAAACATGAAATATGTGCTTGCCTGAGGCTGAATTCAAGTCATTTGTTTTAGGAGAGGGCAACTTCATTAAGCAGTTGGTGAATTTTGATAAGGACAACATCTCTGACCGTGTGCTGAAGACCATTGGACAGTACTGCACACAGCCTGACTTCCAGCCCGAGATCATCGGACGTGTCTCACTTGCTGCAAAGTCCCTCTGCATGTGGGTCAGGGCCATGGAGGTACCACATTAATGAACTGATGACTGTTGATGAACACAATAATTCTGAAGGCCTGTTCACACCAAGACTTTATCAAATTTTTGATAACACTTAAGTTTAGGTTACAATTCATGGTATTCACAAACCTTTAACTAACACTACTAGCTTAATAAACTACTAATTAGCTGTGTATTAATAGTTAGTAAGATAGAAGTAGGGTTTAGGTTTTGGGTAGTATTAGGCATGCACAATAAGATCATGCTTTATAACTACTAATGAACAGTTAATATCTTAACAGTATGGAGGTAATAAGCTGCCAGTAGTTAATAGCATTAATGGACCTTTTTCACAACCCTGTTATGATGCATGTAACGGTCATCAGTTTCTTAAATCTTTGAAAGTTTTAATTATTTAGATTTTTTTTAAATGTATGAACATTTACATGCATTTATGAATGAATTTATTATATCATCTTTGCATCAAACTACTAAAAACTAATTACCACTGATGTGAGGCATTTCTAATGCAGCATCTATGGAACAGGACAGTAAATTTGTCGTTATTCTCTCCTCCGGCGGCCGTTATTAGTCTCACACTATTTTCCTGAAAGTCTTGATAACATCATCATGGAGTTTTTCTTTTATTATTTTAGCCAATAAGATTGTAAAAAAATATTTGTTATATTCTCACTGCGCTCTAATTTTTCCCAACTAGGACGACTTCAGCTTCTGAGAAACCCGGAAATGTGAAACAGTCTATTGTGACCTAAAGTATTACCATATTTTCTTGCTTTTATCAAGGTATACAGTATTGACCTAATCTGCAACAATACTTACTTCAACAGGTGTAGTAGCCACAAAATACTTAGTGTATTGGTTTAGTTTATATACATTTTCAAAGTAAATAACGGTTTCAAACAAATAAAATTTGTATAATAAAATAAAAACAAAGGATGATGAAGTAAAATAAGTAACACTTATAAATAAAGTGAACACAGTCTCAATGTAATAACATAACCTTGTATACATTTCTGAAGAGCGCAAATTATGTAGCCAGGGCTATGTATGGCTACATTTCATCTTTAAAATGAACGCTACGGGACGGTATGATGCCGCCGACGTCTTCTGCTTCTTTTCGCACTACCAGCTGACTGCTTACCTGCGTGTGGATGGCTTTTCCGCTGTTACCGGTTTGCCCAGTAGCTTGCCGTGTGCGTCGGTGAACTTGAGCCGCAGAGAGGAGTTCACCGTGATGAGGGGGTTCGAGTCTGGTGAAGAACGGTGTCAGTAAAGCAAAAAGTAAAATAAACAAGTCAATAACAAGGTGGGAGCATAGTAAGATCTGAAAACGTGGTAATAATCAGGCAGCCGCGAAGGCTTTTTCTGGATTGTCTTTGAAAACACTGTTGGTTGGGTTTAGAAAAGGCGGTAGGTGGGTCAATCAGTGCTTTTGAAAACACTATTATTTGGGCTTAGGGAAGGAGGTGGGTGAGGTTGTCAGTCGACAGCGAACTTTGGAGGTAACAAAAACTTACCTCCTGGTGACGAATTTTGTGATCTCCAGAAATGTATATAAGGGTAAGTATCAATAATAAACCTTGGTTGAAGTCTGAATAGAAAGCGTTATTTAGTTAAAATTAATTAAAATAGCCAAGTTATAGTTATAGTTTTATTAGTTTTTAACTCCATTAAAAAAACAACTACAAAGACGGATTATAAAAATGGGCTTGAATGCATTATTAGGCATTAGCTAGGAAATTAACGTCACAAGATAATAAATGCTTTTATAACTGAAATTACATTGACTTTAGTGAAACTAGTTTGGGTTAAAAAATGGAACCTTAATGTTCAGAGTTAATGAACAAAAGGTCTATAAATATCACAGAATTTTTAATGTTGTAGGCCAGATTAATGTGTGTAAATGTTAATGTTTTAAAATCAAATGCCTATTAAGTCTTAAAGCAACTGGTGCTGTGAGGAACAACCACTGGCAACTCAGCAATCTGAATATTTCTAAAAGGCAGTCTAAAAGTTCAAAGTTAAAGTGCTCATGATATCAATATTGGGCAATTTTATTACAACAATGTATTGATTTATTTTATGTCATCTAATTGTATCTTCATTGCAGTCCCCAGGTTTATTCTAAGCACTGTGAAGTTGACAATAAATCAAAATGGTTCATTTTTAAGAGGTATAATAAATGGTACATTGGAGTGTTGTTCAAATCCATGCACATCAATATTTTTTATTAATGTTCCATCATCATTTTTGTAATAAATATAGCATTAATATCCCTCTCATGTGCAACTACATCTGTCAACAATTCCTACTAGCAATTACCAACTGACAATAATATAATCCATTCACAGCCAACAAACTCCCTTTCTTTAGGGGTAAACTGAAGCTGTATTCTTTTTATTATTACTATATGTTTGGCATTATAGTTGTGTTATGCTGTTCAGTTAAAGTGCGATTATATTTACTGTTGCTCTGCTAAATTTTGTGGGCAAACTCCAGGCATTTCAGCAGGAATCCACACTATGAAGACTTTTGTGTGAAAACGTTGCCCACACAGATTTTGCTTGCATTTAAGGCAGTCATGCAGTTTTGCAGCATTTACCAGCAGAAAACAAGTTGGTCTGAAATTGATTCTCTGTGAGTGGTGTCTACGCTATTGACAATGGTGCTTTTTTACCCACAAAATTCCACGGAAAGTTATTGTTAAAGTTACCATTCTTGGTGTGATTTGGCCTTTAGTGTGAATAAGAGAATCTGACAGAGCTTTTTTTTATATATATGTTCTCATATCTCTGTGCATGTCTGTCAGGTTTATGGCCGTATCTTCAGGGTGGTTGAGCCGAAGAGAGCCAGGCTGCATGGAGCAATGACTCAGCTGGCTGAGAAACAGGCTGCACTGGCTGAAGCCCAGGGCAAACTCAGAGAAGTCAGTGTCTATCATTGTGTCCCACGCCATGTTAATGAGTTATGTAGACTTAATGTACATATCTGTGTGTACATCAATAGGTAGGAGAGAAACTTGATCATTTAAAAAGGCAATATGATGAAAAGCTGGCCCAGAAAGAAGAGTTAAGAAGGAAATCTGAGGACATGGAGCTCAAACTGGACCGAGCTGGCAAGTTGGTGTCTGGACTGGCTGGAGAAAGAGTTCGCTGGAAGGAGACAGTAGATGTATGCGCACACACACACACATGCACACACACGCATGCACAGTCACCCTGATGTTTTATCTGTGGATGTGAAAATGCAGCTGGAGGACTCTGATGTGATTGTGTGTATGATTGCTCAGGGTCTGGAGAAGAACATGTCCTGTTTGGTGGGAGACTGTCTGCTGGCTGCTGCCTTCCTGTCCTACATGGGACCTTTCCTGTCCAACTACAGAGATGAGCTGGTCACAGATATCTGGATGAAACAGGTTTATGTTTTATTATCTTTACAGGTCATGAAAGAGTATCTATCATGCCACAAGAATGCAAAATTATGCTACATACCGGTGTGGCTTTAGAAATGCACGTCTCAGGGAACAGCATGCCATGACTAGCCATGGTTAGCCACAGCACTCAGGGAAATTCTCTGACTAAGGAAATACATTGCCAATAGGGGCAGCCGAGCTTCATTCTCAATAGTTGCCAGTTCTGAAGGTGGAAGACTAGATGCCGCGGGTGGCTGTTCCTTTGTGGAAAAAAACAAAACATTTGCTAAAATCGAATACAATGCTGCGCATGGGATACTTGGGTTTATTGTTTTCTGAAAGAGAAGTTTCGTTTTAGACAGCATTGCCGACTCGCCACAGCTATGGCTCTAATAGTACATTTTGACTGTAGCTCAGTTAAATGGTGTTAGATTAGTTATCAATAAACTGGTAAAGCCAAAAAAATGTTAAAATGCAGATTGTAATTTAATTTAATATAGTTTAAATAAATAAATAAAATATATATTAACAGGCTGCCACAACCGTCAATCTGATGCCTCAGTGCGCTTTAATTTTTTTTTCATTTGTAATAGTAAGTTTTAATTTAAGTTTTGGAGAGACAGGATAAAAGTTATTCAATTATATATATATATATATATATATATATATATATATATATATATATATATATATATATATATATATATATATATATATATATATATATATATATCTCAGTTGACATTTCTGTTAGGAGTTTGCATGTTCTCCCTGCATTCGCGTGGGTTTCCTCTGGGTGCTCCAGTTTCCCCCACAGTCCAAAAACATGCTGCAGGTGAATTGGGTTGGCTAAATTGTCCGTGGTGTATGAGTGTATGAGGGTGACAGGCTCAGATGACAGGCCGGCCAGAATGTGTAAAAAAAATCATTATCATATGGACAAGTCTAAAATGGCTTGTTCCAAAGAGCCGACCCCGCAACCATACGGGACTAAGGCCAAAGAAGAAGAAGATACACACACACACACACACACACACACACACATATATATATATATATATATATATATATATATATATATATATATATATATATATATATATATATATTTATATGTGTCTGTGTACAGATTGGTGTTTTTGTGGTTTTGTGGTGACTGGTCGGTCTCGCAGGTTACCTTGGAAGGACTGCGAGAACACAGAATGAATCTGAGTAATGAGATACTGTAAGCTTCCTGGCTGTTGATCATATGATCGTCACATGAAAACAATTTCTTCTTAATTTTTTTTCTAGTGAACATTTTTAAATATTTAAGTACCAAAGCACTGTCAATGAAGACAATATGTAAAATGCAAATAAAAACGATTTTAGCAATGAAACAGCTCGTACTACTAGTGGGTTGTGGGGGCGCCCTAGTGGCGGTGGGGCCCTAAACAGCCGCTTAATTGGCTTATGCCGAGTTCAGAATGCATGATTTTAGCCATGATTTTGACTCGCTGACAGGTTTTGAGAAATTGCCGACAAATGCCTGAAATCACAAATCACTGAGTGTGAACTATCAAGGACGTTAAATAAGAGAATCGCAGATGAGTCGCCGACACCCGTAAGATATTTGTCATGCTAAACATCTGAAGCTGTCGGCAATTCAAATCATGCCGTGTGAAATGTGTTTTGATTGAAAATAACATACAGCACCTACAGCCAATGAGAAAGCAGCATCCACTAGTACAGGCCAGCGAGAGGCTGGGGGATAAGTTAAAAGCGCTCAGTTTATTTGGACCAAAGAAATGGAGAAAAATTTAGTGGAAATTTGGCCGCAGTACTGTGTCTGTTTGACGTGTCATCTGATCAATATCACAATCAGGTCAAAAAGTTTTTAAAAAGTTGAGGAGAGATTGTTAAATCTCTTCAAAAGCCAGGTGAGCAACACAAGTTTCTAAAGCTAAAGCCTTTTTTCCATCATATAGTTTAAAACAAAAGATATATATTACGTGACCTCACGTTATTTCCATTTCACTTCTCAAGTTTGTTTGGTAGTGAGATGTAGTTTGGAAGTTGTCTGTGATTCTATTTTAAAGTCATGCAGTGTAAACTCTCCTGTCGCCGATCCATCCTACAATGTAGACCAACAAAACGCTAACCCAGATAGTCATGCAGTGTGAAAACATCCGTGACACGACTACTTTGAAAATCACGCAGTCTGAACTCAGCATTATAGGGAAGAACGGCTCTAGGCATATGTAATACCGTGGTTTGCGCTGTTTCATTGTCATGTAAACGTAGCCTGAATCTCTGTCTGTCTGACTGTGCATGTTAGTCAGTGTGTTGGTCTTTCTTCATTAAATATTTTTGTTACTTGCGCCCATGATAACATATTGTTAATTTCTTTAATTAATGCATGTGTGTCATGTGTCATTTTCCGGTGAAGGCTGGTTCAGTATTGCATAGTATTGCACACTTTACAGATAATATTATGACATTATGCATGTGACAGCTCTAACAACTTCTCTTTTTTCTCATTGGAATGTCCTTGCCTGAATCCTCTGCCACCCTTTTCATCTCTAGGTGAGAGAATTGGAGGTGCCGTGTTCTCCGGGGTTCAGTTTTGCGGTGTTCCTGTCTAAACCCACAGCAGTGCGCGAATGGAATATCCAAGGCCTCCCGTCTGATGCCTTCTCCACTGAGAACGGAGTCATCGTCACCCGTGGCAACCGGTCAGGCTCAGAGAACCAATCCCTTAATGCCAATTAGAATAATGATGATATCTCATGAATAATGGGTGGTAATGAATAGTGATTGGAGAATAATTAGCTAAAGATAATAGTAAGCTCAGTTTTCTCTGATTGTTCATTTATAGCTAATGCTAATTTCCTCCCTCCCACATACATACACACACACACACACACACACACACACACACACACACACACACACACACACACCAAACAGATTAATAGCATTTAGAGATTATGGATTATTATGAAATAGCCTATTTATAGATAATGGGACATGCATTTATAGTGAGAGCTAATGTTTCTCCCTCGTCCTTCCCCACAGATGGCCACTAATGGTGGATCCTCAAGGACAAGCGCTAAAGTGGATTAAGAACATGGAGTTCAAACAAGTTAATATTTTACACACACACATTGTCATATATATGAATTCAAAGAGTCCTTGTACAACACACAGACTACATTATTTTGCCATAAATGTCTTAGTAAGAAAAAGGACAGTACAGGACAGAAACAATGGGAACAAAATTGCTGTGATTATTAGAGAGCATTAGATCTGGTTCTCCACAGAGGGAAACATAACCCATATTCACTGCTAAAATTACCTGCTCAGACACACAATGCTTATCACATGACTCACCGTCTAACCCACAGACGAGTCGTTTTCAGAGCCCTTAATTAGAATACAAAAACTCAAAACTCAATCCTCATCTGAGTTGGAAACTGCCTCCCCTGCGAGGCCATGTTTCCTCACCTGCTCTCCTTCAGTAGAACATACCAGCCATTTATCACTCCTTCTGAACACAGATGCACTTGTTCTCTGTGTTTGTTTGCATGGAGGATAAAAAGATAGATGGATGGACAAGTATAGGCTGGATGGAAAGAGAGGTATAGATAAAAGGGATGGATGGATGGATGGATGGATGGATGGATGGATGGATGGATGGATGGATGGATGGATGGATGGATGGATGGTTGGATGGGCAAGGATGGATGGATGGATGGATGAATGGGAAGACAGTGATAGACTGAAGGGATGGATGGATGAATTGGCAAGGATGGATGGATGGATGGATGGATGGATGGGAAGACAGTGATAGACTGAAGGGAGGGATGGATGGATGGATGAATAGGAGGACAGGTATAGGCTGATGGGATGGATGGATGAATGGACGGATGGATGGGCAAGTATAGCTTGATGGATGGATGGGCAAGGATAGATGGATAAATGGCAAGACAGTGATAGACGGAAGGGATGGATAAATAGAGGGATGGATGGATGGATGGATGGATGGATGGATGGATGGGAAGACAGGTATAGACTGATGGGATGGATGGATGGTTGGACAAGTATAGATTGTTGGATGGATGCATGGATGGATGGATAGGAAGACAGGTGTAGACTGAAGAGATGGATAGATGGATGGACGGGCAAGTATAGATTGATGGATAGATAGATTGGAATACAGATAGACTGAAGGAATGGATGGATGGATGGATGGATGAAAGGATAGAGGGTAATGGATGTTGATGGACTGATGTGTTGATAAATGGACCTACCAAAAACAGATATATACTATGTCTAGACAGAAAGACAGACAGAAACGATGAATGGATTATAATGAGAAGGATAAATGCATGTAAGCTTGGATGAACCAAAAGGTAGAAGGGTTGATAGGGGGACTATTGACTGAAATACAGACATAGATGCACGGATGGATGGATGAATGAATAGAAGTTTGGATGAATGATGGATAAATGGATGGTTAAATAGGCAGGAATATCTATCTACCTACTGTACTTACTCTCCCATCCATCCATACTGGTGGACAGGTTGTCAGGTATGTTCAAGAGGAGATATAAGAGGACACATACTTCCATACTGTCTCTTATCTGTCAGGATAATTTGCTGTTAAGCTTCAGCTTCTGTTCCTCCTCTCTCTCTCTTTTTTTCTGCCTGTGACCTTTTCCTCCTCTTCGCAGGTCTTTTCTCATCTGTGAGCGTCTGGAGCGGCGAGTGCCGTTCACACGCTACAGTTAAACGCTGACATTTACGAACAATAACAAAATGACAGAGCTGAAGCCTCTTTTCTGCCTCCTCCATCTTTTCTGCGGCTTTTTCACGTCCCATTTTCTTTCTTCTATGTGCATTTATCACTTTTGAATTATATTTATCCCCGCAGATACCTTTATTTTTTTCGGTGTAGTTGATGTCATTATCTAGTCTGCTGTGTGTCCTTCGTGTCCCCTTCTCGTCCTCATGTTGTGTGTTTTTCTCAGGGCTTGAAAGTAATAGATCTGCAGATGCCAGATTTTTTGCGGATCCTGGAGAATGCGGTGCAGTTTGGTTCTCCAGTGCTCTTGCAAAATGTACAAGAGGAACTAGATCCTTCACTGGCCCCCATACTCAACAAGTCGCTTACAAGAGTTGGTAAGTCACATACACACATCGGTTTTGTTATCCTGCGGTGCGTTTCCCAAAACCATCGTTAGCCAACTAAGGTCGCAAGTTCTGTCATTACAAACTTAGTTTGTTGATTTGCCGTTTCCCAAATCAGTCGCTCCAACGAACATTCGCAAACTCCTTCGCAAACTTGAGCATTCGCAACTACACCTCTGGAGCTGTAGTTTGAAACAGTTCCTGACTGTGTCCTATTCCTACTTATGGCCCGTTTTACACGGAGTGGTTCGATACGGTTCGGTATGGTACGCTTTTATAGCCGTTTCCACTGTCAGAAGGCGTACCGAACTGAACCGTATCATACCACTTTTTCAGCACCCTTTCGGAAGAGTACCAAACTAGAGAAAGGGTGCCAAAAGGCGGAGCTTTATCACCATCTTTTGGACTAATATAATATGGCAATTATGACTCTCTAACAGAGGCTGCAAGTGCTGCTGAAGATTACAGACACAGATGAGAGGTTTTCCCTGACTGGAGGCTATATTTTGTGTTGTTTTGAACCTAATTAAGGATGAAAGGTATGTTGTGTGTAGTTTTTCTGTAGTTGGTAACATATCAGAGACTGTAAGGGCTGTATGTATTCGTATATGTTAATTTATTTAATACAATTACAGACGTTACAGTAGGCTATTTGGCTCTGTCATTGATCTGCAGTTCTAATCAAATCTTGTTCATAGAAAGTTATAATAAACATTTATACTCAAGTATTTATGCGTGTAAAGCGTCTGTTTTGTGAAAAGTGCTTTTTATATGATACTGTATGTGAGCGACCCGTACAGCTTTATTGTTGACATTTCCTCGAGCGAGAATGATGCGACTGAACTTTTTGTCATACACCACGCCCACCAAAAATGGTACCATTGCTAATGGAAACGCAAGCCTGATAAAGGTGACCCGTACCAACCCAAACCGTACCGCACTTTTCCAGTCAGTGCCATTATCCCCCCTATGCCCTGTACATTTAGAACAATCTAACATTCAAAGTTGGAATTATTAAAAATAAAAAAGCATTAAGGTTATCTCTCTTAGGTGTAATTTACTTTCAAAGTATTTTTACAGTTCAGTTTTAGCGATCTTCATTTTTACAATTGTGCTTCCTTTGCAGTGCACTTTGAAAACCTTGATGTCATTTTGAACACAAAAATTTTGAAAGCTATAGGTGACCTATTATTTAAAATCGGAATTTAGTTACGTCTCCAAAGCTTGTGAAAACAAAAAGCATACATTAATTCTTTTAATTTATAGTAGGTTATAATATAATTAAGTATATTATAAAGTATAATTTTTTCATTTCTAATACTTACTAAATATTAAATTTCATTTCTTGATAAACTGTCTCATTATTTATTTATTTATATGATTTATATATGATATAAGAATACATGTTAGCTTTTGTAAGTGATTTTATGTTATAGAATAGAATGTCATATTCTTAATAGTATTTTTAAAGCAAGCATAGGCCCTATGTGCCATTTACATGTATTTCAGTTAATATGGAAAGAGAGTGCATGTATTTACCAAATCTATTATTGGATTTTATTTTAAGTGTGTGTGTGTGTGTGTGTGTGTGTGTGTGTGTGTGTGTGTGTGTGTGTGTGTGTGTGTGTGTGTGTGTGTGTGTGTGTGTGTGTGTGTGTGTGTGTGTGTGTGTGTGTGTGTGTGTGTGTGTGTGTGTGTGTGTGTGTGTGCGTGCGTGCGTGACAATATACTTTGCACAAAGAAATTATGGTTTTCTTCTCTAACAAAGTAGTTTCTTAGAGCGTCATTATGGGCGTTTTGGTTCAAGCGACTGATCTGCGACAGAAAAACTATGCGTTTTGGGAAACACTCATCACTAAATCGTTCTTTTCCCAAACGATGCATCGTACTATGATAGTTCAGCCGCGAGTTACATCGTTGTTTGGGAAACGCACACATTTGTTATCCACTATGGTGGGGACCATAATTTATATTTTCAAACTGTGTTTTTTACTCCCTACTCACAGGAAACAATCTACATTTTTAAAATAGCTCATTCTGTAAGATCAGTAAGCATGTGTACCTTATGAAGTCCCCATTAGTCTGTGTGCATTCAGATTCCACAGAAGTCCCCACAGGGATATAAAATATGTTTACACACACACAAAATTATGTGGTTTACATGCATATTGACCTAAAGATTTTTTTACAGTACAAACTGTATATTCTATTTGGTTTTGCAAGGTCAATATGCACATTTTCGTCTTTATAAACTAAATATTGAATTACACACACACAACACAACATTGACTGATAATAGTGCTTGGAGAAAAAAAGAACACTCTACTGTAGATACAGAATGTGTTTATGTTTGTGTCTGTAAGTGGATTATTAGATGTTATAGCTGTCTAATTTGTAGGTAGAGTTATAAATGAAGTATATTAAATGCTGGGCTGTCAATTTAATGCGTTAATTTAATTAATTAGTTACAAGAGCTAGTACTTCATTCCAGAATGAATGAGCAACTTCAGTGAATCGATGAATTAATTACTCACTCATTAGACATTTACTACCACATAATTGTCATGTTAAAAATGGTTTGGAGCTGCAATACATGGTCATACTATGCCATGTCATAAAATAAATAAATAAATGTACTTACAAATACAATAACCGGCCACATTATTAGGTACACCTTACTAGTAACGGGACCCTCGTTACCCCGGTCAGCAGCAATACTCAGGTGCTTATGGGCCAAAAGTGTGCCAAGAAAATATCCCCCACACTATTTACACCACCACCACCAGCCTAAACCACTGATAGAAAGCAGGATGAATCCTTCCTTTAATATTGGTGATGCCAAATTCTGACCCTACCATCTGAATGTCGCAGAAGAAATCGAGACTCATCAGACAACATTTTTCCAATGTTCTATTGTCCAATTTTGGTGAGTTTGTGCAAATTGTAGCCTCAGTTTTCTGTTCTTAGCTGACAGGAGTGGCACCCGGTGTGGTCTTCTCCTCTGTCTCGAGATTGACCGCGTTGTGCATTCAGAGATGCTCTTCTGGATACCTCAGTTGTAAGGAGTGGTTAATTGAGTTACTGTTGCCTTTCTAACAGCTTCAACAGTCATTTGTGCTCACAGAACTGCCGCTCACTGGATATTTTCTCTTTTTCTGAATATTCTCTGTAAACCCTAGAGATAGTTTGTGCGTGAAAATCTTAGTAGATCAGCAGTTTCTGAATTACTCAGTCCAGCCCGTCTGCCACCAAAAACCATGCCACGTTCAAAGTCACTTAAAACACATTTCTTCCCTATTCTGATGCTCAGTTTGAACTGCAGCAGATCGTCTTGACCATGTCTGCATGCCTAAATACATTGAGTTGCTGCCATGTGATTGGCTGATTAGAAATTTTGCTTTAATGAGCAGTTGGACAGGTGTACCTAATAAAGTGGCCGGTGTGTTTATATGAATAAAAATAACTGAAGAAAAATGTTCAGTCAGTGACTTAAAGATGTGGCCCAACAGGGTTGTAGATTTAAATTGTAGGTGATCTAAGAAATGGGCAGCACAGTGGCTCAGTGGTTAGCACTGTCACTGTTCAGTTTTTGTTCTTCCTGTGTTGGCGTGGGTTTCTTCCAGGTGCTCCAGTTTCCCCTACAGTCCAAATACATGCACTATAGGTGAATTGGGTAAACTAAATTTGTCCTAGTGTATGAGTGTGTGTGTATGTGAACTTGAGTGTATTTGTTTCCCAGTACTGAGTTGCTGCTGAAAGGGCATCTACTCAGTAGAACATATGCTAGAATAGTTGGTGGTTCATTCCGCTGTGGTGACCCCTAATAAAAAGGGAACTAAGCGAAAGGAAAATAAATGGATGAATGCTCTAAGAAATAATGTTTATTTGATTTTTTTTGTTTTGCAGGTGGCCGTTTCTTGTTAAAGCTGGGAGACAAAGAAATAGAATACAGCCCTGAATTCCGTTTTTACATGACCACTAAACTGTCCAATCCACATTACACTCCTGAGATCTCTTCTAAAACCACCATCGTCAACTTTGCTGTTAAAGAACAGGTCAGTGTGTGCATGTGTGTGTGTTACTGAGTATTTTCCATGACAGTGAAGTCTTTGAAGATGATCGTGTGTTCACCAGGGTCTGGAGGCTCAGCTGCTTGGGATCGTGGTGAGGAAGGAGCGTCCAGAGCTGGAGGAACAGAAGGACTCTCTGGTGATCAACATCGCCTCTGGCAAGAGGAAACTGCAGGAGCTGGAGGATGAGATCCTGCGGTGAGTGACATGTATGCTAATACGTCATGAAAAAAACTACATTAAAGTCTACATGACATTATAATAAAGTTTTTCAGATGTTACTATCAGTATGTTCTATAAGCTAGTGTGCAGCAAAACAGTGAAAAAATTCACATTTAAAACATAAATGCATCCACAGCTTGCTGTGCGTCACCAGTGTTGGGCAATAATGGTTACTAGTAATGTGTTACTGTAACGGCATTACTTTTGACAGTAACTAATACTGTAACGCATTACCTTTTAAATATAGTAACTCTGTTAAGATTACAATATGGTGCATTTGTCCGTTACTTGGTAAGTTATTTCATTTTGGCTGCAGTCTAGCCCACATCTTCCTGTTTACAGCAGCAACGCATTGTGGAATTGGTGGATGCCAACCATTTACCGTAAAAAGACGTGTCATGTATGAGGCGCCAGACTAGACAAAAGTAAATCTAAAGCAGAGACCAAATGTGGATGCGATGGAGACCGGGTGCAAGCAAGAGAGGCCAAATGTGCTCGCAAGAGAGACAGAATGCTCAGAAGGTAGACTAGAGTGTACGCGCAGTATACTCGGAAGGTAGACTGAGTGTGCGCGCAGGAGAGACCAAGAGACTATTAACATTACTATTATTAGTCCCTATTGCTAATACTACTATGTTTGTGGTTTCAAATAAATAAGCACACATTTGTTATCTGTATAACACAATTGATTAGATTAGTAGACACAGTGACACATTTCTATTATATTTCAGAACTTGTTATTTAAATGTATAGTGTTGTATTGCTCAGGAAAAATTATGTGACTTATTTTTTTTTTTTTGATTTACATATTTTTATAGCTGTTATACAACATCAGATTTTGCTCTTTGAATATACACAGCTTACTTTTCACAAGTTGTTTGTTTGAAAATTGCTCATAGATTTCATTTCTGAGCAGCTGTTATGTTGTTTTTATTTTGGTAAACATGCATAAAATTTATGGTAGTTTTTTTGGTGCTATGTTTCACCAAATTGATTCTGAATGATACTTCAGATTACTTTAATAATTTTTTTTTTGTGCTGCTGGTCTGATTTAAATAAGTTTTTGTTTAAAAATTACTTTTTTATTTAAGATTGTCTTGTGTTTTAGTTGTGAGAATGCAGCACTGAAGTGATGTTATAAAGGTATTAATGGGAGCATTAACGCCCAATCCCAATTCTACCCGTTAGCCCGTCCCCTTACCCCTCATTTTGCATGTTCCCGTGAATGTGTAGGTATGTCCCAATTTTCTTTAGCTTAAAGGTGTAGGGCTAAGAGGAATGGGTGAATATCCCTTTAAACAAAGATTTTTAAGGACCACACTCAAAACCAAGGGAAGTAAGGGGATTTACAAAATTAGTATTTTTTGTCATTAATATAAATTATTACAACAAACAAACATAAAAAGTTTTAGTATATTCATAACTGCGTTCATGTTTTACCGTCATGCTTTTAAAAAAACGCTAAAATAAAAACAGCTAAATTTCACGATCTATTCACCTTATTCTTTGCGGACGAGCGGGGGCAGCCATTTGAATCTTTTTGGCTCGAGACTTCCAAAATAATGACTCCTGTATACCAGTCCCACACCATACTGACACTCCAATACCCTGTCAGAAAAGTGTAGTGGCTGGGAATGAGCTTTTTACGGTGTCTGCTTTGCTGTGATGTTAATGTTGTTTTTGGTGTGTTTACATGAATATGGCCACTGTGTAAATGCGCAGTACAGTTACAATCTTATTACCATATTATATCATTATGATAACATGATATATGCCTTCACTGATTTCCTGAAGATAAATACTAAAAAAATAAAGCAGCTGGAATAACTACAGCAGTCGCGATCGTCTGATCTCATATAAAGCAAGAGATCGGGATGACATATGATGATGTGTGCAGGTGCTGAGGTGCTGTCCCAATTCTTAGGGCTAAATTTTAAAGCCCTTTCCTCTTCACACTTGTTTTTGAGGGCCAAGGGGAAGGTGTAAGAATGCAAAAATAGAATGTTCTTTGGAAAAGTAACTCAAAAATTACGTTTAACAGTAATGCATTACTTTTTGGTGTAAGTAATCAATACAGTATTAAGTTACTTTTTGAATGAAGTAACTAGTAACTGTAACTAGTCACTATTTTTCAGAAACTAGCACAACACTGTGTGTCACTTGCGCATAAATGGATCAGATTTGTTGTTATATCGTACTTCAATTTTTCTATGAATCTTCTGACCAATCAAATGGTCGATAGTATCTGACATGTCCCGCCTCCTTCAAGACTCATCTGATGTGATGTGCTGAAGCTTAACCCACTGGAAGAGCTGATAAAAGCAAAAGATAAACGATTAAAAAAGATAAAAGATTACGTCAAACCTCGGATAAAAATTGCACATTTGAAAGCACTACAGGACATTTAACACCTATTTACTAGTGCCACTTGCAGATCACTCACTCCAACAGTCTGGGTGTTTATACTAGCAAATGTCACATTAGGCTATTTTCATGTGTACAGGTTGCTGAACGAGGCGACCGGCTCGCTGCTGGATGACGTTCAGCTGGTGAATACCTTGCAGACCTCCAAAGTCACGGCCACAGAGGTCGCGGAACAACTAGAGATCAGCGAACTGACCGAGAGCCAAATCGATACAGCCAGAGAGGTGAGAGAAAGCGAGGGATGAGGGGGAGGTCAAGGAGAGAGGGATGGTGCTGAAAGGGTTGCCAGATTGGATTAAAGATTGCAGCTCTGAATAAGGCAGAGAGATAAAAAGAGTGCTGAGATGGGGATGGCGATAGCAAGAGAGGCAGATAAAGCTATAGACGCCAATCTGTGTGTGTTTGTGTGTGTTCAGGCCTACCGCCCCTGTGCCCAGAGGGCGTCCATCCTGTTCTTTGTACTGAATGATCTGGGCTGTATAGACCCCATGTATCAGTTCTCTCTGGACGCTTACATCAACCTGTTCATCCTGAGCATAGAGAGCAGCCCCCGCAGCCACAAACTGGAGGAGAGGATAAACAATCTCAACAGACACCACACTTATGCTGTCTACAGGTCTGAAACGCTAACTCACACATGCATAGATTTTGTGTTTAGGGGTGAAGGAGAAATGCTGCATGTTTTTTATACTTTTACTTGCACTTTTATCTGTTCAAGGTTGATTTATTGTTCAAATGTACAGATGCTTTAATCATGTAGACTTGGTGATTTCCAAATTACCTTTAACCTTATCGAATTATAAAACTTAAAAAAAAAAAAGCCATATAAAAATATAACACTTTCTGAAAGTACAATAAAAATGTCTTTATTCTTTTTTAATTCACCCTTTTGTGAAATTTTTGAAATATTTCCCAAATAATAGGTCCATCCCAAATCACATGCTTATGAACTATTCTACACCATTTTGTTGTATAAATAGGGTAGTGCATTAACACTGAAAACTTCAAAAAGAATAAGTGCACTTTAAATACCCGGATGATGCACCATCAACCGTTAAAATTAAGTATGGAATGTTGGACACTTCACACACTCAAAGACCGCTGCTTTGCTCATGTAAAAGTAGGGGCGGAGCTTTCAGGCACTGATGTTAAAATATTCATTTTGGATTGTGAAAGCAGTATTCTCCTACGAGAGTGCTTATAGCGCCCCCTGATGGTGAATGCGGTTGTACTCATGGCGAGTATTGTTTAGTTGTTTGGTCATTTATTTCACTAATTTGGCATCCGACAAACGTCATCAGGGATCCGTTTTTAATTTCCGCTAAGTAAAAGAAATGTTAATTTTCCATTTGGGACGACACTACATACATATAAGCTGAATACTACAAATATCTAGTAAAATATGTACTGTCATCATGGCAAGATAAAAAAAATCAGTTGCTAGTTATTAAAATTATTATGTTTAGAAATGTGTTGGAATAAAATCTTGTTTACGTTAATCAGAAAATGGGGGAAAATATATACATGGGGGCTAATAATTTAGGAGGGTTAGTAATTTAGACTTCAACTATATAAATATAAGTATCTTGCATACAAATCAGTTTTTAAAACCATCATGGTTATTATGAAATATGCCAGTGTTGAAAGTCTTGTGGGCAATGCACTGACATACTGTCATTGCACTTTGGGCCTCCTAAGTTCAAGTTCCAGCTTGTGGCCCTTTCCCAATCTCATGCCTTATTTCTCTCTTCAGCTTTTCTTCATGTCTGCAAACTCACTCACTCTCACTGCCTACGAACTGTGCTATTATATTATAAGAAAAAAAAAATCTTAAAAACAAATATTATAAATAATATTTTAAATACAGTGGTCTCTCATTAATCGCAGTAGTTACGTTCTAAAAATAGCCCACAATAGGTGAAATCTGCGAATTAGTAGGCTTTATTTTTTTACTGTTATTATAGATAATTTTACGGCTGTAAAACCCCTTATTACACTATTTTCTCTGATAGGCATTAATGTTTTTACACTTTCCTCTCTTGTTTAAAATCTCACATAACCTACCTTCTACCTTCCTTTAGTATGTCCAGAAGTCCAACTTTTTGTGTCATTTTTAACATCTTTCTATGCCTTTTGACTGCTACTGTGGGTGCTTTTGACAATGCAGAATGTTTCGTCGACATTATGAGGTTTGTTTTGGAGAAAACTTGTAAACATACAGTCCAGCACTTCAGTCACACTGCTAGTGATCGAAGATTCATGTAAATTTGGCAAGCTGAACACATTCTGTACTGTACAGGTAACACGGCACAGAGGAGATTAATTGACAATGGTCTACAGCCAATCAGTACGCACTACACAATGTGCTAATCAAGATGCAGAACACATTCATTCATTCATTTTCTTGTCGGCTTAGTCCCTTTATGAATCCAGGGTTGCCACAGCAGAATGAACCGCCAACTTATTCAGCAAGTTTTTAAGCAGCGGATGCCCTTCCAGCCGCAACCCATCTCTGGGAAACATCCACACACACATTCACACACACACTCATACACTACGGACAATTTAGCCTACCCAATTCACCTGTACCGCATGTCTTTGGACTGTGGGGGAGACCGGAGCACCCGGAGGAAACCCACGCGAAGGCAAACATGCAAACTCCACACAGACTGAGCCGAGGATCGAACCAGCGACCTTCTTGCTGTGAGGCGACAGCACTACCTACTGCGCCACTGCCTCGCATGCAGAACACAATGCGCTGTAAAAAAAACAAAAAAGCATGTCACATTAAACAAAACAAAATCTGCTTAACTGCAAGACCGTGAAAGGTGAACCGCGTTATGGCGAGTGAACATTGTAAATAAAATATAAATACATTTTTACTGTTTAAATGCATAATGTAATGGAATTTATTCCTGTAATGGAACAGCTATTGCTCCAGTCTTCGGCATCACACGATTCTTTAGAAATCATTCTAATATACTGATTTGGTGAATAATAAATTATTACAATAACAAATGTATTGTTTTTATGCATTATTGTAAAGTGTTACCATTAAAATAAATAAATAATAACATATTGACAACTAAACATTTAAACAGTACATTATGTGTAGAGTAACTGTCACTATTATGCACCCTCAATACGTGCAATTAAATGTAAAAAAATACAGCTTGATTTGAAAAGATACACAAAAGCAATTTTTTTTCTTTGACATTTTTTCATATGTTCAAAATCAGCAAATGCACATTTTCATATAGAACTCTTATTAGAAAACAAAATTGTTGGAAATAAATAAGCATAAATGTTATCTGTGAAATTAGCTTTCGAAAAACAAAGTGTCTGTCATTTTGGGATTGATGTTTAATTCTCATGGAAAAGTCATTCTTTTGAGATGCCGCCTGAATCATTTGTTCAGAACAATTAATTCAGAGCCATTTGAATTACAAATAATTGGTCTTTCCGACAGCTTTCACACTCTGAATGGTTTGAATCTTAGAAAGTGCTATACAGTATATCCTACCATTCTGTAGCACTTAACTCATACTATCACCTAGGTTGTGATTTAACATCCTCTCGTACATGTTGATTATTTACCACTTCAAAACACCTACTCAAATGTTGTTGGTTTTTTAGTTTGTTTGTTTTATTCGTCATAAGTTCTGAGTTATCTTTTTATTTTCAACTCAAGTATAACTTTGGGGTCCTTCTATCACACACATACTTTATAGATCAGGCATACATAATCATCAGATGGAGTCTGCTTGTTGTCATCTGATGTGCGTCATAGATTTGATGTGTTTTAATCATTTTAAGCTGACGTTCAGAGTGATGTGGGAGCGTTTGATCTGTTTGCAGATACACCTGTCGAGGACTGTTTGAGTGTCACAAGTTGCTGTTCAGTTTCCACATGTGTGCCAAGATCCTGGAGGCATCTGGGAAGCTCAACATGGATGAATACAACTTCTTCCTCCGGGGGGGATTGGTGAGAGCTTTGGGTGGGGGGAGTGCACTTTGTTTCTGAAAGTGAATTATGGGAAAGGATTGTCTTGCCTTAAAAATGGGGGGGAAAAAGTCCTCATGTTACATACAAAAATTCTGTGGTGTGTGTTTTAGGTTCTAGATACAAAGAAACAGATGGATAACCCCTGCTCTCACTGGCTGTCGGACTCTAACTGGGACAACATAACTGAACTGGATAAACTGACTAATTTCCATGAACTCATGGCCTCGTTTGAGCAGTACCCTCGAGACTGGCACCACTGGTACACCAATCCAGAACCAGAGAAAGCACCACTTCCTGGTAATATGTGTGTTGTAGTTGTTTTTGTTGTTGTGGTTGTGCCATTTTACAAATGGTTGAAATGGAGATCATAATATTTTTGGCTATTTTTGAGCAAGAAATATGTAGGACAAGTAAGCCAGGTAATAAGATTTTTTTAAATTAAAAAAATTTGTTTTTTTTTATGACAGAAATCCTTTTTATCTGTTTGTTATGTGAACAACCAATGTCATGAGCCTTAGTAAATGTATTTGATTCTCTCAAAAGAATCACCCTGTTAGAGTCATTATTTTGACAATCAGATTTGATTACATTAGTTGCCGTGTATGGGTTTGACTCATTTAAGGGCACCTATGATGTAAAAAAAAGAGCTGTTTGGACAGAACTGTGTGTAGATATAGTCTGTCCACAGTCATATTGGGGTGATATAAAGACAATAAATCTCTTTTAAAATTTCTCACTGTTAAAATAGGATCCAAAACCCTACATTTTGCAGTTTCCCCACCCACCGATTTGATTGACAACCGCATAATAACATGTGTCCGTTGTAATGCGTATAATCATATCAACAAGACAAGACGTGAGCAAAGCAACAGAAGTTAAAAGATCTGTTCAGCTCTCTGTGATCATCAATCATCATCAAATGTGATCAAGAATGAGTTTTACAAGTTTAAAACCTTGGTAAAACAGTGCATGTTTGTAATGAATAACAGCGATTTTACCTTCTTTACTTTATCACCACAGCCGCATGTCAGTACAATTATTTTGAATTTTATTATTATTTTATGTGAAGTTTTTGAACTAATTTCGAGAGGAGCATGTGATATAATTGACTGCAGCTGGCCACCTATCTACACTCATTAGTTAGCCAATCAGATCTATCCTAACTCACTATAAGTAGCCTAGCTAGATATTACTCCCCTATCTTCGTTTTCCGAAGAAACCCCCCATCCACCCCTTTCTCCTCCTTTTCTCCTTTACAAAAAAGGGGAGCTCTTGAGAACCACCTGATCTTGTACTCCCCTCACATGCTCTATGGACCTGGCGGGAGCCCTGGGCTCAACTATCTCCGAGCTCAGGGTTTTCTCCCGGGACAGCATGCCAAACCTGCTTACAGTTGTCAAGCAATATCTAAGTGTGAACACTTGAAATAATATTTATGATCAATAAATCAGAAATCAAAAATTTTTATGTACATTTACATAACGGATACCCGTACATCTGTGGATATTAACGTGTATCCTGTCACATTTGCCGTGCAAAAACAGTGCAATGGTAAACGCTGACGCAATCCGCGATGGAGTCGCTCAAGTCAAGTCGAGCTTTATTGTCATTCTGCTACATGTGTGGACATACAGAGGAATGAAATGTCGTGTCTTGCAGGACATCGGTGCTACATAGATAAAACATATATACAAACACAACACTGTACATAAGATAAGATAAAAAAATGTAAAAAAAAAAAAACTATGCATAACTAACATATATATGGGACTGGTGGGTGGGAAGAACTAGCATTAAAGGCACAGGCCACAAAAACAGCGACATGGTTGTTCAGAGCAAAATATGTGCCCCTTAATAAAAATCAGCTAACACAAATCTTTTTACATCATTTTTTTGAGAATCAGTTAGGACTACATTAGTCTTGATGTATGGTTTTGTAGTTTTGACTCAAAAGAATCAGATTAAAGTAATAAATCGTCTATGAATCAGGTTGTGCATGGTTTTGATTTGCCAAGAAGAATCAGCTAATGAGATTTTTTAGAGGGAGTCGGGGGTAAGGTTGGTATTGAATTAAACTGATTGCTGTATGGTTTTGATCCACTTAAACGAGTTGTCTAATTTGTTCTGGAATCAAGCTGGTTTTCCCTGTTGACAGTTCATGGTTTGAATTCCTGAAAGGAACCAATTAGTTCAAATGGTTTGTTTGGGAATCGGTTTGGATTACTCTGGTCACGGTGTATTGCCTTGAGTCACAATAAAGAACTAACTTGTGAGGGTTATTTAGAGGGAATAGGTATTGATTTACACTGATTGCTGTATGGTTTTGATTCACTTACAAAATTCCTTTTTTGAGAAGGTTTCCTTTTGGGGAACTTGGCTTAGGCTGCTTGCAGTGTATGGCTTTGAATAACTAAAAGAAGCCATCATGTAATAATCATTTGTTTGGGAATTATGTTGCATTACACTGATCACAGAGTAGGGCTATGCATTATGGACATGATTTTCTTGAACAATATTGCAAATTGTGGGAAACATATTTTCAAAGGAAAACAATTACATATTTATCAAAGACCTGTAACATCTCTAAAACAGAAATGAGATAAAAAATAAATAAATAAAAAATCACCTAGTAAAGGTGTAACAAATGTCTCTAGAACTTACCTATGGCAAAACAAATTAATAGACTACTGTGTGTGTGTGTGTGTGTGTGTGTGTGTGTGTGTGTGCGTGTGTGTGTGTGTGTGTGTGTGTGTGTGTGTGGTTCCAATGTTCTGTTTGACCACATCAGAAGTTGTTGAATGTACTTTTGTATGTGTCCACAGATTTTTTAATTTTTTGCCATGCAATGATTATATACCTCTTTGTGACACTGCCGTGAAATAGGCCATTCACATATTGCTTTTTTTACTTGCTCAAGTTTATTACTTCCAATGGAGGCGCCTGGCTTGCTTATTGGGAGTGACTTCAAAGTTAACCAAATGCGCGTATTCCATGCACACCCAGGTGAAAACGTCTTTCTTTTCAGAATGCTGCAAGCACACCGCGAGTCACATGACAAGAACTGAACAGTCAGCTTCATACTTTGTATAGAATATGAAGAGTTTAGATGCAAAAACCTCTAAATGCCTCTTGATATTTAATAAAATTAGCATAACTCTTGTGTATAGGTTTAGAAATTTTACTTTTATAATGACAAATAAGTTCTTTTAATTGCCTTAACATAGGAGGTTGAGAAAAATGCTCATGTTAGGAGAACATTTCCGATGGCATTTAGAGGTGTTTGCATTTGAACTCTTCATATACACATTTTGGTAGATTAATTACCTCAGACAAACACACAGAACACCCAAACACTGCAGTGCTTTTTTATTGTTCTCCATAATAAAACTTGTGTCGAAATTGCAGCATTGTTAAAAGTTTGTCATCCTCTGAGAAAACGCTTGATGGTCGCCAAGCAACGACAAAGAAGCGCGAGCGCAATGTATGTTGAAAGCTGAAGAGAGCAACGCTCCACACGCTTTTAGACAAGATATATGACTTACAGGTCTTATTAATTACCTGATTCTGCGATACATCAGCCTTCCTGTATTCAAAGTAATCCCACACCACAGATGTTAACCTTTTTTTGCCACAAAGTTCTTTTGTGCTGAACTCATCATCCCTGTTCATGCAGCCTATTCAGGCCCAGTTTACACTTTTACGTTTTAGTTTTAAAACGCATAAGTTTTGCTACAGTTACACCATCCGTCTACAATTCGCCAGAGTTTTTGAGCGCCGAAAACGAAGCTTTTTGAAAACTCTGAAGAGGCCATTTTTATTTTAAAACACTGTTGCTCCATGTTAGTGTGGATAGGGAAAAACGAAGACATCTGAAAATGGAGGCGGGGCTGCTGACATTCGCCTCTCTGATTGGTGCTTTTTCCTCAATATTAAGTAGCCTAAACAAAGTTCAGTCTTGCATACTCGCCTTGTAAGTTCAAACTTCGCAAGTTTGATATTGAAAACAAACTCCCGTGGACACGTCGGGTAAATCTTAACAAAATGGAACCTATGATATTACTACCTCCTTTCATTTTTATTGAAAATACAAAGCATACTCTCTTTTTTGCTGCAAATCAGTTTTAATAATCAATAATGGCCATTGTAAAAGCATAATGAACAGGAAAGTTTATAAAATATAGGAAATAAAGGCAAGCAATTAGTCAAATGTGCAGAATCAATGTATGTGGTTACATAAATTAATATATTAACCTATCTTTGCACTCGTTAGCCAAAACACTTTACCTGAGAACAAGCAATCGATTCAAAAGACCAAAGTCGGGGAATATGTTGTTAGATAGAGACAAGATGAATTAAATATCACATTTAACAAAAATAGTGAGATTAGATCCAGCGGTAGATCCTTGATGGACGTTCCGACGTGCACAGCTCTCATTGCTGTAGCGCATGACAAAGTGTGTGTGTGGTCACTCGATGTGTGTATTCAGTAGGATATTGTGGACAGAGAGTTGTTCAGAAACGCTATGTGAAACGCCAGTGGACATGGATCGTTTTCATTTTAAAACGCAGTTTTAAAACTAAAATGTATTAGTCTAAACGGCGCCTCAGTCCCCTTTTCTTGTGCTCTGCGTTGATTGGTTCAAATAGCATACTGCGGGAAAATCGTGCTGTAAGCCAATTTAGAAATCACGCATGTTCAAATCGTTTGATACCATTTCGATTAATCGCACAGCCCTATTACAGTGTGTGATTTTGATTCACATTAAAAAACAGAATCATTAAAGCCATTCATTTGGAGTTATATTGTTTTAAATTATGTCCATATCAGCAGACGAAAGAATGATTGAGAGTCATTAATGAGAAGCAAACATATTTCAGCTCCAGTACATAAAAGTTTTTGGTTTGCAGCTTCTAGTAAAGGGATAGAAAATATCATTAGGGCAATATGAAAACAAAAGAAGCCAATGAAAATCCCCTTTTAAAGTTAGTGAACTGGAACACGTTATCAGCTTGTTTCCTAATTTCCCTCTTCATTTCTCTTGCCTCTCTCTACTGACTGTGAATGCCACAATCGGCCTCGTTGCTTTATTTTTCATCTCTTGCTCTCTCTCTCTCTGTGCAGGAGAATGGGAAAACAGCTGCAATGAGCTGCAGAAGATGCTGATTGTAAGATCTCTCCGACAGGATCGCGTCTCTCTCTGCGTCACTGCTTTCGTCATCAACAACCTGGGCTCTCAGTTCGTAGAGCCACCCATCCTTGATATGAAGGCTGTGAGTGACACTCGCACAAACACACAAAGAGAACTGCTGGCCTTACAGCTTACAATTGAAATGAGCCAGTGAACAAAGAAATTAACTTTTTCGTTCTGTACATCATTGAGGCTCTTGGGTGAGATGTGAGAACAGCAAAGTTTAGCATTAAATTAAGGTGAAACACATTCAATATCACACTGTTCTATAAGAAGCTGGCATTTTCAGCGTTTGAACTCTGAAAAATTGAATGTGGGGCTGCTCTTATTTTTAACTCTTTGCTCTCAAAAATGAATCTCAAGCACAGCAACACAACCTCTCTACATCTCCCTCCAGACAGAGAGAAACAGAGACTGGATGAAATAAATCAGATATGCTTCAGGGTTTCCTAAATGCAATTGATTTTCCCCCCCCCTTTTTCATTTTCTTTCCTTTTTTTGTATCCATTTTGACTTTTTGCATTAGTTTAGGAAATAGAAACAGTCAAACCTATCTGCAGTCATACCAAAACCCATTTACCTTCTGTGTATGTGTGTGTGTTTGTGTGTCAGGTTGTAGCAGACAGCACCACGAGGACTCCTCTGATCTTTGTGCTGTCTCCTGGTGTGGACCCAACGGCAGCCCTGCTTCAGCTGGCAGAGACGTCAGGCATGGGTCAGCGCTTCTTTGCCCTCTCGCTGGGTCAAGGCCAGGCACCCATCGCCACCCGGCTGATCAAAGAGGGAGTCGCAAACGGTGACATGATCTTTCTCTCTGGCTCTGTTTTTCTCCACTTTATTATCTTTCTGTTTGCAGCTTCCTTTGCTATCTCTTTATGATTTATATGTAGATTTATGCAGTTAGATGAGTTCAGTGACATTTTATGTAATTAGAACATTCATAAAATCACATACTTTCCTAAAATATACTATGTTAAAAACAGCATGTGAGTCAAGTGGTGTCATAATTCATAGTATTTGAAAAAACCATACATGGGAAGTCTTCAGATGACTTACTACTTTTGGCGAGATTCTGAAGTGTACACTGTCTTATGAGGCCACTCCAATGAGACTATGAATAGGAACTGATGTATTACATCTGAATTTCATTCATACTCCTATTTATATTACAATTTATACACTGTAAAAATGTCCAGGTTTTCACAACGTTACTGTAATTTTTCACAGTAAATTACATTAATATCACTTTACAGGATTTAACTGTAAAATTCACAGTAATGTGTTGCATTCAGAATTTTATTGTGAAATTAATGCAGGTGGCATGATTACTGTAATTTACTGTAAAAGAAAAAAAGCTATATCTTATATCTTTTCACCGAAAAATACAGTTAATTCTACAAGATAATAATGTGAAATCACAGTAATGGACTTCATTATCTACTGTGAAGTTACTCTATATGGCTGTAATTTCACAGTAATTTAATGTACCAAAATCACATAAATTACTGTAAACTACCACACAGTAATTTGCTGTGAGTTTACATACTGTATTTTACTGTGAAAGTAATGCAATTATTAGCCAGTAATTTATGGTGAATTTAAGTTAATTTCTTTTTGCAGTGTAGAATGTACTTTTCTAACTGTTGTCCAAAAGTTCAAATGTAGTACCTACATTAGAAGCTTGCAATTTTGGTCACAGCTATTCTTCTTTTAATGCGTTATTCATTAATTTTTCTTCGCCTTAGTCCCTGATTTATCACATGCCACCACAGCAGAATGAACCACCAACTATTTTGGCATATGTTTTATTCAACAAATGCTCTTCCAGGTGCAATGAGTGTGATTCTGATTGTTTTATTTCAAGAGGTGCAATTATTTTCATTTAAATGCATAGAATATAAATAATAAAACTATATAGGCTTTATCCAAAATTGCGCCCTATACTCTTAAACAGTGTACTATTTGAGAGATCAGCCATTTGTAGTGGTGCTGGGAATCATAGAGGAGGTACTAAAGTGCACTCAGTCAATCCCATAGTGCGCAATAATGAGTATACAACCAATGTATATTCAACAGCTAGAGAGAAATACCCATATTGCACTCTAGGGCTCTATTTTAACGATCTAGGCGCAAAGTCTAAAGCATGTGATGCAAAAGCATTAAGGCGTGTCTGAATCCACTGTTATTTTAAGTACAGAAGAATACAGTTTGCGCCACAGTGTATGGTCTAACAGGGTTGTGTTTATTCTCTTAATGAGTTATGGGTGTGTTTTTGAGTATTACATGCATTAAACCAATCAGAGTCTCATTTCTCATTCCCTTTAAGGGTCAAAGTGCATTTGCTATTTACATGGCGGACTTTGTAAGTGAAAAAACTGAATGTTTCACTAGCGAGAAAAAAGTTTAACAGACCATCATAAGCATGAGGATAAAGAACGAGCCTCCTCCATTCGACCTCTTCACTTTCTCTTTACTTTACTTTTACTCTTTAGTTTACTCCTCTGCTTTCGTGGATAAGGAAACGGTGTTGTACGCACTCCAATGAAGACATCCATCAGCCTACATATTTAATTTCATTTGTTAAGCGCAAGTATTTTTTTCAAATTATTTGTAAATTCTGTTCTAATTTCCAGCAAACGTATAAATGAATAATAATAATGAAGTGTGGTCAAAAAAACAGTTATATCCAAACATTTGATCTATTTTTATGCCTTTTATAGTGATGTATACATCTCCAAAACTCGACAGGTGGACAAATCCGAACTTGTTTTTATGAAAACAAATATAAATATGCATATAACAAATACTCCTACTAATAATCATAACCATATACAAATAAAAATTGTCATGAATAAACTGAAAAAAGGCCCCCGGACATAAAGAAGGCATGAAGGTAGTGGTTTTTATATTTATGTATAAAATAAAAAAATTGTGTTAAGTATAAATATGTAAAGATATTTGTGTATTGCTGTACATCCTGTGTCTTTTAAGCATTTGAACCCACATAGACACATAACTAATGCGCTCCTTAGACCAGCTGGTCAATTGTGCTGTCTATTTCAGGCCCTCAAAATAGCAACGTGCCAACAATGTGCTTTAACACACCTCTTCTATAGACCGGCAAATTGTAAAAATTAGGGTTGCGCTGGTCTGAAAATAGCAACAAATCTCGCCAAACATGTCTTGCGCCTAATTGCACCGTGTGCATGATAAGGCCTTTAGAGTTTGTGCACCAAATAAATTTGGGCATCTGACCACAAGATGACAAGATCCACACCAGGATCTTATGGATCGTAAACATTTCTAAACGAATTATGATTTAATTGTTAAATTAACATTTATATAGATGACAGAAATCAAAATGCTTGGATTTATTAGTAACAGACAGCTCACTAAGTTTTAAATTGCTATCACAGGGTGTGATCAGAAAAAAATCAAATCTGTCTGAGAGGGATTTTTAACCAGGACAGCACTGTGACAACCCCAGGATTTCAGTATGGATGTGGCAGATCCTGATTGGGTGCCTGGTTGTTCACTAATTGGCTCAAACCATATAAAAGCAATTGTGTGCTAGCTACTGGGAGACGGTGTGGCTACGGGCCGTCTTCGTGTCAAGATCTCTTCATTTCTGCAACCTTATGGTTTTGTTTAGCATTATTTATTTGTGTAGTTAAAGTAGTTATTTTCTTTATTTTCCCCTAGACGTTTGTTTGTTGATTTTTGTTGTTCTATTTAGTTTTTTGTATAATAAATAAGTTGCATATACATTCTTTTGTTGTCCGAACTCTTTTATGTTGCGACTCGAACGAGGGGGTCGTAACAAGCACAAACTAAACGGCATCCCTTCTAGTGCACTTGGTGCACTAGTCGATCTTACTCACTACTTTTTATTTTATTTTTTTTTTACATGGACTATATTAGTGGACTAAAGTAGAGAACATTAAATGAGGGTATAGGGGATGATTTTGTATACATCCATAGACACAAAGGTACTCTGTCCCTAATAATTGGATCATTAACTGGATTAGTCAGCTGTCTGTGGCTCAAGCTGCAATTTTCAAAAACATAAAAAGTTTTACCAATAGAACAGAAACGTCTGCCAGACATTCTTGATGTAATGTCTCTGCATAAAAAAAATCTATCTTCTACTCGAAGTGGTTTAAGGACAAAAACTTTAAAAATATCTTGAAATACAACATGCTAACAATGACCTTAGGTGTGGTAATAATAGTATAAGCTTTGTAAGTAAAATCTGCACACCTGAGCTGTAGCAAAGATGCAAAGTGTTGCATCACCACCTTGAGTGTGCATCATTTTCTGATAGTTCGGCTCATCATTAACTCTTACTTATACAATCCCTTCAAACTTGGGATCAGTACTTTTGTTTTTAAAAAAAAATACATTTATTCAGCTTTAAATGTTTTGAAGTGTCAAACTTTTTAATTTTTTAGAATTTACAACATTTTTTTATTTTATTTTAAAAGATATATATATATATATATATATATATATGTATGTTTTTGCCACACCGACCACTCACATTTTCTTTTGAAGTATTATTTGATTAACTAAATCTTCCTAATTTCCGTCTGGCAGGTCATTGGGTGTTTCTGGCTAATTGTCACCTGTCTCTCTCTTGGATGTGTGAGCTGGATAAGTTGGTAGATGAGTTACAAGTCCAGGAATGTCATCCAGATTTCCGGCTGTGGTTGAGCTCCTCCCCTCACCCAGAATTCCCCATCGCCATCCTGCAGACAGGCATCAAAATCACTACTGAGCCTCCCAGGGTACACATACTGTATATGCCCACTTTACAGACCGTAGCCGGATGTTTGAAATGATGTGTGCCGTAATTAAAGTGCTCTTTGTGTATGTATGTGTGTGTGTGTGTGTTCTTGTGTCTCTGTAGGGGGTGAAGTGGAATATGAAGCGTCTCTATCAGCGGGTGTCTGAGACTCAGTTCCTGCGCTGCTCTCGGCCGCTGCTGTATCGAAAGCTGCTCTTCAGTCTCTGCTTCTTTCACAGCGTCATACTGGAGAGGAGGAAGTTCCTGCAGCTTGGTTGGAACATCATATACAGTTTCAACGACTCTGACTTTGAGGTAGAAAAACAGACAAGGATATTTTTTTTTCTGTTTTTGGATGGATTTACTTTTTTTTATATGAAAGAGTATGACCAATGTGAACTGATTGCATCGGCTGTGTAATCATAGATTAGATTAACTATATGAATGCATACCATAAGATTGTCTTTAAAAAAAAAAACCTTTAAAGTCACTTTAACTAAAAATACAATAATAATAACAACAGTTTAAAAAGTATTTTTAGTATCATAGTTCTTGTTAAATATTTTCTTTTACACTAAAATAGAAAAGTTATAATTTCTAAGTTATATTACATACACTCACCGGCCACTTTATTAGGTACACCAGGCAACTTTTTTCCAATCTTCTATTGTCCAACTTTGGTGAGCCTGTGCGAATTGTAGCCTCAGTTTCCTGTTCTTAGCTGACAGGGGTGGCACCCAGTGTTGTCTTCAGCTGCTGTAGCCCCTCTGCCTCAAGGTTGAACGTGTTGTGCGTGCAGAGATGCTCTTCTGCATGCCTCCAATACCACGTTCACAGTCACTCAAATCACCTTTCTTCCCCATTCTGATGCTCGGTTTGAACTGCAGCAGATTGTCTTGACAATGTCTACATGCCTAAAAGCCTTGAGTTGTTGTCATGTGATTGGCTGATTAGAAATTAACGAACAGTTGGACAGGTATACCTAATAAATTGTCCATTGACTGTACCTGTGTTTATTTGTTTAATTGGTAGAATTTAAAATGAACAAAGTAAAAAATATTTTAATAAACATCACCACCACCATTATTACTATTAAAAGTGGAAATAATAATTTAATAGTAATAATATATTTACACCATAATAGCACTGCTATTATAATCCAAATTTAATTTTATTAAATAATAAATAAATTTGTATAATTTAAATAAAATACATATTATTATTGTTGTTGTTTTTTTGATGTTGTTATTAGTAGAGAGAGAAGGAGTATTGCATAGTCATATTAAATTGGGGGCATCATAGTGACACAATGGGTAGAACGATTGCCTCACAGCAAGAACGTCGCTGGTTCGAGCCCTAGCTGGGTCAGTTGGCATTTCTGTGTGGAGTTTGCATGTTCTCCCCTTGCTTGTGTGGGTTTTCTCCTGATGCTCTAATTTCCTCCACAAGTCCAAAGACATGTGGTATAGGTTAATTGGGTAACCTAAATTGCCCATTGTGTATGTGTGTGAATGAGAGTGCAATGCGACCCCTGATTAATAAAGGGACTAAGCCGAAAAGAAAAGGAATTATGAATGAATAATAATATATTATAATATATTATATTTATTTTATTTAGTTGTTGATTAATTTATACTTCTATAGTTCCTGGGCAGGAAGTTGTAACAAATTTATTGTCTGTACAGATAAAACAGAAAGTTGTAACTTAAAAATAGTTCAATATACATTTACAGTACAATACAGACAATGCATCGTAGTAATACTTACCTGTATCACATTGCCAACATTTCTGCCCTGACTAAATCTAATTAAAAGATCAAATAGATCATTTTTTTGTTTAAAACAAGCTGCGTTTGTACTTACAGCTCCTGGCCTGCCGCCATACCTTGCCGCCATTTTTACTAACTACCTTTTCACTATAGTTTATAATAATTGTATATTTATCATCATATTTATTAGTAGGGAGAGAAGGAGTATTGCATAGTCATATTAAGTTGGGGGGAAAAGGTTTCCTTTTATCTGACCACATGTCTTGGACAGCTGTGAAGACTGGGATTCTCAGCCTTATTTGGCCCACTACCAATATTTTGGGCAGCAAAATGTCAAAGTCAAAGTCATTATAGATGAAAGCATACATCCTCTGCTCTAACGCCCTTAATGATAATGCACCTTTGCAACCTGGTCACATAGTAGCCTAAAAGTTCTACCCTAAAATAGCAGAAAATAAGCTGCATATTTAATAGACACTGCCTATGGCTATGACATTATTATAAACAAAAACATGTTTTAAAAGCATTCCATAAATAAAATTAATTGGATGAAATCTCTGTTGACTTCACTCATGTGTCTCTGGCAACCTTACCATTATGCAAAGGCACATTGTTTACCGTAAATACTCATCTCTCCCTGTCTTCCAGGTGAGTGAGAATCTTCTGAGTCTTTATCTGGATGAGTATGAGGAAATCCCCTGGGACGCTCTCAAGTTCCTCATCGCTGGCATTAACTATGGAGGACATGTGACTGACGACTGGGACCGGCGTCTGCTCACCACTTACATCAACCAATACTTCTGTCCTGCTGTTATCGATACACCCTTCTTCAAGTGAGTTCATCCACACATACACTTTAAATCAAACTATTGCTTTATAAATACTACAATCTAACTTCAACCCTTAAAGGGATAATTCACTCAAAAATAAAAATTCTGCCATCATTTATTCACTCTTTAATTGTTCAAAAGCTATTTGAGTTTTCCTTCTGTTGAACACAGAAGAAGAGAATTTGAAAAATGATGGTTGCTGGCACCCGTTGACTTCCAAAATAATTTTTTTGGAACTTTGGAAGTCGATGGGTGCCAGCAACCAGCATTTTTCAAAATATCTTGTTTTTTTCTATTGAACATAATAAAGAATCTCATAGAACCACACAAGAGAGAATTAAAAATGAGGACATTTTCATTTTTGAGGTGAACTATCATGTAAAATTAAAAGTTTTTTTTAGATGTCAGTCACTGTTAGTAGTCTAGTGTGTACTAAAACAGTGACAAAATTTAAATTAAGAAAATATCAAATCAATTAATTTTTTGACATCACCTCATATTTTAGTTTCTCATCAAATCTTCCGACCAATCCAAGGGTAGATAGTATCTGACATGCCCTGCCCCTATTCAAAACGCTTCTCATTTGCTTTTCATTTGATACACTTGTAGCTCAACCACCCTGACTGGCAGACCTGTGATGAAAACAAAACGCTCTGGGCTTTTATAAAAGGGGGAGGGGCTACTATATGTCCCACCCTGTTCTGTTTTTAGTTTAGATTACATCAAACATACAGTAAAAAAATAAACATTTCACTCAACAAACTTGACAAACAGGGCAATCATTGAGAGACGGTCAATTTTTGTTGTGTGTTCTGCATTGGACTCAATTTGTGTTCTGTTGGTCAGTTGAGCATGTTGAATCCATCAAGTCATAAACATTCTTCATATTCAAAATGCTAAATGAATACACAGTTGTTTATATTTTTTAGATCTACAGTACTAGTTTTCCCTTTTTGAATGACAAATACAAATACAGACTACAATACAAATACAGACTATTGATATCTGCTAATAATAGTTAAAACTTATAAACTTATAAAGGTTATTTATTCTTATAAAGGTGCAAAACAGTCAGTGGTCATTGCAACTGGATCTTTTTTGTTGATCAGGTGTGTCCTGGCCCTTTCCTGAGTAAAAAATATTAAATTTGTTAACATTCCAAAAAGTAGGGTTTTCCAGATTTTTCTCTCTTAAAACACATTTGTCCCAGAATGTACCCATATAAACCCACTAAGACACCTAAAGAAACGTTATTGGTATCAGTAGTTCCATGAAGAACCGTTGACATCTAGAACCCTTTCATGCCACAAAACGTTCTTTAGCATTGAAAAATGCCCTTTATGGAGGAAATTTGGTTGGAAACATATCATTGGTTTTTCGTCACCCTTGAGATACTTAAAAATATATGTGGCACGAATCGTACACCAATATTCTAGAAATGATAAAAAATTCAGGGATTTTGATTTTTATAATCGTTTAGAGAATATACTCCATATCCCCATTGATATTTCTTACTCAACACTATACTTAGGATTAAAAAACTGCTAGGCCTAAAATAGCTGCTGAAAATTTTGTTGATAGCCTGTAGAAAAGCCATACCTCGAAATACCTTAAATTAGTGACTGGTTTGACAATTTATGAACTCTATAAGAAGGCAAGGCTAACAAGGAATCGACGTTTACAGATTGAGGAGTTTAATGAAACATGGAGAAAATGGGTAGAATATATTCTTCCATTAATATAGAATGTATAGTTAGACAAATTTGATTTTGTTATTTTTCTGTAATGAGAGAAAACATACAAGAAAGATGAGAGTGAGAAAAACAATTCCTATCAAATAAACTAATGAATAAAAATTAACAGTTAAGTACTTGAAGTACAATCCTCAGAGATGTCTATATAGTTTCATATGTATATAGTTTAGGGGAAACATTTTAAAAAGGGTTGACTGGGTGCCAGAATATGGGTTAAAAAAGTGCAAAATTGAATTGTAATCGAAAAGCAACTAATCAGTTTTATCTGTTTTCTTTTTGACGATATACAAAACAGTTATGTGTGTATTGTTTTGGTTGTTCTTATAATGTCTTTGAATCATTAATGTAACTTTTGTATTTATTTATTAATGACATTTTTTGTATTTTATCATTTCTATAATTTCTGCATTCCGATGTTTGGTTGTTTTGTGTAACCATTGTGGAAAACTATATATATATCTGTATGTAATTTTAAAAACTGTAATAAAAACTAAATATATTTTTTAAATTTAAATGTCCTTTAGTTTATGAAATTATTATTTACACTATAAAAAGCTCAAATGTTCTTTAAGGAACTAAAAAAGTTTTTTTTTATAGCAGAGATGCCCAAAGTAGGACCTGCGGGCCAAAGTTGGCCCACGATAACCTTTGATTTTGCCTACCATCTAATCTGAAAAGACGGGGAGAATGATGGGAAGGTGATTGTGGTGAATACCTTTAATAGAGATTGTGATTTCAAATTTAACGTAACATTTTGGTTCTTTGTTTTATTGCTGAGCTACAAAAAAATCCAACATAATTTAAAAAGTTTCAATGAACCAGACTTTTAAAATGTAAATACTCTCACTTGGCAGATAGAGGACAATGCACAAGTCATTGGCGGTAAATCAAAACAAAGCCTCGACTAGTGTATTCAGCTCCAGAACTCCATTGTCTTATTATTAGGAATGTTTATGTTTTCTCTGTTTTCTACAAATTAGGTAATTATGCATGATAAATTTACAGTTTTTCTTGGTCGCTTTGGTGCATTTCTCACAACACTGTTTACATTTGCACAACAGTTAATGCATTTCTAAAAACAATAAGTTTTTTGTGCACATCATAGTAGCAGTTTCTCATTCCTTCCAATAAATTGCAAATGCTTTTGGACATGCATCAATTGCTTACATACAACTCTCTGCTGTTTTATAACATTATAATTTGCTTATGTCATGTAAGTCAATATTAGCTACGCTTGTGAATGCTAAATAGTCATTCCATATAAAACTAATAGTCATGTCATTACTTGAGTCATTACATACAAAAATGTTGAACTAGACAAATTTGATAAAAATTTTACTTTTTTTATCTCCTGAAAATTTCTTCTAAATTAAACAATTTCATGAATGATTCACAGACCTGTGTACGTTATAGTTTCAGTTCCAATATGTTCTGCAATATTTTTTTTACAATGCGCAAACTGTGTTTGTTGTAAATAAGGGTGTGTTTATTCTTTTGCACAATGCTGTGAATAAATTAGAATTGCTAAGAGCAAATGCAGTACAAATGTCAAACATACATATTCAGTGTCTTGTACTCAGGTACCTCACTGAATGCAGTGATGTCTAACTTTACTGTAGTTTTCAAATGGCTGTGCAAATAGTATATACTGTAGTGCTTGAGAATTTTCAGGAAGTGTCATCAAAATCAGAATTTTTTACATTGGGGAAAAAACTTACAGAATAAACTGTCATAATGAAAACATGACAAGGCCATTTGACTATCTTATTCATAAACAATGGTGTCAGGACACTTTCATTGACATATATACTTGCTTTTGAGGAACAACCTATCCATTTTGAGCAAGTGACACGCTTTTGCAAGTTATCAGTTTGGTTTTGCAGTTTGTACATTAACTGTTGTGCAAATGTAAATAGTGTTGTGAGAAATGCACCAAAGCGACTGAGAAAAACTGTAATATAATATAGTTTGGAATAAATACATATTATGTCAGCCAGGATATATTACATATGTGGTATATATTCTGCCCACAGCCCTCAATCAAGGTTCATTTTTGCCCTATAATAAGAAAAAGTTTGGGCATCTCTGTTTTATATCATCACTAACCCTTTTGGTTCTTCCTGGCACCTTTACTTTATAGAGTGCAGAATATGTAATATATTTTCCACTCAGCTATAAACCAGTACAGTAACTTTAATATTTGTATGACCGTCACTCAAAGTCCCAGTCATTGAACATTATGAAGAAACAGAGCGTCCCCATATGGTGAAATTTTCTGTCTAGTTGCAAAAGCAAAGGCAAATCGCACACACACTCTCGCGGACAGATCTTCTCATTACTCGCTCACACACAAACTTTGCATTGAATATATGTCAAGCCATCACACACACTCACCCTTTGATCCCTGACACCCCTCTCTGCCCTGCTGTGAGGATTCAGTGTGTCCTCTTCTTCAGTCTTCAGCCACAGTGCTGATCTAGCACAGACCAACAGCTCCCCCATGGGGCCGAGCGCTGAATCTCACACTGTGTGGAGTTCAGTATGCTCCAGTTCCTCTGTGTCTGCTGGTCTTTCAGGACCAAGCAACACCGCATACACACATAGAGCATCTGTTACTATAGCAACCACATCCTATAATTACCTTCAATCAGCGCCTCCATGGTGACTTGAGTGCACAGCGCAGGCAGCTCTGAAGTTTTAGGCAGTTGTAGCAAGGAAATGGCTTGGATTGCTTGACTTGGTGGGTGAAACAGAAATTGCAGGTAATTACAGGATCTGTGAAGTTTAGTGTTAAACAGTGTAGGTACTTTCAGTGAACTCTAGATTATAGTTTAAGAATATGATATTTTGGGGATATTTTTGAAATGAGAAATTCTTTCATCAGCCTGTAGAAGGCTTAGCATATTATGTAGATTTTTATGAGCAGTAGACCTACACTATTTAGTATGTATTACTGTGCATATTTGTAATTTCTTTTTTTTCTACACATTGTTTATTTTGATGTACATTTTTATATACCATATACACAAACTATTTATTCCAGTACAAAACAAAAGGCTGGGATAACATGTACAAATCTACAATATTTCAGTATTCTTTGTATACTATAAAAGTAATTCTTAATATTTTAACTTGACTATAATATTTCTGTAAAAGCTGTTCTTCAATTTAAACTTATTTATGTAGTTGACAACTAAAATGGAAACGGTATTATTAGATTATTCATGTAAAAAAGATTTTTTTCAACACATTTCTAATCTTACTAGTTTTAATTTTGCTTTACTAGATATTTTTCAGGATACTAATATTAAGCTTAAAGTAATTTAAAGGATTAACTAGGTTAATTAGGTTAAATAGGCAAGTTAAAGTAATTAGGCAAGTCATTGTCAAGTCGACAAGTTAACTGTGGTTTGTTCTGTAGTAGACAATCAAAAAAATATTGCTTAAGGGGGCTAGTAATTGGGACTTGTGGTGCTTCGCATTGATGGATTTGCTCTTCAGTGTTTGGACTTTCAGCAGTGAAAATTAAACCACACTGAACTGAACTAAACGGAACTTCTACTCTAAAAACTGAACTGACACTGTTATAATTTCCTATAATCTGTTAAGTTGCTTTGACACAATCTACATTGTATAAGTGCTATATAAGTAAATGTGAATTGTGCTGAATTGTATAATGATATTAATAAATTTGTCTAACAAATAATAAATAAACTTTTTTTCATGTAAAATGAAAGAAATGACACTTTTTCCATAATAGTGCACTCTCTATTCTCAGAAGTACTGTGAAAATGTCCTTGCTTTATTAAATATTACTTGAGAAATGCTAACATTTTTTGCCTTAAACTGTATTTTTTGGTATGCATACTTATTTTTAAAATGATATACTGTATAATACTTTATAATGTATTTAATTTCAGATTTATTTTGCTAAAGAAAAAAAAATGCTAGTTTTAGTTCTGATTAATAAAAAACACTGCAGATATTTTCTTTGCTTATGAACTATTTATTGTCCAGAGTCAAATGTAAATTAGCCAGCATCCAAACAATTAAACAACACTACCTCAGCCTAATTAAATAATATGTGTAATAATAATAATAATAATAGTAACCTTAATTGACTTTTTAGAAAACTAAATAAGCTGACACGATGGCTCAGTGGTTAGCACTGTCGCCTCACAGCAAGAAGATTGCTGGTTTGAGTCCCGACTGGGTCAGTTGGCATTTATGTCTGTGGTTTATATTTTCTCTCCGTGTTTGCGTGAGTTTCCTCAGGCTGCTCCGGTTTCCCTTACTGTCCAAACAGATGTGCTATAGATGAATTGGATGAACTAAATTGTCTGTAGTGTACTGTATGTGTGTGAATGTGAGAGTGTATTGGTGTTTCCCAGTACTAGGTTGCAGCTGGAAGGGCATCCGCTGCGTAAAACATATGCTGAATAACTTGGCAGTTCACTCCACTGTGGTTACCCCTGATGAATAAAGAGAATAAGCCGAAGAAAAATGAATGAATGAAAACTAAAGAATTAACACAAAACAATTATGAAGTTTGTATTAATTTGACTTGCTATGCTATATTAATTGTAATTACTACATTATAATAATCATAAACTGTATTATTAATTATAATAACGCATAGTAATTAGTATTAGTAAATCTTAAAAGTGTAAAGCAGTGTTTATTATCTGAAAGAATGAAAAATAAATGCTTTAAGAAATATTGCTCACTGTTAGTTAACATTAGTTAATGCATTTACTAATGGACCTTCTGTTTAAGCATTACCGAAGAGATTCATGCATGCTTTGTTTCCTATTAAAATGCAATTTTGCATCTTTTCCATATCAAAAATACAACCCGGGCTCATTGTGGAAACGTAGCCCCGCGGACGTTTCTGCGGACCGCGATTTACGTCCCGGGAGGTACGTATTCGAGCGTTTTTTTTGTTTTCGCGGATCCGCGAGAGGCCGCTGTGCACGCTTTTTCGCATCTCGGGCGGGCGCCTCTCGGGAGCGCGCAGCGTTCGCGCCCGCGCCGTTCTCGCGCGAAAAGCCGCCTGATCGAAAAAAAAAAAAAAAAAGCAAAAGCCCCCGTCTTCGATTTCGACCGCGTTTTCGGATCCCGCCGCGTTCTCGCCCTTATTTTTCGGATTCCGTTTTTCGTCTTACCTGATTTCCGGAACCCGCTGTTCCCCGGACTCGATCCCGCAGCAATGCTGTGAGCTAGGCGGACAAACTGATTGCGTTTTAACTATGTGCAGGCCAGCTACATGTTCTACATCAACAAAAGAGTAAAAGAACATTAACCTACATAAGAAAGTGTGTTATGTAGGCTAATTTTATTTCACATTTTTGTCTCAGCAAGGGAGTAATTGTTATATATTTTATAATTGTTTAAAGATATATATTTTCTCATAGATTAGACAATACACTTGCTAGGTCTGGGTTGTCAGCCAAATCTACACTTCAACTTCACTACATTATTCCTCCAAATTTGACTTTTTTTAAATATTGAAATAAATCTAAACAGATCTGAAAATTTAATTGATTTTATTTTAAATTTAAAAATTGCATTGCTTTCAATTACAATCAATATAATACAATCCTGTTCTAGTTTAAACAATTAAACTATTATATATCTATAAATGTATATAGAAACTCACAATTATAAATGGTCTACTCATTTTTGTTCATATAGCTATACAGTACATTTTATATATTACCAATGAAGTTTGCACTGCACATGCAATCATATTGTTTATCCCTTATTTTTTCATAATATGTATTGTAACAATACCTCTGCATTCTTATCAAAGCATATCATTTCTCCATATTACACTGTATTGTTTGGTTATCATTTTGTTATTTTCAAAATGCAAATTTATATATAAACAATACAACAAATCCAAATCTCTATATGAAAACGTACAGCTAGGCTACAATTAACCATTACAGTATCCAACAATTTGTGTTTTTAATTTTTTTAATTAAATGAATCTAAATTAATTTGCAATAGAGCTTTTGCAAATCTGGAATTATTTGGTGAGTTTATCAATTCTGCATCTTTTTGAGTGAGTTTATAACTAACTTTATGATACATTAATCTAGCGTTCATATTTAGCGTAATCTAATTAAAATTATATATATTTATTAACAGGACATTTAATAATCTGGGAGCGTTGACTTCAAATGTATTATGTGGTCATGTATCTTTCATCCCCCCCTACTGAACGCATTAGGAACAACAGGGGCGTAAAGCTGTGGGGCGTAAAACTGCCTTGGTCGTAAAACTGCCTTGATCCAAGTCTGCAGACGCCCCATATAGGAGAGGAGGGGCGGAGCGGCGCCACACCGCCCCGCAGCGTTCGCTCGAAAAAAAAAACAAACGCGGCCTTTACGTACCTCCGGCCACGTAAATCGCGGTCTCCAGAAACGTCTGCGGGGCTACGTTTCCAGAATGAGCTTGGGTTGCAAAAATACCATCTCAGTGTCCACAAGCCCAAAGATGTGTTTTTAGAAAAGCTGTTTATTTGTGTGCACATAGGGTCTCCTCCTTGGTCTCCTACTATGTTCCTCGTGATGGACCTCAATCCTCATATGTGGACTACATCAGTCAGCTGCCTGCACTAGAGCACCCAGAACTTTTCGGACAGCACCCTAATGCTGACATTGCCAGCCAGATCACGGAGGCTCGAACCCTGTTCCACACATTGCTGTCTCTCCAGCCGCAGGTCACCAGCACAGACACCACCAGCGCTGGAGCCAGCAGAGAAGACAAGGTGCCTTTAAAACAAATATTGGGTTTACTGTTCTTATAATTGCAATTCACAAATCTTGTGTAGGCATTTTTGACTGTGTGTGTGTTTAGGTGCTGGAACTTTCTGCTGATGTTCTGCAAAAGATCCCTGCTGAGATTGACTATGAAGGCACTAGGAAGTTGCTAAAGGATGATGTTTCACCTCTGAATGTGGTTTTGCTGCAGGAGATCCAGAGATACAACACACTGCTGCACACCATCAGGTCTGTGTTTGTGCGAGAGAGTCATATGTGGAGGTGAATATTAATATGCTAACTGTGGTGTATTTGTTTGAGTAGATTGTCTCTCTTAGAGCTGGAGAAGGGCATTAAAGGTCTGGTTGTGATGTCCAGCAGTCTAGAGGAGACTTTTAACTGTATCCATGATGCCCGTGTTCCTCCTCTGTGGGAGAAGGTAAGGAAAATGAGCTGCACTGGAATTGTTTTTTTTTATGTATAATAAATATGTCTTAGCCTACATTATTGTGAAATGCAGTATGCTTTGTTGCACATTTCAGATTACAAATCCACTAGAGGGCGCTGTCTACATTTTTGTCAATCTGCAATACATTACTTGAAGTTCCTTTTGTTGTACGTTTCAGATACACAAACTTCTTGTACTTGTCCACAAACAGGCAGGCTTGTCATACAAATCACCTGATGAATCACTTTCCTTAACTCAACCAATAGTGTTTTTAGAAGCAGAGAAAAGTCTACTTCGACTGTGTAGTTTTTCTTTGATTTTACATTGCTTATATCTTGTTTGTGGAACTTCACCAGACTCAAACTCGAGAGCTCGGCATCACACTGTACAAGGTGAGCTACCGAGCAAACTGACCACACTGGAAAAGTTGTGAGGCAAATGTATTCGATTACAAATCACAGACACTGTTAAGAAAATAATCATTCATTATTAATGTGTTCCTGTAAATATCATAGCCAAAGTTGTTGGCTTTATACAGCCCTGTAGCATTCATTTTACTATGAAACGACAAACGTTGTGTGTTAAAGGAAGTTTTTGCAGATGCACAAATATGTATGCTCGAGTACACATTTAAAATGAGCCTGTTGTTGTTGTTGTTTTAGTCAATATTAGACCCTTTCACGTTGTAATCCCAGTAAATATTTCTGGAACAAATTTACCGGTACATTTAAGTATGTGCTGTTTACAAAGGCAAGGTAGTTCCAGAATTTTTACGGAAAGGACTATTCACACATACATTCCAAAATACCGGTAAATTCTGACATCATTAATCAAAAATGAGCTCTAAATGGCCGGCATTGAACTAAACATGAAGTGGGTCCGTCTTTTTTTTGTTTTGTTTAATAGTTTTAGTTTCTTTAAAACTTTAACGTTCATGTAGCTGCTTTTGTCCCTGAGATGGACTAAATAATGTATGTTGTGAACAACATTGTTGAAAAGATATGGAGGAACACTTTCGCATAAGAAGATGTACATTTGAATTTGTGCTGCTGCTTGTGAGATACTTTTTAAAATGAAAGACTGCCAGTGTTGTAGGCTACTCAAATCTGACTCACGGGAGAGCTCCTTCACATGCACAAGCGTCACACAGGTAAATCAACAGCGGTATATCATAAGCATTTTATCCATCTTTTTTTCCACAGTTGGCACTAAGAAGGGACATAGAAATGTTACCTGATTGTCAAGCATCAGCTAAATGTGTCTGGAGAAAGATTTAAAGCAGATTATTATCATAAACAACTCAAATGTGGATTTGTCTGATTGGTCGGAATAGACGTCTCACATTAGCATGTTCTAAACGTGAATGCGCTTTTTCTGGCAATTTTCTGGCAGCATACTGGGAAATTATCGGTAATGTTACAACTTCTCTTTTTTGAAAATAGCTGGAACGAATTTACCAGTATTTTTTGAAAAGGGCCTGTTCACACATGATCCCTTTCTGGGAAATTGCCGGTAATTTTCCGCAAAAGTTTGTATGTGTAAAAGGGGCTATTGTTATGAATTTTGCATACAAACTGCATTGCATTGGAATTAGCCCCCAAATGTCAGGATCTGTGCATTCATATAAATAAAGAGAGAATAGAGCTCAATAAACAACACTCCAATAGTCATTCTTACTGAGCTTTTACAATGGGGTGTCACAGAAATAGCACATCTAATTTAGTGGATGTATGGTTAATGACAAATCTTTGATATATTGTATCATACGTTGCATCTATCTAGATATATTGTCTCTTCTTCCATCCTTACTGACAAGTGAACATATCCCATCAATAGATTTTGTTTAATAGATGTCTAAACATAGACATCTTGTATAAAACAGTGCTGAATTGGGGCTGTCAGTCAAAATCTAATACAAAATTTAAATGCACAGATTAGACAGACTATGGCTGTTTCTCAATTCCATGAACACAGAGAATGGACTTGTGTTCATGTGAAGACCGGTCTTGCCAGATGACTGTGAGTACAGAAAACGCGTCCTGTGAGAAATGATATGCTGCTTTCTTCCTGACGGTCACATGACCTTCACATGTTTTAAGCAGAAAACTAATTAAATATTGAGGCATACATACAACGATTTATTTTTCTTTTCCCTTTTCTATACATAACATGCACAAAAAACTTACAAATATACTTTGTACAATACAAATAAAACTGATTTAAATACGAATTTCAGCAAATAAACACCCTTAATGTGTTTATGCCTTTATAAAGATTATCATGGTAAGTTTTATCTCTGAACTTTAATAATAAACCTATATAAAATGCTGCACTTCCCACCTTCTTTATTCAGTCGCAGTGACTTCTGGGACTTCTAAAATGAGTTCGGTGCTCAAGTCTGCATTGGTGCATCTTCGTTACCAAGAACACAAGTTCTTGCAGTCTTGAGTTTTGGAACTGAACTTTGACGGTTGATGATGACGTTACACGATAATACAAGGACAAAAGATTGCTGAAGAGCGCATATGGAGAAACAGCCTTTGTCGTTCCTGCCTGTGTATTTGACTAGTCTAGGTTGGGGCTTTTCTTAGATGTCAATTAGATTTTCACTGACTGCCCAAATGTAGCCTGTTGTATTATTTCCACTCTAAAGTTTGATTTGCATTCAATTAGTAGTTATTTTAAGTTTCTTATAATGAAGAATTAAGTTCAACTCAGTCAGTTTCAGTTTCCTTTATTTTGTCATTCAAAACATCACAAAAAAATTGTGATGCAGACTGAAATTACGTTGCATCAGACCCAACAAGAACTTAAAATACATCAAACACTATAAAATCCTAACATAATAAATAAGCTTTTATAATTTCATAAATATATAAAAATATAGTTGTAAAAAATATAACCCATTTTAAAAAATCTCTGAAGAGAATAAATTAATACTTAAATACCTAATTCACCATTTGTTATAATAGTTGTAATGTTAACAATTTATACTAGTTTAACTATTTATTAATTTATTATTTCATACTAGCTATCAATAGTGTTTAAGATATGGTATTATTTAAAAGTCTTATAATGACAGGATAAAAAGTGCATTGGTTTGCTCCTCAGGCTTCTGTAATGCCTGCCTGATGGCTTGAGCATTTGATAAAAAGTACTGTTAACCATAACGTTGTTAAATGTTTCTAGAAATAAATGTTTCTATTTTTTTATTTGAATGTATTCTATTTATTTCTGCGATAGCAAACCTGAATTTCTTTTTAGCCGAAGTGTATTTGACTTCTCTTAGATTATGACATGTGCTCAGTCAGCTCTCTTTGAAACACTATCTAGGTAAGCGTTCCACTGCTTTCTGGAACAGTGCTTATAACTCTATGAATCACACACACACCGGGTCATGTTGTAGTTGTAATACAGCTCGGTGTGAGTGTGTGAAAGTGGGCTGTGAGGTCAGAGGTGTGTGTTCAGCGGAGAGCAGCAGGAGTGTGTGAATGAACGCTTGAGAGGATCGCTCAGTGACGGATGAGGTGAACACAACAACATTTAGAGGATTAAACACACACTCACCTTGGGTTGAAACACTCTGCTTGTGTGTTATTAAACGAGAGCCGCTTGATTCATGTCGAGAAGGCCCAGGCCTACCATTACTAATGCCCGCGTGTGTGTGTGTGTGTGTGTGTGTGTGTGTGTGTGTGTGTGTGTGTGTGTGTGTGTGTTTGTGTGTTTGTGTGTGTGTGTGTGTGTGTGTGTGTGTGTGTGTGTGTGTTTAGGTCAGCAAGGGCAGTGTGTGTGTGTGTGTTAGACCTTGAGGGATACAGTACAGCCTTATTATACTAATATAGATGTGTATGTGTGGAGCTTTTGGGTTCATTGCTAAGGGTAATTGAACTCAGATAAGCTGAATAAACATAAGCATGTTTACTTGAAGATCTTCTGTAAGAGTATGGCCTATATACCGATCCAAACGCCGATCCATTTATCCCTCTATTCTGTCTCTTCCTCCATCTTTTTTGCGAAATAAGTGGAGAGCATCCATTAAGACTTGCTCTCCAGCTGGGACTGTCCTTCTGCCGTCTGCACTGCCTCATTACTGTCTTTCTCATTCTCTCTTTCCTTCTCTCTTCATCTATCAGCCTATCTTTAACACTGAACGCACAGTCCTTCTGTCTCTGTCCAGTGTTATATTTTGGCAGTGACTCCTTGTATTTCTGCTGAGATGTATGACTTTCATTTGCCGTTGACTCTCTCTGCTCCTCTTCTCTCATCATTACTCTTTTTCCACCCATCTTATCTTCTTTTTTTTGCTCTGCTGTGGTGGAGGCATCAACCATCAGGCCTTGTGTGTCCCTCTGACATTGTTGTTGTGACCTTAAAGGCTCTCAAAAGATAACACTCACACCATTTATTGCATTTGGTGTTCTTTTTTTTTTGTGTTGAACTGAGATGAGTGGTTTTCCAACTATAGAAGTACACTGCTAAGTGAAAAGTGAATAATATAAAATAAATTTAAAAATGGTAATTGTAAGAGATTTTACAGTAATTGTAAGTTTATTTGTATTAACGGCAGATTTATGACTTCGAATTGTGATGGTAAAGTACACAGCGTGACTTTGGCCCAATCCCGATTCTATTTTTGTACGCCACCCCTTTCCTTTGGCCCTTGAAACAGAGTGTGAAGGGGAAGGGCTTGAAATTTTACCACTAAGAAATGGGAAAGCACTACAACACCTGCACAAGTCATCATATGTCATCGCAGGCTCTTGCTTCATATGAGATCAGACGGTATTTTGTGTTATTTTTTGGTACAGTATTTCTTTTAGGAAATCACTGAAGTCAACAATATCATGAGGCTATGTTCTATCTCTGAAGCTCTTCTTGCCCTGCTCTACAAAAACAATAAGGAATTATGGATTTGATTATGGACCAACTAGTCTCTGAACGCAATTGACAGCAATTGAATCTTCTCGACAAGAAGTTTGGGTTCGGGGTAACCCAACTGTCCTGTGGGGATGTTCGCAGCTGGATACATGATGGACCGGTCGGAGAATAGTGCGTTGTGCACCTGTCCCTGGAAGATATTGAAGATATCTATTTATTTATTTGAAGATTAATTTATTTATCTATTAACTTTGATAACAGAGTTTTTGCTGATGGGCTTAGGCGGGCCCCCTGGGGATAGACAACTGGTAAAAGCGGTCAGTGTGGCTCAAAACCCCACCAAGCTGGCCGGGTGGGTTGAAAGTGGTGAGCAGGGTTGTTGGTACTCAGACTGTGACTTTAGACCGTAAATTGGAAAACATTGAGGAGAAACTAGCTGCGTTGCAATGGGATTTGTTCCGACCAGGAGACCAGTGACAAACATCAGATATCTGCAAAATTGTCGGACTGCTATACAGGAGTTATTATTAGGGATTATAGATAGCGAAATTTAGCAGTTTTTATTTTAGCTTTTTTTTTTTACATGACGGTAAAACCCTAACGCCGTTATGAATGTATTAAAACATATGCTTGTTTGTCATAAAAACAGCTGTTGTAGCAGGTGTATTTTGGGGAATTTTCATACATCTTGGTTTCGAGTGTGGTCCTGAAAAATCTCTGTTTTAATGGCTATCTAGCCATTCTCTTCAAACTTTGTTTATACTTGACGTGTCTGCTAGTTGGTTTGAGTGCGCGAGCCAAATGTGACGTTCTCATGTTGTTTGTGGAGGTTTGCTTTGGGTGCGCACGACATGATTTCGGCTGATGAAACGCAAAATTTTGAACAGGTTACTCAATTGAACAGGTTACGCAGCGCCGCGTTTAATTTGAGTTAAATAATGAATCATTTTAAAGAAATTTTGTCTACAATAGGCACAACTGTACAGACATCTTTATGATCCATGCATGTGTGATCATAGGGATAACCAGATGGCAAAAAATTCTTAGCTAGAAATTGAAACAGCAGTGGGAAAGGAGGAAAGTTTTTGGAAAAGTTTAGAAAAACCTGAGGCAAAGTTAAAGCCAAAACAGATTATTTAATCACAGAAATCTGTTTTTTCACAATTAATTTTCAATTTTAAATAATTGAATAGTTACAAAACTATAATTAAGGAACAAATTATTTATTTGATAGCTGAAAAAGAATATTTGAACCTATCGGTTTACAACATACTGATGCCCTGTTTTTTGGTCTTTATTGGTTATAATTGTTTATTCTTTCTATAATAAAAAAATATCTGTAGAGCAATCCATGTCCTGTTGTGATTAATATTTGAATTAACTTTAATAGATAGAACTGTCTGAGATATGAACAGAAGCAAGTAATGCATTAAAGTTTGATATTAAAAACTTGAATGGTTATAAAAATCTTTATAATCTTTAAAATAATTAAAAACAATAAAAAAAATGTGAACAATATGACATAGTCCTGGAAACTTTCTGTTTATCAATCTGATTTTACGGTCAGATTTAACGGTTTTAGAGAACATGACAACGGAGAACACATCGAGTATAAAAGCCTCGTCCGTTTCGGGAGGTGCACGCGCAGTCAGCGGACGTGCGTGATGCGGTGCCAGGCAAAAGTAAAAAAATTAGGCTTCAGTCCTACGCCTTCAAGCTAAAGAGAATTGGGACACCCCTACCCCTTAACATGAACCCGCAAAACAAGGGGGATAGGGCTAAGGGGTAGAATTGGGATTGGGCCTTTATATCTCAAGACTTTTTTCTAACTATGTATAATTTCATTGAAATTTATTTTTTAAATGTTTTTGCATAATTTTGGCTTGTGTAAGAACGTATATTGTATGTAATAAAATTGTGCAATTTTGTAACACATATTATCTCATTTACTTGTTTATACAAGCATATGGGTTAGTTTTTTCTCATTTCATTATTAGAAAAAAAGTTTCTTCAAATTGTTTATACTTATTTTAATTGCTAACACGATTCTAATTTGCCTTTCAAAAAAGCTAATTAAGAGTTAAACTCATGAATCCAAAAGTATAAATCAGTTTTTTTTTTTTTTTTAGGTACTATACTTTATATTGAAGTACTGTTGGTCTCACACGTCTGCCATGTTTGTGGTTTTCGACAGCCTTTTTTGTAGCCATAATGAAGTTCTTGTACAGTGTGTTTTGGCAAGTGTTAGCCGTTGTGTGCACAATGTGCAGGAATAAGCACTTTAAATGTCCGTTGGGTACCTTTGAGAAAGACAATACTGGTTCTTAACACAGTCTCATCGTGAAAACGTACCCCTGTATACATTTCTGGAGAGCGTGAATTATGTAGCCAGAGCAACGTATGGCTGCATTTTACCTTTAAAAATAAAGCTACGGAGCGGTATTACGCCACAGATGGCTTCTATTTCTATTCGCACTACCAGCTGACCGCTTCTGTGTGGAAAGCTTTTCCACTGTTACCAGTTTGCCCAGTGGCTCGCCTCCTTTGTCAGCGGACTTGAGATGCAAAGAGCAGTTGACCACGATGATGAGGTTCGAGTCTGGCAAATAACGCTTCCAGAAAGCAGGTAAAACAAAAGTCAAATAATAAAATAAACATGTAAATAACAGGGTGAGAATGTGGTTAGATCTGAAAATGTGGTAAAAATCAGGCAGCCATAAGGGCTTTTCTTTTTCTGAATTGCTTTTGAAAACATTGGTGGGAGGGTCAATCTGTGCTTTTGAAAACACTGTCGCTTGGGTTTAGGTAAGGCGGTGGAAGGGTCAATCTGTGCTTTTGAAAACACTATGGGTTGGTTTTAGGGAAAGGGGTGGATGGGATTATTGGTTAATCGGTCAGTCAGTCATTCAGTCGACAGCAGCCTCTGGTAAATTTATGAATGGTACTCGCGAGAAAAAAATCTCCTGGAAAACTCACCTATTTCACGCTCTCCAGAAATGTTTACAGGGGTACATATTCATAATGAGCCTGCCTGGGTTGGATTTTATCATTCATTCATTTTCTTTTCTGCTTAGTCCCTTTATTAATCAGGGGTGGCTGCAACGCTATGACTTATCTTCAACTTATCCAGCATATGTTTTATGCAGTGAATGCCCTTGCACTCTTTCACACACATACACTATGGCCAATTTAGTTTATTTAGTTCACTTATACCACATGATTTTGAACTGTGGGGGAAACCGGAGCACCCACAGGAAACTCATGCGAATACAGGGAAAGCATGTGAACTCCACGCGGAAATGTTAACTCACCCAGCCGGGGCTCGAACCAGCAACCTTCTTGTTGTGAGGCGATCGTGTTACCTACTGTGCCACCGTGACGTAGATTTTAACATACTACACATTATTACAAACTAAGTGTTGTGTTGAATACTGTTTTAGAATGTAGAGTATGCAGATTGCGATGCAACATGTTTTGTTTTTATTTATTTTTTCGCTCTGCTGAAATTTGGGTGTCTTTCAACCTGCCTTGTTAAGAAAGTCAACACTTGTTCCTATAACTGTGATAAATTTAGAAATACCTTTATACCATCTTTTTGCTGCTACAGTGTGTATTCGAAGCAAGAGTTGAACTGATTATTTAGAGCACACGGTTTTAATGAATATCTTCCGTTTGGTCTGTGGGTGGCGGAAAAGTTTGGGAACTACAGCTCTTGAGTGCCAGATCAGATTAAAACATCAGCAGATACGCCATCGAAACCTTTTATCCTCATTTATATCACTCTGGGTTGTCCCAGTTTCAAAAAGGTAAAAGCAACAGCATTTATTCCACCTAGAAATAACTCAAAACGTTCTCATTTTCATGCCAGCGAGAACCTAAATGCATAAAGGTTTTTTATGGCGCAGCATGAAATGAAACTAATCATGAGTATTTTCTAGTGCTGTGTGGCAGTCGCTGTGTTTGAAATGCTAATTCCTTTGGCACAAGCCACGCTCACGTTTGATTTTTCGTTCTTTTTTTAATATCAAATCCAAATATCTTTGTTCTTTGAACACCAAAAATAACACTGAAGGCTGAATAATTTCTTCAGTCCCAAGAATTGCAGAAAACATTGCACCATACAGTTTTGCCCTGTCAGATTTGTTTTAGTTTAATAGCTCTATTTGAACCGGTTATGTAAGATTTGTTTAAACCTCTTTCAAGTCCAGCTATAATATTATATTCAGCGGTTCAATCACTCAAGACATTCTTCATGACAGACAGTAACGCATCTCATCCAAACCCCCAGAAACTCGTCTTTTGTGTCCTTCTCAATGGCCTTGAGAGGCAGTTCTCAGAAAGCGGTCTGAAGCCTGAACTACACAATACTGAATGAAAGGCTTTACTGTAAGTGGAGATAGATGTCACTAAGCTATTTTGTCCCGTTTGAAGTTGATGTTTCGCCCTTTTATTCATGCAATGTCAAATTCCTGCACAGAGCAAATGCTGTAAGAGACAGAACAGTAAGATTGTTATTAATTACAGCACGCATCAGTAATGAGAGGCTCTCCGTCCTCAGGCGTACCCGTCTCTGAAGCCCTTGGCGTCGTGGACGCGGGACCTGTGCCAGCGCGTGGAGCAGTTTGCTCGCTGGGCGGAAACTGCTCGCCCTCCTGTCCTCTTCTGGCTGTCTGGATTTACCTTCCCTACGGGCTTCCTCACCGCTGTGCTGCAGAGCTCTGCACGGCAGAATAACGTGAGTCTAGCACAAACACATCACCACACTCATACATATTCACACATGCTTAACAGAGGCTTAGCAGAGCATCAGCACGTCAAACACATGCGGTGAAGACTCTTTAGTGTCCTCTTACAGTCCTGACATCCTCAAAGCAAAATTCTTTATGATCTTCGTTTTATATACAGAAGTTTGAAATACCTCAATGCTGGTAACACCTCATACTGCTGAGAGGAGCATTTAGATAAATAAATTGTGTTTTTATTGGAATAAAGCAGAGGTGGAACTCCTGCACGGTTTAAGTCCCATCCTGGTCCAAAACACTTACCTGTAGGTTTCAAACAAGTCTGAAGGACTCAATTAGTTTGATAATGTGTGTTTAATTAGGGTTGGAACTAAACTGTGCAGAGCTGCGGACCTTTAGGAACTGAGTTTGACACCTTTGGAATCGAGTGTTCTCAATTATGTCATGATTATCTCAGTTGCGTGGTCATGATAGAGATACTTAGATGTACTATAAACACTAGCTCTCGATTGCACAATAATCTATAGGAAATATGCATTCATTCATTTTTCTTTGAGGTCGCCATGGCGGAATGAACCACCAACTTTTTTCAGCATATGTTTTACGCAGCATATGCTCTTCCAGCAGCAACCCAGTATTGGGAAACCTATTGGACAGGGGTGCTCAAGCCTGTTCCTGGAGATCTACTTTCCTGCAGATTTCAGTTGCAACACAAATCAAACACACCTGGCTATAATTATGCTGTTGTGCTGTTCAGGTCCTATTTAATAGTTTCAGGTGTGTTCAGGGCTGGAGCTAACTTTGCAGGTAGAGCTCCATGAACAGGGTTGAGCAGCCCTGCTGTAGAAAATTTATATAGGAAAATATTTGAAAAAAATTGTTTTTTCTGTATTTAGGGGTTCAAGCATGTAGTTATTAAATTATTAAATTATTTATATTACATTGTTAATATACATTGTTGCAAACTAGTTATACTCTATACTTCATCAGTATAACCAGTATTTTACATATCTCTGGACTGCCTAGATAAATAATTATCAAAATGTTGTACTTTGGCATTAGCACAGTCCTGTCATAATCATTTTAACCTGGTGTAAGCCTGTAACTCCCAAAATAAATTTCAAAACCTCAGTTATTCAAGCACAGGTGACATATTCTAAACAAATACGCAAAATTTAAAGGAGTTTGAGATTTACAACTGTTAAAAACATTAATCAACAGGAATCATTTCATTTGAAATGATCATTATAGCCACTAGATGACAGCAAAAGACCACTTATTAGTTACTGGATAGTGTTACTTAGTTACTTATTAGAATTACTCCAAGCTTGCTATTACATATATTTAACTAATGAAATTATAATAATTACACCGAAAGCTAAATATCGTGTATAAATTTCAAAAGAAAGCCTAGCAATAATCATTTGGTTTTATTTAGGTTAAATTTCTACACAAAGTTTAAATAAGCATGACAAATGTTTAAATAAGCATGACTAATGACTAGTATTGATATAATAGTTTAACCATAACATTTTTTTGCCTGTGCATCAACATTATGTCCATTGAGGATGTGTTTTAATTTCAGCCATAAATTCTGACTTGATCAGCATTAAAAGTCCTTAAATGCTTAAACCCCCATAATGCCGCTTGCAGCTTTAATTTCAAGACAAATTCCCTGTGTTTGCAAGCACACTTGGCAATAAGCTCTTTCTGGATCTGATCACCTACAACTGAATACGTTGTTCTGCTTATTTTTGCTGTGTAAACTATGGACCAATGTGTGGAAGCTGCTTAATCATGTTGATAACAACTGAATAAGCAGGAAAAAGGTGAGATATTTTGATATAATGACTTTAATAGTCTCTATTCTGCTTGATTAGTTTGAACTTTTGGCAGTCTTTAGTACTCTGTTTTTTTTCAAGTCTGACAGATTAGTACAGGTTAAAACATGACAATAATTGATCATTGTCAGCACTGTAGTCAGCAAAATATGCACATTTCACTCGGTTCAGTTGCAGTGTGTACTTGCGTCTCTCCATCATGGCTGACTGATGACACATCGTTAAAATAGCAAAATAAACCAACAGTGGTGAGAAAACATCAATCAAGAAAGCATCTGACAGTACAGATGGATGTTTGCACAAACTATGCAATTGGGTGTTTATTTATATAGCACTATACATTCATTTATTCATTTTCTTCTTGGCTTAGTCCCTTTATTATTCAGGGGTCGCTTCTACGGAATGAACCGCCAACTTATCCAGCATATGTTTTAAGCAGCAGATGCCCTTCCAGCTGCAACCCATCACTGGGAAAATACACCCATATGCTCTTGCAATACACATACAGACAATTTAGCTTGCCCAATTCACCTATAGCACATAGGGAAAACATGCTACCTCCACAAACAAATTCCAATTGACCCAGCCGGGCTTGAACCAGTGACTTTATTGCCGTGAGGTGATCGTGCTACCCACTGCGCCGCCGTGTAGCCCTAGCACTATATAGCAGACTGATTTAAAGAAAGCTGATTTATTGTATAAAGGCACAATATGTACCACTAGAACAGTGTTATAAATTTTGCTGACTTACACTGACTTACACCTACATTGTCTTAAATATTTTAAAGAATGTTCAAATGCAGAAAAACATATTAAAAAACTGCTTATCTACACTGAAAAAAATATTCAAAGATGATTCCTTAGCTTTGCCACATTTTTATAAGTTAAGCTGTTGTAAACAATTTATTTGGGCTGAATTTACAAACAATTTAGGACAAACAAATTGACAAATAAGACATACCAAGTTGAACGTTACTAAATTTTATTTGTTTCTTTAAACTCAACACAGTGTTGGGACCAAGTCCTGTGTCACCATGCTCCATGCATTGTGCTTTTCTGTCATTAGCAATTGCTTAAGTGGTCTAAACTCAAGAAGATTTTATTTCTTTTAACTCACTCATTGAATTATTCAGTGAAAAAACTGTGGACAGTTACTGGGAATTATTATAAGACTTTTGAACTTATATGACTTAACAAATTATGTTTTAATCAATGTCAGTGAAGATAAAATATATGGTTGCTCACCAGATAAAATGATAAAATCTTAATAATTTAAATGATTCTGTGTATACACAGAATACTGTGTATTAGTATACATTATTGATAATGTATAATAATTAATAATAATAATAATAATAGTGATAATAAAACATCTTGACACACAACTCATTCATGACTATGAGTCAACAGGTTTGTATAACTAAACTAAAGTTCCCATCATTCTCTGACAGGAATAATACAATACACAGATACACACCACACAGACACATGCCAACAGTCAATCACCAGATTAAAGTATGTCACTTTATGTCCCGACAAGCACAATTCAGCATGTTTCGTCAGTCAATGTCTTCCAGCAGACGCCAACAGACATTGACAGAACATACTGATCTAACAAAAGCTAAAGTCTGTCCTTTGTAGTTTATTTTGGTGCTAGCTTGCTAACTGTTTAAACAGAGAGACGTGTGATTTTATTCTAAACAAAAGTGTAAACTACCCAAGAGGATTTTTTTAAAGTAGCATTATCTAAACTGACTTCAATAACAGTAAGCCTATGGCCTGTTATTCATTTAGAGAAACATTGCCAGAAACACTTTCTTACAGCATTCACATTCACTTACTCTCACATTCTGCAGGGGACGCAGCACAATCCTGCTCCATTACCTCTCTAATGCCCCGATGATGATATTTAGTCTCGGTTCCTTCTGGGATCTGCAGACAGGAGTTCTCAAGCGCTCCCCTAAATTCCCACTTCGCTCTGCTGCTCGATAGCTTCAGGAGCACAGCGGCAAAATGAGCTGCATCTGATGATCAAGAGACACCTGTGACGCTTCGGGGCAGCCAATTCTGCAGCAAATGGACTGAAAAACAAATGTCCTAATGTGTGATGTGCCCACACACCAACAGGTGGCCAAAAGAACTGCGGAAGTGGCTTCATCTTGGCTGTGCTGTGACTGTAAGTGTGTGTGTGGAGTTTTGACACTGATAGCATTGTTGCTGTGTATGCAGGTATCTGTAGACACTCTTTCCTGGGAGTTCAGTGTCACCACAGTAGAGGACAACAATCTGCTTTTCCCTCCCAAGGTGAGTAACTGCTGCCCTCCTCTGTCTGCTACATGCTCATGCACCTGACATTTGCATCTCTCTCTCTCTCTCTCTCTCTCTCTCTCTCTCTCTCTCTCTCTCTCTCTCTCTCTCTCTCTCTCTCTCTCTCTCTCTCTCTCTTTCACACACATTTTAGCATTTCCATGTTTTGTGGGGACCTTTATGGGAATAATGATTGTAATACTGAACAAACTGCATTTTCTCTTCTGATTGTAATCCTAATAGAGGAAGCATTCTGCATTTTTACATTTTTAAACATCTTAGTATGATTTCCATGTTGCATTTCTCTTAAGCTGAAGAACCAACCATAAGCACTATACTAACATTTAGTTTTTTTTTCAGTAATTTTTATTTTATGAGCACAGTCAGGCATTTTCATGACTAATGCACACACTTAAATATATATATATATATATATATATATATATATATATATATATATATATATATATATATATATATATATATATATATATATATATTTAAGTGTGTGTGTGTGTGTGTGTGTGTGTGTGTGTGTGTTTGTGTACACTCACTGGCCATTTTATTAGGTACACCTGTCCAGCTGCTCGTTAATGCAAATTTCTAATCGGCCAATCACATGGCAGCAACTCAGTACATGTAGACATGGTCAAGACGATCTGCTGCAGTTCAAACCGAGCATCAGAATAGGGAAGAAAGGGGATTTAAGTGAGTTTGAACGTGGCATGGATGTTGGTGGTCTGAGTATTTCAGAAACTGCTGATCTACTGGGATTTTCACGCACAACTATCTCTAGGGTTAACAGAGAATAGTCAGAAAAAGAGAAAATATCCAGTGAACGGCAGCAAATGCCTTGTTGATACTAGAGGTCAGAGGAGAATTACCAGACCTTTTGAGCTGATAGAAAGGCAACAGGAATTCAAATAACCACTCGTTACAACTGAGGTATGCAGAAAAGTGCCTCTGAACACACAACACGTTGAACCTTGAGGCAGATGGGCTACAGCAGCAGAAGACCACACCGGGTGCCTCTCCTGTAAGATAAGCACAAGAAACTGAAGCTATAATTCGCACAGGCTCACCAACAGGGGCGGACTGGGACTAAAAATCAGCCCTGGCATACCTGACAGCCCTGGCACACCGACACAGCCCCACCCAAGGACACGCACATTCACTACTTATATTTGTGTACAGATGGTAAAATTATATAAGCAGTACCTATTTAAGAGATATTTAAACATATAATGTATGTGACTGAAACAAAAACAACCCATTTATATATGCAATCATGTCATTAATTTTCTTTTCGGCTTAGTCCCTTTATTAATCTGGGAATCGCCAACTTATCCTGCATATGTTTTATACAGTGGATGCCCTCAAAGCTGCAACCTATTACTGGGTTACCCAATTCCCAATTGGCCCACCCAGTTCACCTATAGCATGTGTTTGGACTTGTGAAGGAAACCAGAAGCAAACCCACGTGAACATGCAAACTCTACACAGAAACACCAACTGACCCAGATGAGGCTCAAACCAGCGACTTTCTTGCTGTGAGGCGACAGCACTACCTACTGCGCCACTGCACTGCCCCCTTTCGAGACTAGCTCTGTTAATTTTATATAATTGGCAATGTCTGACTTGACTGCCTTTCCCTTTTTATGGTCCTTCTCTGACAATTAGCTTGTGTTGCACTTACTGTTTGACATTCTTGCCAAATTTTGATTATGTCTGTGTAACCTCAGATTAGGTCGGCCCATCTTGAAACCAGCCGGTTGTTGCTGATTGGGCCAAAGCTTAAAATTTACTGTTATTCTTTCTATTATCACCATCATCATCATAATATTCACATCTCGCACGAGATAAAAGCTGCCTACATTTAAAAAACAATACATATGAAAAAAATAAATAAAATAAAAAAATAGCTGACCGGCCCACATTTAAAAAATGGTCCGGCCCTTCTGGCATTTGCCAGAATTGCCAGATGACCAGTTCGCCCCTGCTCACCAAAATTGGACAATAGAAAATTGGAAAAATGTTGTCTGGTCTGATGAGTCTCGATTTCTGTTGCTGCATAGAGGCGACCTAGGCGGCCGCCTAGGGCGGCAGAATAGAGAGGGCCGTGTCCGCGACACTACCCTCACCACCCATGCCCTCAGTTAAATCGGCACCTAGGGCAGCAGAATGGAGAAGGTGGCGTCAGCTCTCTCGCCAACCACCAGCTTTCACTTTCGTGTTGAGGGGGGCGTGACCGTCCTTTGCCTAGAGGGTCAGTTCAGCTTGCTCTGGCCCTGATAACACACCATGTCATAAAGTGCAAATCATCTTAGACTGGTTGAACATGACAATGAGTTTACTGCACTCAGATGGCCTCCACAGTCACCAGATCTCAATCCAATAGAGCACCTTTGGGATGTGGGGGAACGAAAGATTTACAGTACATCATGGACGTGCAGCTGACAAACCTGCAGCAACTGTGTGATGCTGTCATGTCAATATAGACCAAAATCTCCGAGGAATATTTCTAGTACCTTAAATAAATACCTTAAATAAAAAGTTTAAAAAAACTATTTTATTTGAAAGAGAAACATTTTTTAAATTTCTAAATGTATTCACAGTGAATTTTAATAAATTGAATACATGCTTTAAAAAATTAAAACATTATTTTGAAAAAATCTGAATTGTATATTAAACTTCAATTTAATAAATTATTTATTTTAATTTAATATTTAAATAATCATTGAAAAATTATTATAAAAATATATTTTTAAATGTATGTTAGATGAATGTTATAAATTATAAATTGTCAATTTATTTGTCAGACGTGCAAAATACATGATATTTAAATGCTGTAATTTAGGAAGCATTATTTTATTCAATATTATTACTTACTTCCTGGGCCGTTTATGTCGTTGTTGATATTTGGCCAAATCATGTTGGTGTTTCATTCTTTCATTCATTTTCTTTTCGGCTTAGTCCCTTTTTTAATCCGGTTTCCCCACAGCGGAAACAAACCACCAACTTATTCAGCACATGTTTTACGCAGCGGATGCCCTTTTAGCTGCAACCCATTTCTGGAAAACATCGGTACACACTCATACACAACAGACAATTTAGCCTACCCAATTCACCTGTACCGCATGTCTTTGAACTGTGGGGGAAACCGGAGCACCCGGAGGAAACCCTCGCGAACGCAGGGAGAACATGCAAACTCCACACAGAAATGCCAACCGACCCAGCCAAAGCTCGAACTAGCGACCTTCTTGCTGTGAAGCTACAGCACTACCTACGGCGCCAATGTGTCGCCCCATGTTGGTGTGTAGTAATATCTAATTTTTTTTTACGAGGTGAATCAAAAGACCAACCCTCAACCCCCAACCTGGAGGACCAGGACATACACACATAAACTACTAACAATTTAGCTTACCCAATTTACCTAGCCAACCCACGCCAACACGGGGATAACATGCAAACTCCACACAGAAATGCCCACTGACCTCGAACCAGCAACCTTCTTACTGTGAGGAGTCAGCCCTACCCACGAGAGGGGTCTGGATGCAGACCTGGTGCAGTGCAATCTGAGCTGCATCCAATGCTTTTTAATGCATTCACCTAACCCCACCCCTAACCCTACCCGTTACAGTGACGTCACCCACTACATTGAGTGCATTGTGTCTGACATTGCATCGCTGAGTGATGCAATCTCAGCTTGCATCATAAAAGCTGCATCCAGAAACTATTGCTACCCACTGCGTCACCGTGCCACCACATATTAATTAATATTATAATATTATATAGAACATTTTCCCACTAGGTATAACTTTTTTGTATCAGGATGAAAAGATACGTTTTGATTTAGGATCAGAAACATGTACAGTAGAAGGACTTCACAGAAACTGGCAGGAGTTTACAGAGACTATATTAATGCAGCATCCTAAAAATAGAAATAAAACCCCAGCAAGATGAAAACAGCCAAGAGACATTCATATACGTGTGAATTGACTCACCCTTATAAACAGCAGCAGTCCTCTGTTTTCTGTCTTCTGTTACAACACTTTATCTGTTGACTTGGAGACCGTCAAAGCACAAATAACTTTGTGAAACAAAATTTCCATGGATGCTTAGATAAATTAGGGAGTTTGCATATTATAATGTGCCATTTAAATGTGTTCATTTTGATTGGCTGTCACTGTGCTCACACTAGTGTAGCACATTTTGCACACAGTAAATTTCCCATGTGCACTTATAGACTCTTAATGCTTTTGTTTTGCATGTGACCTCTTGTTTTTCTCCCTGTCTTCTCCAGGATGGAGTGCTCATCCAGGGTCTGTTTCTGGAAGGCGCAGGCTGGGATAAGAAAGCTTCCTGTCTGGTTGAGGCAGAGCCCATGCAGCTGGTCTGCCCAATGCCCACCATCCACTTCAAACCAGTGGAGAGCCGCAAGAGATTGGCCAAGAGTTAGTACACACTCCACACACACGACCATGTCTTACTGAATGTTCTCTCCTGTATACATTTCCCGAGTAACTGATTTTCTTGTGTGTGTGTTTGTGACTGTGCAGATATGTACTCATGTCCCTGTTACTACTATCCAGTGCGCTCGGGCAGTTCTGGTCGTCAGTCATTCGTGGTGGCAGTCGATCTGAAGTCTGGAGCTGTGCCTTATGATCACTGGATCAAAAGAGGAACCGCTCTGCTCATGAGCCTTGATAACTAAACACACACACACACACACACTCACACTTACAGTGACACTTGATTAACTGTCTAATTTTATCCTGAGATCTTGTTACCTCTTCTGCATTTGATTTAAAAAGAGAACTGAATATGCAATCACAAATGTGCTATCAATTGATGTTTTATGAACTTGTGGTGTTGTAAATTCATTGGAAAAAAGGTTTAATAAAACAGCTCAGAGGTTTCACATTCAGATATGTTGCTGATTATCCATACAGAAAAAAAACTAATTTATCTATCTATCTATCTATCTATCTATCTATCTATCTATCTATCTATCTATCTATCTATCTATCTATCTGTCTGTCTGTCTGTCTGTCTGTCTGTCTGTCTCTCTGTCTCTCTGTCTGTCTGTCTGTCTGTCTGTCTGTTGTCAATGAATATTTTTAAAAATTATTATTTTATTATTATTATTATTTCTAGGGAAAATTCCTTGTTCCTTGTTAATTTATAAAATTTGACCTAGATCATATGTTTCCTTTGGACTGTTTGGATGATTCATTATATCCCAACAAAAGACTAGCTTTTTTTTTTTTTTTTTTTTTGGTCCTACACAAATTTGGTCGCTAGTTCCTGCTTCTCAATTACATCAAAGAAATAGTTCACTCACAAAAAGTTTGTTGTTAACAGGGTAAGATAGGTAACTTTTCTGCTGTAATTTTTTTTCTTTTTTATGAAACAATGGGTAATGTATAGACCGTAAGCAAGTTGTAACCAACAACAAAAAAAGAAAGCAGGGATTGCATAAATGATAACTAATATGAAGTAAATAAGTTGGTCTGTGCTAGAAACTAACCATTGTTACCTGTGATCCACAGCTTAAAGGAAATACTTCAGAGTGATGCCAGGTTCACAAATGAATCTTTATATTTGAACCAGATCTTGTTTGAGCACTTGATAAACCTGTTCAGACTGAAATGGTTCACATGTCATGCAAGCATAGGTCTACAAGCTACTCAGTCAAAACTAACTTTCCATAGTCACTCTGACTCAAAATGAGCCAATTTTCTGGCCTACATGTTTCTGGTTTTCGCCAGCTCATTTAGCACTTCAGCTACTCTACATCAATCCAATGCTAACTTTGCATATCTATTATCATTGTGTGATTAGGTAAACAAACTACAGAGTAAGTTATTTGTACCACAAACACTGCACAACAGAACCATTTTGCAGAAAAGAATCAGATTTCTCCATTTGCCTGATGCTGTGGGTTGCAGGTTATATTCCTAATTTTCTTGTACATGCTGTAAAAAAATCCATTTGTGTTGGGGCATCTTGAAGACATTAAGTTATTAGTTTTTTATTTATTTATTCATTTATTTATTTTATTAGTATTAACTCAAAACATAAAACAGTTAAGTTGTCCCCCAAAAACTCAAGAATTGTGTTGTTTCAGCTTATTTTAATTAAGTAGTTTGAACAATTGGCAAACATAAATTTTGAGTGCAGACCAATTATTTAGAACACAAACTTGTTATAAATATGCTGTTCTTTGCTATGCATTTTTATGATCAAAGTGATGGTTGTCAATGACTTGCATTTTAAAAACCATCTTGATTTCATTTAAAATTCTACTGATTTTCTGCTGAAAAAAACAAAAATGTAACCTGGATGAGGGTGAGTAAATTAACAGTAAGTTTCAATGTTAGGTTAGAAAGCAACTCCTTTCAATTTCTTGTCCACAACACAACCAGTATTTAATATGTATTGTAGTGAACAGTGAGGTAAAGCCACAGTCTAATCCTGTTTCCCAATAGGTTTCCAATTACGGACCTGTTGCTTTGACAACAACTGAGCAATCCTGAATTGTGTCAAATCAGCTGTCCATAGCAGAGTATCCGCAGGGTCTTAAAAGTCTTAAAATGTCTTCAATTTTAAAACTAAATTGAAATTGTGGGTCCTAAAAAGCCTAAATTTACTGAAATATTGTGTTGTGGGTCTTAAATAATTTTTTACAGGTCTTGATTTTATCATGTCCATGTAAAGCTACCCAATCAAACAGCCATCCAATCACTAACTTTCCATCTCAATAAAAGTTCTAACAAAAGTTTATTTATTATCTTCTTTACAATTACATTTGTTTTTAATGTTTTAACTGGGCCATTAGAAATAAATCTTTAGCGTTTAGCCTCGAGTAAGTCTGAAATTTCATTCATAATAGTCATAAAAAAGGTCTTTAAAAGTCTTAAATTTGACTTGATGAACCCTGTAGGAACATAGAATGAGACCACATGCCAAATTTGCTCAAGTGTGATGCAATTAGTTAAAAATGACCACCAAATCTTCCATGTCCACGGTCACTTTTCTTTAAATTCAACAGTTGTGGTCATTTGCTCCATTTTCCAGCCTCGATGATTGCCATGTGTGGCATTATTTGTTCCTCAGAGCCGGAGGGGTGAGTGAAGTGGTGATCTTCTCAGGAAAATTCTTGGAAGAAGAGAAGGAGAGCAGAGAGACTGGAGCAGAAGAATAGTTCAGTGGGGAGGAGAGAGAGAGAGAGAGAGAGAGAGAGAGTGTGAGGGTGGCCTCTGCATTCACTCCGCCATCCTCTTCTAAAAAAGGCAGACTTGCTTGGACTGTAAGGAGCTCTTTATTCAGCCACAGGTCTGTGTGTCTCTGTACCTCAAACTGGTTGTTGGGGTGCTCATAGCAACATGTCTAATTCACATTCAAATTGGCCTCCGAGGCGCCCATTGTAATCTTTTAGAGTACTTCAGATTTTTTTTTTCTCCCCTAAAAAAATGGAAGTTAAAAAGAAGAAGGGAGAGAAAGACATCTTTTGAGTCTCAAAATGGAGAATAAAGTCCCCAGGGTTTATTCATCACCGCAATGTTCCCACCTCAGAACCATTGAGACTGTGAGAGGGGCTCGTTCATAAAACAACTAACATTACCTCGCATCAATCCCACACTTGTTGCTGCAGAGCTGGGGAGATGCGAATGTCTGAGCTTATCCAGATTTCTGTCTGCACCCTGCTCTTAAACTCCAGATGAGAACTTAATAATGGTCTGAAAGCACCAGCTGAGGACAAGTGGACAATCTGATTTGCGTTTTGAGTGAGCCGGTCCCCTCGGGGACAGCGGTGCTGGGTCTCACTGCATCTGAACTGACATAATTGAGTTAGCTCTTCTCTGTATAGTATTGCATCAAACGGCCTCCATCTGTGTATTCAATTATGGCAGTAAAACACACACCACAGACATTCCATGAGGAATACACTGAAAACACACACACACACACAGCGTCCACTTTAGAGCTTAATGATAGGTAAGTGTTATTTATTCATTCATTCATTCATTTTCCTTCGGCCTAGTTCCTTTATTCATCAGGGGTCGCCACAGTGGAATGAACCACCTACTTATCCAGCATACGTTATACTCAGTGGATGCCCTTCCTGCTGCAACCCAGTTCAGGAAAACATCCATACACACTCATTCACACACATACATTACGGCCAATTTAGTTTATTCAGTTCACTTATAGTAGATGTCTTTGGACTGTGGGGGGAAACTGGAGCACCCAGAGGAAATCCATGCCAACATGGGGAGAACATGCAAACTCCACACAGAAATGTTAACTGACCCAGCCGTGACTTGAACCAGTGACCTTCTTGCTGTGATGCAACAGTGCTAACCACAAGTGTTATTGTATGATATACTGATTATTACATTCATTATAGAACATTCTATTCCTTCTGCAGAGAAGACAAATGAATGCATCGCAGCAGATGAATTATTGACTCCAGTGCAACAGGTCTAATGACAATTATGTAGTATTGTGGAAAAAATGATATAATAAGCATTATTATATTTGATAGAAAGTTATAATGCTCATCAAGACTGCACATAATAAATCATAAATAAGTGATAAAATCACACTTTCTGCATTCATTCTTTTTTTACTGTGCAATAGGCTTAGAAACCCTCAATAAATAAAACTATTGATGCCAAATTTAGTTTAATCAAAAATCAATTTGATACAAATATTTTTTTAAGTTATATTTTTCATTTTATTAATATTATTAATTAGTTATTGACTGCTGTGCATAACAGGATTTGGTCCGAAAACATACACTTTAATCAAAAATATGTTTGATAAACTCCCAATTCTAGGTTTAATATTAACACCTTTTGAATTTAATTGTTGATTAACTATAAAGCGATTTTGAAGACAGCCTTGATAAACTTTGCTAGTTCCATAAATAGTTTAAGATAAAATATATTCAATAAACTATACTGTAAAATTAATAATACAGTTGTGTAGCTGTAAAAAAAAAAAAAAAAAAAAAACTTAAAATTTTAAGACAACAAACTTCAGGACATTTTTGAGTTCACTCAACTTAAATCGAGTCAAGTGCAGTAATCTGGTTACTCAAAATGTCCTGAAGTTTGTTGCCTTAAAATTTTAAGTTGAGTCAACTTTGTTTTTTACAGTGTACTCAACTGTATTATCAATTATAATAATTTTGAAAGAAAACTCCGATGCTAACCAAACTAAATTTTGATAAAATGTTTTAAATCAGGTGCGACATGGTGGCTCAGTGGTTAGCACTGTCGCCTCACAGCAAGAAGGTCGCTGGTTTGAGTCCCAGCTGGATCAGTTGGCGTTTCTGTGTGAAGTGTGCATGTTCTCCCCGTGCATGTTCTCTTCGGGTGCTCCAGTTTCCCCCACAGTCCAAAGACATGTGGTATGGGTGAATTGAATAAGTTAAATTGGCAATAGTGTATGTGAGAGAAAGTGTGTGTATGGATGTTTTCCTGAACTGGGTTGCAGCTGGAAGGGCATGTGTAAAACATATGCTGAATAAGTAGGTGGTTCATTCCGCTGTGGCGACCCTTGATGAACAAAGGGACTAAGCCGAAGGAAAATGAAAGAATGTTTTTAATCAGACTATTATGCAACGAGTTGTAAATAATCTTGTAAATAATCTATCATTAATATTCACATTACCAAAAATGCTTTATTCAGATCAATGGTGTATTCTTGATGTAACAATTTCATTTACAATGCATTTTATAACATTTTACAATGTCATACTTAAATATTTATCAACATTGGCAATCAATTGGCAATTTTTTACACTGAACAATTGTTGCCTATTTGTGGCCGTCTTTTTGAAAGAATGGGGGAAATGGCTCAGATGAATGATGGGGTTAGAAATTGTCAAATGTTTTTGCGCAGATTTGATAAATT